TGTTTAATTCAATAATGGCTTCTTGTGTCGGCCCTCTAGACGTGGATGAACTGGTTCTCCATCTTCTTCAGCCTGAGCTTGTTCTTCTTCGTGTCGCTGTGCTACAACGCCTCCTGTCCCTCCTGCTTCTCCCCCCCCAGCCCCTACTGGAGCATGCAGCGGCTGCTGGGGGAGCCGCTCTTCTACCTGCTGTGCGTGCTCACGCCTGTGGCCGCGCTGCTGCCCAGGTACGCCGCTCCGCTTCCTGTTTGCACCCCCTGGTGCCTCCCAGATGTTCCTCCCTCACATCTGTTTTCCGCTTCACTGCAGATATTTCTACCGGGCGTGTCGGGGGACGCTGTTCCCCAGCCGCGTCCACGTGGGAAGGCAGTTGGACAAACTTCCGGCCGAGACCCGCAGGAACCTGCTGGGCCTCGGCGGGGGGGCGGAGCCTCAGTTCCTGCCCCTCACAAAGCCGTCCCCCGGAGGCCGCGGCCAGACCCGGGAGGGCGCCAACCTCTACGCGGCGGACCCCACGGAGAAGGACACGCTGCCTCACGCCAAAGGCGCCGCCGGGCTCCGCCCCCCCGCGGAGCCGCGGCCTCCTCCCGCCAAAGACTGCGAGCGCCCCGACGAGGCTCCGGAGGCGTCCGAGCTGAGCGCGTCCGGCTGGCTCACCTCCACGCCGCGGGCGTCCGGCGTCCGGCTCGCGCTGCCCCCCGACGGAGACCCCCACCGCGTCACGTACCGCGGGGACTCGGGGGCGGAGCCGTCGCCGGGCGCCGTCCTGTGACGCCGCCGCAAAGTCTCTCGTGTGACACTCGCACTCCAATTTGCACAATAGTTTTTATAAAAAACAAATCTGATTTTTATTGTATTTTCATAAAAGAAACAAAAGGTACTTTTACTTTTCAGATATTTTTGAGGTTGAGAATTTTTTTTTTATCTCAAAGATTCGTCTCGTTTTTAAGACATTCCACAAAAGTTCTGTGATGTTTGTTCTCTCGGATTGACCACCTGCGTGTGTGCGTGTGTGTGTGTGTGTGTGTTTGTGTTTTTGAGTTTCCATAGAAACGTGTTTGATCTCTTGGTCTCATTCACTACATTCCACTGAGTAACTTTAAAGATGCTTTAAGATGCTTCATCACATTTCTTTTGTGTGTGTGTGTGTGTGTGTGTGTGTGTGTGTGTGTGTGTGTGTGTGTGTGTGTGTGTGTGTGTGTGTGTGTGTGTGTGTGTGTGTGTGTGTGTCTTGTGGGGACATCAATCCGAATACACTGACACATTTTTGGGGACTCAACTTTCTGGGGGAGAAGATGCACATCCAGTAAAAGGACGTCTTTACATCTCATGGAGGAGACTTGGTTAAGCTTTATTTTTAGTCTCCGTAAGTCATGGAAACGTGTGTGTGTGTGTGTGTGTGTGAGAGAGAGAGAGATCTGACAGCCTGTTTCCCATTGAAAGAAAAGTTTGACATTTTGGGAAATCCTTTTAATTTGCTTCCTTGACATGAGTCTAAATCCAACACACGTTCTAATTTATTCTGAAACTTTCTGAGTCACCGATACGAATGCTAATAGCAGCAGCAGCAGCAGCAGCATAATAACTCCTGTTTTAACCACAAACTGTCACTTTTCCTGCAGACTTCCCAGCTTGTTAAGCTAAGCTAACCTTCTGGCTGTGGTTTCATGCCTGGCGCCGTGTGAGTGATGTTCATCTTCATTCAACTCTCACTAAGAAAGAAAACATCAGATTTCCCAAAGTGTCGAACCGTTGCCTTGACGACGGCTTTCATCTCGTTTCATAAACGGGATTTTACATGAAGCTCCTGTTTTGTTTTTTTTCGACAGTCTTTTACTTCTGCTGGAAACCAAAAAGCTCAACGGGGAAATAAATAATTTCCCAAATGTACAAGAAGCCGCTTTAAGAATGAACTTTGCACTTTGGAAGCCTTTTTTTTTCTTCTAGTTGCGTTGTCGGTGCTCCCGTTTGTTCGATGGTTTAAACCAGCAGCACCTTTTCTTAAATGTGATGGTTGTTGCATCTCTTGACAGTACATTTTTATAAAGTGTATCATTTACCGAAGGTCATTTATACTTGTATACGTGTATTTTCTAAGCAGCCGTAAGCGCCTTAACACTGGAAAAGCAGAAGATATTTATGAGGCTTAGTTACTTCTTCTCTGGCGCCGTGCGTCCACTTTGTTTTATGTCCTCGGGCTGAAGGGAAGCTCGACTCGGTTCACGCCCGAATTCCAGCATTCGCAAATTCCACGCGGCCCTGAACACATCGGAGCTCGACCAGCTGTTGTTATTGTTCTGTTCTTTTTGCTGTCCGGCATCACAGGGAGGTTTTAATGTGTCGCCACGTTACGACCGGGACAGATTCTATGTTTCACTTCTGTTCTTTGAGCACGTGGAGGCCACCAGTGATCAAAATGAAAACGATGATAAAGTATTTATCCTTTTGCTACCTGAGAAATGTGTTTTGCTTAATAAAACGTCTCGGCCCTCAGACTTCATGTTGACCTTCTGTCCTTTTTCATATTAATAATGTATATTATGTTACTATACTACATGTTATCTTATTGCTGATCCACCGCTGTGAAATATCCGCTGGGGGAATAAATCAGAAGTATTTTTTCTCATAGACTTCTATAGAACCAGAGGAGTCGCCCCCTGGTGGACACCGCCGAGAATGCAAGGAACTATTGAGGCACCTTTCCTTTGCATTTAGAGAATTCACGCAGTTTTTTATGGGTTTCAACACTGATGGTTCTGGAGGAAGCGTCATTTGGATCATGATTCATCCTCTGGGGGCCGTGAATGTCTGCACAAAGGACCCATGCATGTTGAGATGATTTAAAATAAAAAGTGGTCCAATGTTATCAGTCTAATCTCCCGGTGGCTGGAAGGGAACGAGGGATTCGTGATGGATGCCTGAGTTATTCCTCTGGGAACCATGAATACCTGCAAACATTTCCTCAGCAAAGTTGTTTAGATATTTCAGTTTTGATCCGTTGACCTTCATAGAAACTCAGCAAGATATCAGCAAAGTCCTTTTTGAGCCTCGTAAACATTTCGGCGGGCGGGTTGTTGTGATGTCATCATTCGCACTCTGCTGAGGCGCCTAAAATCCCCCTGAGCTGCTGACGCCGGTGAACCGCAGGCCCGATCCCGGTGGCAGAGGACCTCAGCGACCCTCGACCTTTGTGGGGGGAAAAGCTTTTTCTCAAAATGGCTACGTCCTACACCCAACCTTCACCCTGCTCCCCCCCCTACTCGGCACCACCCGGCACACGCACACTCCCCAAATCGGCACCACCCGGCACCCACGCATTCCTGGACGTTAACTGATGGGTTCCAGGAAAAGAGACGTGAGGAGGTGATGCCGAGGCCGCCTTAATCGCCCACGAACGGCCGAGAGGGAAATGATGAATCGTAGAGGATCAACCTCGTCCTCTCCCTCTGGAACATGCAGCATTACTCGACCCGAGCACAAAGGTGACATTGGTAATAATTATGCAAATCTCCGTCGACCGTGTGGATTCATTCCATTGGTGTCACAAGCTGTGAAGAAGAGCATCAGTGTAGATGGTCACTAAGACGGAAGAAAAAATGCATCATAATTATGAAACTATCAATAATCTTTATTAACGGGAGGCTCCCTCTGCGCTTTGTTTCATAGTTTAAGAAAACTTTTACATTTAATGCAATAAATACCAACAAACAAACTCTGTAAAGCTTATTATTTTAATGTGAAACAATCATCTGAAATATAGGAAGACAGAAAGAAAGACAGACCAAGCTCAGCGTGTGTTTATCAGGTGAACAGTTACATCACAGCGCCCCCTAGTGGCCATGTTGTTTTGTGCAGCCGGTGGGCAAATGTTTGCAGACAACAGGATGGATATCAATGCTGTGCAATATATATATATATATATATATATATATATATATATATATATGCAATCTACGTGTTCATTAGTCTCTGCAGTACAATCACAAAGTTAATTTACATGAAGAGTAACTTTTTGGAAACGTTCTATCAAGAAGAAAGACTAAATAAAGAAAGATGTATTAGTATTTATTAATAACAATATTTTGCCAAAAATGAAAAATATCTTGAAAAAAATGTACAAATATTTTAAATAAAAAATATGGAAAAAACCTACAAAATATTACATCAAAAATATCCGAAACATTAGCTCAGAAAAATATCACGTCAAAGAATGCCATGGAAAAAGGTCAAAATATCTCCATCCATCTGCACACCGCTCATCGTGCACACAGGGTCGTGGGGGGGCTGGAGTCCATCCCAGCCAACTTCAGGCGAGAGTCAAAATATGTTAAAATATTTATATCAATATATCAAAAATATTTGAGGTCGAAAAATATCATGGAGGGACAGGTGTTAAAATATTGGGTCAGAAAAGTAAAAAAATATTAGATTAAAGGATGTGATGGAATAAAAAGTCCTAAAATATTAGGTAAAAAAAATGTTCATGGAAAAAAAAGTCAAAATACATTTTGTCGATATTAGGTGTATACGTTAGGTAGCAATATTAGCTAACAAAAGTATATATATTAGTATAGTATATTAGTTATAAATATACATATATATATTAGATCATGTAGTTTTAGTGGTTTAAAGGACATGTTTTCACTTTAATATAAAATAGATATCAGAGATAAATCATAATTATGCTCAAAGCAGATTATAATACATCACTAACGTATTATATATTTATACATTTCTATCGATTAATATAATATAAATCTATTTATCTATCAATCAAATCTAAATCACATTAATCTCTTTTTTCTTAACCATTTTTGTTAATAATAATTCTCATTATGACCTTAAATTGTATTATTAATATTATTTTAGAAACCGGTAAGACTACAATCCACCGTAAATAGGGCGTCTATCTGTGAGTGAACGGTTACATTGTATCCGTATTATTACATTGTTTATATCGTGTGGATTCCTGTGGCAGGAGGAGGGGTTGGGGGGGGTTTGACAGCCCCGCGTTGCATGCCGGGATACATGTCCCTCTTGTTTACAAGATGGTAGCAGAGGAGATTTCTTTGAGTTAAAAAGAACCCCACAAATTTGTCACCCCGTTAACCCGTCGGTGCCCCGCGAGCCCGGTCCGGACCGCGTGTCGGTGAGCCCGTGTCGGCGGTTAGAACCCGGAAACACGCGCACTCGAGAGGCCCCGCACGCGACTCCGACGGAACCGCAGGTTTGATTCTGCACTGTCACCGAGGGACAGACGGACACTGCGCGCCCGGTACCCCGGATCTAACCTCAGGTCAGTACACGGGGAGTCGCGTCGTGGTGCGTTCACGACCTTCGATTGTTTCCTCTCCTTGTTGTTTAAAAGTATCTCCTTTTAATAAGTTGCCCCAAACAGAGACAGCGAGGAGGCGGACTGTTGGTTCAAAACCAATGTTACTATGAGTTTAATTTGTGTAAATGATACATGTATGTATTTGCGTTTGGGGGTTCCATTCTCTGTATCAAGCTGCATTCTCCGTAGTGACCAGCAGGGGGCGACTCCTCTGCTCCATAGAAGTTTATGAGAAAATGACTACTTTCCTGTTGAGTTATTCGTGACTTTATGGTCTCAATCTCCAGGTTAAAGTCTCTTTCAATGCTGCACATGTTTTTTTTTGTAATTTACGGTCTATTTGGAGTAAAGGACGGAGTTAAGTTATAACTTACGTCCTCACGTCTTATGAGTATTTCAAAACATAATATTGGTTACCAACGCCACATAATATGTGATGTTGTATATTACAATGTAACAATATCGTAGATGTTCTAGTGAATTCTATTATATAACATTTAAGGAGAATTAGCCCAGGTTGCTAATTATCAAGTGTATCTATTTTCGTATGAACATTTCTAATTTGGAGTTATTAATAATATACATTTAAAAAAACGGATTATTCACTTTTATTAATATATTATCGTTAAGGTGTGGAGCCACCAGAAACATGCTGGTCATGAAAATTGGGATATAAATTGGTCTAAATATTTGACCTTATTGCGGATTAAAAAGCGTCCTCCTCCTGTTATTAAAGGCTGTATATATTCATGGTGAAATGTTTGATCGTTACTGAATCTGTCTTCCAGAGGACTGTCCATTGGGTCTGCAGGAGTTTTCCTGAATCCAGCCGAATGTAAGTCATCTAACCGCACTAAGCTAGTTGCACTAGCAGCTGAACTAATTAACCTGCGGTTAGTTGAACGAATATTATGCACCCTTTGATGTACTTTATTTCTTTCTCATCATGTCGTAGCTTTTTCAAATGGAAAAACGTGTGAAAGGGATTTTTTGCTGGAGATCCGTTTGAATCACCGCTATTGCTTCCTGTTTGAATGTCTCGCTCTGCAGGAACAGAGCGGCTGCAAAGCATCTAATCGAGCGCTACTTTCAGCAGTTAACTGACGGCTGTGGAAATGGCGACTGCACGAATGAGTTTTGCGCATCGTGTCGTCACTTTCGACCCTTGGATAAAAATTTGGCGGCGGCCAAAGCGCTCGAGCTGTTTAAGATTAACGCCAAACTCTGCAATCCCCAACCCTCCAACGAAGACGATCCGGACGACAAGATGAGCGAGACGGACGCCAGTACGACCACGGAGGACTTCTCGGGTAAATCCAGACTACCACGGATGCTGCCCCTGAATCCGTTCACTGCGTTGACTGTGTTTTCGTTTTTTCTTCCCCATTTTTGTTCCAGATGTTCATTACCTCACGGAGAACACAGTCTGCGCCATCCTGAGTTTCTGCGAGGAGCAAGGTGATTACTCCGCGCTCATCCGCGTCGTCGGCAGGATTTTCTCCAGTTCTGAGGCCTTGACGAAGAGCTTCAGGAAGGATGAACCCACCGCTACGGAAACCCCTGACTCCTCTGAACCAACAGACGTGGACCAGCAGGAGAAGCAAAGTTCGGAGACAACGGGGGCGTCCTCCGCCGCGCCGGACGAGGGTCTGGAGGAAATGCTGGACCCTTGCGAGGTGACGGTGGACATTGCCGCCCTGAGGAGGGTCTACGACCGACTCCTGAGCCTCGACCAGGTGGAGTCCGCTCTCGTGAACGCGCTCGTTTACCTCACCCCGAATATGGAGCTCGACCTGGAGTACCTCGACGTGTACGAGACGAGCCCCGACTACCTGAACATCTTCATCATCGTGTTGGAGAACAGTAACCTCCACAGCCCCGAGTACCTGGAAACGGCTCTGCCGCAGTTCTGCAAGGCCATGAGCAAACTCCCGGTGGCGGCGCTCGCCAGGCTGTCGAGGCTCTGGTCCCGGTACGGACTGGCGCACATCCGCCGAATGACGGAGACCTTCCAGCAGCTCATCACCTTCACGGTCGTCAGCAACGATTACGACGGCGAGAACCTGGTGAACGACGACGCCGCCGTGGTGGCCGCCACGCAGTGCCTGAAGGTCGCCTTCTACGCGAGCATCCTGGGGGGCGACGTGGACGTGGAGCACAACGAAGACGAGGAGGAGGAAGACGGCGAGTCGGACGAGCTCTCCCTCCACGAGCTGCTGGGAGAAGAGCGGCTGTACAAGAAAGGTCCGCCGGCCGACCCGCTGGAGAGCGAGCTGGGGGTCCGACCCGTGGACAGCATCAGGCCCCTCATCCCCTACGAGGACTTTGTCAACGAGTCGCTGAACGAAGTGGTGGAGATGGACAAGGACTTCACCTTCTTCAAGGTCAACGCCGAAACCAAGTTTTCCTTCCAGAGCTGCCCCTTCATCCTCAGCGTCATCACCAAGAACCAGGGGCTGTACTACGACAACCGGATCCGGATGTACAGCGAGCGCCGCCTCACGGCCCTCTACAGCATGGTCCAGGGCCAGCAGCCCAACCCCTACCTCAAGCTCAAGGTCCGCCGGGACCACATCATCGACGACGCCCTCGTCAGAGTGAGTCACGTAGCCGAAGTGTTGAGATTCTCCTTGAGTGTTAACATCGCTGCAGTATTCACGACTCTGTAAGCGGTATTTTGAGGGTAGATGATTCTCCAATGTTCGCACAATCCGGCAAAAGTCAACCCAAACTACATCGTCACAAACCTGACAAAGGCATGAATTCAGACTTTTTTAGTAAGAAGTAGTGGTTTCCTTTGATTCAGTTCTCTCTGTTTCCCAAACCGCTGTGATCCCACCAGGCAAACGTGTAGCTGGCTTGATACGGGAGAAAATGTCTTTTGAAATTTGCCCAATGTCTCCAAAACGATCCGCCGGTCGAACCTGACGCGTGAAAAGTGAGGGGGGGGGGGACTTTTGGGTGTGGATGTTGTAAGATGTTTAGGCTCCGCCCCCGCCGTGTTTGTTCACAACTTCAACGCTCTCGCGTTGCAGCTGGAGATGATCTCCATGGAGAACCCCTCCGACCTGAAGAAGCAGCTGTTCGTGGAGTTCGAGGGGGAGCAAGGTGTAGACGAGGGAGGGGTGTCGAAGGAGTTCTTTCAGTTGGTCCTGGAGGAAATCTTCAATCCCGACATTGGTAAAACAAGAGTTTACGTTTGCCTTCTTTCTTGTATCGCACCAGCGGAGAGACTTGCTTCAGTGCCGATAGATCGATGAGAAGATTGATACCTTTTTGTTTGACTTAAACAGGAATGTTCAGCTACGACGACGACACCAAACTCTTCTGGTTCAACTCGTCCTCTCTGGAGAACGAGGCCCAGTACACTCTGGTCGGACTCGTCCTGGGACTCGCCATCTACAACAACTGCATCCTGGACGTTCATTTCCCCATGGTGGTCTACAGGAAACTCATGGGAAAGAAGGGCACCTACCTGGACCTGCCAGACTGCCATCCAGTACAGTAACTTTCTCCACAGTTGACGTACATTCAGCAACACAAAAGACACGTTTGTGTTGCTGAATGAATTCACTTAATTTTATTTTGTATAACCCCAAATCGCAAATTCCAAATTTGCCTCAGAGGGCTTTACAGTCTGTACACATGGGACATCCTCTGTCCCGAAACCCTCACAACGGCACAGGAAAACTCTTCCATGGGAAGGGTTAGGGTTAGGGTTAGGGTTAGAAAGGGGAGGGAACTTGAGGGGAACATCAGAGGAGGATCCGTCTCCTGATGGACAGACTACAATGATGTCATGTGTACAGAATGAACAATTTAAACGATGTACAATACATTCCAATAATAAGAGTAGTAAGCAGGTGTACGACAGAACCGCCATCAGACAGAACCGCCATCAGACAGGACCGCCATCAGATAGAACCGCCATCAGATAGAACCGCCATCACACATAACCGCCATCAGACAGGACCGCCATCAGACAGAACCGCCATCAGACAGGACCGCCATCAGATAGAACCGCCATCAGACAGAACCGCCATCAGACAGGACCGCCATCAGACAGGACCGCCATCACACATGACCGCCATCAGACAGAACCGCCACCAGACAGAACCGCCATCACACAGAACCGCCATCACACAGAACTTCCATCAGACAGGACCGCCATCGGACAGGACCGCCATCAGACAGAACTGCCATCACACATGACCGCCATCACACAGAACCGCCATCAGATAGAACCGCCATCAGACAGGACCACCATCAGACAGAACCGCCGTCAGATAGAACCGCCATCAGACAGGACCGCCATCACACATGACCGCCATCAGACAGAACCGCCATCACACATGAACCGCCATCACACAGAACCGCCATCAGATAGAACCGCCATCAGACAGGACCCGCCATCAGACAGAACCGCTGTCAGATAGAACCGCCATCAGACAGGACCGCCATCAGCACATGACCGCCATCAGACAGAACCGCCATCAGACAGGAACCGCCATCGGACAGGACCGCCATCAGACAGAACCGCCATCACACATGACTCCCATCCCACAGAACTGCCATCACACAGAACGGCCATCAGACAGGACCACCATCAGACAGGACCGCCATCAGACAGGACCCGCCATCAGACAGGAACCGCCATCACACATGACCGCCATCACACAGAACCGCCAATATTTATTATAATAATGATGATGATGATTGCAGCAGCAGGGCCACGGCAGGAGGCAAGAACAGAGTCCAGATAGAACCACCATTGCACTCTGTTAGTCCAGAAAGCACGAGTACTCCGTGGAAGAAAGAGTTAAGGCGCTTCTGCAACTGCGTCTCCGGCTTTTCGCCTTTTTGTGCCGATGGACTCGTTTCAGTTCATGGTTCTAAAAGGGCTGCGCGTGTTGCAGAGCAATTCACCGCCAGAACACTAGGGGGAGTAGCGTTTTTTGACGTCTTTGTCGAAGACGACCTAGAGAATGCCGTCTTTGTGTGTGGTTGTCGTTGGTTGTTTATTTACTCTGACGTTTGCGGAGTCCTTATAGTCCGCCAATGACGGGTCATATTTACGCATTTCCTCCGACAAACGCTCTTCAATCTGATTCACTCTCTCTTCAAAAAGCTTTTTAAAGTGTTCGTGGGCATCTTGGATCCGTAGTTATATTGGTTGTTGTTTTTTAAACCAGCATTTGAATAAATGATAAATAACGTGTTGCTGAGCTTCGGAGGTCATCTAAGGTCAAACTATTGAACAGACATGAGCGCGCCTAGAGAACCCGCGAGCCAGCTCCTGACCAGAAACCACGGCGACGGGTTTCCTCACGTCGCTTCTCTTCCTGCAGAGTCTCTTCCAGAGCCTGAAGAAGCTGCTGGAATATGGCGGCAACGTGGAGGAAGACATGATGCTCACCTACCAGATTTCCCACACAGACCTGTTTGGCAACCCGATGCTGCACGACCTGAAGGAGGAGGGCGACCAGATCCCCGTCACCGCGGACAACCGGCAGGTGAGGGTCATGTGATCGGGTTCATGTGACATGTCGGTAGATGTTGGGATTTCATCAAAGCTGGGCTTGTTTTTATCACCAAATAATTGCTTGGTTTAATATTCTCATGTTTTATGACATTCTATAATGCGTTGTTAGGTTACCTAGCTTTATATAATGTAATATAACATATTGATTTAGGAACTTTTTTATCACATTTTAAACAGTGTTTTTGCTTTTGGCCTCTTTGAATGTCAGGAGTTTGTGGACACGTATGCTGACTACGTCCTGAACAAGAGCGTCGAGAGACAATTCAAGGCCTTTAGGAAAGGCTTCCTGATGGTCACCAAAGAGTCTCCTCTCAAGTATTTGTTCAGACCGGAGGAAAGTCGAGATGCTGATCTGCGGCAGCAGGGTGAGGAAACCGTTTCATTTAAAAGAACTTCTCTACCGCGGATGTTTAATTTATGACTTAACAGACAAAATCTCTCTGGCAGAAACTCGACTTCGAAGCTCTTGAAAAGACGACGGAATACGACGGAGGTTACAGCAAAGACAGTCAGATCGTCAAGTGAGTCTCTTTTCGGTCTTCGTATTAACCAGCAGCAGCAGCACACACTCGTCTCCTTCAACCTGCTTTCACTTTCTCGCCCAAAGAGACTTCTGGGAAACGATCCACTCGTTCGGGGAGGAGCAGAAGAGGTTGTTTCTGCAGTTCACCACCGGCACGGACAGAGCGCCCGTCGGAGGGCTCGGCAAGTTGAAAATGATCATCGCCAAGAACGGCTCCGACACGGACAGGTACTGAGACACTAGGACTGTGATGGGAGGCCGCAGGTAACATCAGGTAAAGCAGTCGTGGTAAAAATCACACAGCGCCGCCCCCCCCCCCCCCCCAAATGCTCAAAAGGTCGGTCGGTTTAAAACAAAGGAAAGCAGAAAATCTCAAGCGTTTTACCTCCACGTTTAATCTCTCAGTAGTTTCCACTGTGATCTGGTCGGTCTCGTTCGTAACCTCCGTGTCGGCGTCCCTTTCAGGCTCCCGACGTCTCACACCTGCTTCAACGCGCTGCTGCTCCCCGAATACTCCTCCAAGGACAAACTGAGGGAGAGACTCCTGAAGGCCATCACCTACGCCAAAGGCTTCGGGATGCTTTGATCCGCGAGGGAGGAAGCTTTTCCAACTACGTTTTTACAAATGAAATTTAAAAAAAAAAAAAGGGAGTATCATAAAAAAAAGAGGGGGAAACAGCGCTGTGCCTCACCACGCTGCACCGGTCAGACCACAACGCAACATTAGCTTTCCCAAAGAGTTCAAACCGGCACTTGAATTGTATTTTCTTTTGTGTTGTGTTTCTTAACGAGTTATTTGATTGGTGAAAACTGTGAAAGTGCACTTACACACAGGATTTTAAGCGACGTGCGGTTTATTTATTGGCATTCTCTTGTGTTTTGGGGAGCTCTCGTGTAGCAGCATCCAGCGCTCTCCTCCCTCAGCCGGGAGTGGACTTTCCATAATGGTGCTCCTTGTATGTAGTATAATATTTTGTATTGCCGCTAACACAAATAGCCTCACTGACGAGCTCTTATTTGATCCGTTTCCTGTCAGCGTGAGAGCAAACTCTCCGCTCGCCCTCTGGTTATTTCAAAGTATTTCTGTGCACTACATGCAACGTGAGTACTGTGTGTGTTGTGACACCCTGAGCGGGTTTGTGTGGTTTCTGACGGCTCCGCTCAGACTTTCACATCCTGTCTCTCATCCCCCGTTTGGTTTGCTTTTTTAAAGTGTTTCTGATTGCACATTTGTAAGTGCAGTTGCCAAAATTGTGCAATGCCCATATACAGTATACATAAAGAAAAGAGTCACATGAAGTGTTTTATTCGGCCAAATATCTCAGGTACATAAAGAATGTGCAGATAATGTGAAACTCTTGTAAAGTGACGGTTATGCAAATAAATAATGGTGAAATAATTCAATTATCTTTGTCATAATGCATTAAGGGATTTTCACTATCAACCTATGATATTGATACATCTGCTATAATCAATACTTTATATATATATATATATATATATATATATATATATATATATATATATAATTATATATATATATATATATTCAATTATATTTGTCATAATACATTATGGGCTATATATTATATATGTAAAGGGTCTGTGTGTACCATTTAAAGGGTTCTGAATATAATATTAATAAGCATGTTTTCTGTAGTGTGTGATCACTTGATACAGCTTGTCAATGCTTTATCTCTGAAAGCTGACCAGCAGGGGGCGACTCCTCCTGGTCCCATAGAAGTCTATGAGAAATTCCCTCAGTAAACATTGTAAACATGAGTTTATGGTCTCAATCTGTAGTCTTCTCCAATACAGCACGTTCATTTTGTCATTTATGGTGAATTTAGAATAGAACAAAACATAAAGCAGGTTTGCTTTAGGGCGGGGCTACCTTTTAATTGACAGGTCTTCACCAGAAACGTGTACTGCGCCTCTAAGTCGCTCTTCCACAGTTCAAATATGGTCACTTGGTCACCGTTTGACTGCTTTTAAAAAGCCAAGATGGCAACGGACAAAGTGCCGAACTTGATTTTTATTGTCTTAGAACTAGATGAGAGGTCCTCTTCTTGGAGTCCGCCATGTTTCTACAGTACAAACGGATCACATGAATGCAGGTTACGTGACAGGATTCTAAGCACAAGAGCATCATCACTCGCCTTTATCTTCCAAGAAGACGATCTATACACCAACAGTATGTTATATCAACATTTTTATTTACATGTAACTTTGCAATTTACAACTGACAGTGTATGCTGATTATAACAAACTGACCTGCATTTTGAGTTTCATTTTGTACCTTCACAGGCCGTATCAAATGGATGTAGCAGTTCAAAACATTCCTCTTTATTCTAAGGCTATGAAAAGCCTTTTTTTGCATGCACAATATATATGCGTGTTTGTGTGTGTGTGTATATATATATATATACACATGATATATAAATATTCTCAAAGCAAACACAAATAAATGTGCTGCATACACTGTACACAATTTGACACATTATAATGATGGTGAACAGTATAAACGGATATAAACATGGTCCTTTGAAAAGCGACTCTACTTTGCGTGATGAAAAGTTTTCCATGAAGTCCTCGTGTATCTCTCACATCACTGGACTTTTTTGTCCTTGTCGGCGACCACTTCTGACAGATCCTCGGGTTGTATGGATTTAACTTTGGCCTCCATCTCAGTGACCCTCTGCTTCATCCTGGACTGGCCGGAGGTGAACTCCGCCATCAGCTGGGCGAACTTGCCCTGCATGAGATCCAGGTTGCCCTGCAGTTTGACGATCTTCTCCTCCAGGTCTTTGGGGTCGGCGCCGGCGTTGGCGATCGCCTCGTCGATCAGGTTGTCCTTCATCAGGATGGCTTTGCCCTTCTCCTCCAGAGCCTTTTTGGCATCTGGATACTCGGTGAGAGCCTCCATCAGGTCGTCTTTAGACAGGGCAAAGAGATCGGAGTAACCTACGCTGCGGATGTTGGCCGTTCTCCTGTTTCCTGCTTTACTGCCCTTGATGCCCAAGATGCTGATCTCCCCAAAGTAAGCGCCATCGCTGAGCACCACGAACTGAGTGACCCCGTCATCGGCCACCACGGCCAGCTTCCCCTCCTTGATGATGTACATCTCCCTGCCGATATCCCCCTTCTTGCAGATGTAATCGCCAGGACTGAAGACTTGTGGCTGCAGCTTGAGCACCAACTCAATCAGCAGACCGGCTTCGCAGTCCTGGAAAATACGAACTTTCTTCAGCGTGTCCAAATGGACGTTGATGGCAATCTCGGCCTTGAGCTTGTCCGGAAGGTTCTTTAACACTTCCTTCTCATCACAGGTCTTCTTCTCAGTCCACAGGTAGTCAAACCACTTGATGACCCTGGCCTCCAGTTCTTTGGTGACCTTTCGGAACTGCATGTACTGCTTTATGGAGTCGATCTTCGCCTGGAACTCGGCCCGGGAGGCGTTCATGTTGGAAATCATGGCACCGACGTTACCGACAATACTAGCAAAGATCAGCACGCCCGTGAGGAAGTCGGCAATGACAAAGACAAATTCAATATCCTGGACTGGAGCAGGGGTCTCTCCGATGGTGGTAAGGGTCAAGGTGGACCAGTACAGGGAGTAGATGTACTTTCTGGCCAAGCGGCCGTGCTCTGGGTGGCTGATATTGGGATACACCCACGTGTCGGTTCCAAAACCAATGGTTTTCGAAATGGCAAAGAACATACAAGCATTCCAGTGGATAATAATGAGAATGTAGAGTACAAGATTGCTGATACGAAACATGTTTGGGAAGCTGGTTCTGGTTTCAGTCCGCTCGAAGAACTCAAAAAGCCTCGAGATTTTGCAAAGACGGTTAAATCTGAACTCTGGGTTGTTGTATCCAAACTTCAGAAACAGCAGATCGGTGGGTATCATCGAAATCATGTCGTATTTGAACTGAGATGTTGTTCTGTATTTATTTCTCAGTTTTGTGGCATCTTTCACCAGCAGGCCTTGTTCCAGGTAACCTGAGGGGCAAACACAAAATTAGGAACCAAACCAACAACTACGACAGACAAAGAGAAGAAAATGGTGGTGGTTGTCACGGTGAAAACACACGTCAGTCGGACTGTATAGTGTTCTACAGTGAACAGTGTTCTGTCACAGCTGTGGAGACAGATGGCCGCTTGCCACAAGCCGCGTGTTGGGCGTATTTCCTGTAACCAGTGTGGCATCGACACACGGTGCAGTTAGCGAGCTAGCTAGCTCACTGACTGTACTGTAACCAGTGTGGCATCGACACACGGTGGAGTTAGCGAGCTAGCTAGCTCACTGACTGTACTGTAACCAGTGTGGCATCGACACACGGTGGAGTTAGCGAGCTAGCTAGCTCACTGACTGTACTGTAACCAGTGTGGCATCGACACACGGTGGAGTTAGCGAGCTAGCTGGCTCACTGACTGTACTGTAACCAGTGTGGCATCGACACGCGGTGGAGTTAGCGAGCTAGCTGGCTGACTGACTGTAGGCTACGCCAGCTGCCCGACTAGCCCGTTTGTTCCAATGGTTACAGAAAAGGTTGCAATGCACATTCCCGCGCCGTGACATTAAGTTGTTTACTCTAAGCTCTCAGCTTGGTGACGTCGCTGCTCTAGTCTGCTTATAACAAGTGGACGCAGAATCTGAGGCACAAACTACCGTAACGACGACTGCGTCTTCTTCTTACGTGAGGTCAGGGCTTCTGACTGCTGTCTCTCCTGCTCCACACTGGTTCTCACCTCCTCACCAGCTCCCTTGTTCATACGTACTGGTTCACTTACTTTGTTCTCATTGCCTATGAGTGTTGCACCACAGGTTTTCATCATTCCGGTCGTCTTCATATCCTGACTATCCGGGTTTTTTAGACCCGGCCTGTCTCATCGGAATCGAGCCTCTGCTCATCTCTTTTCCTTTCGTTTGTGCTCAGTAAAGATCGTTGCACTTACTACTTTGCCTCCTGAGTCGCACTTGGGTTCTATTGTGCTTTTCGCAACGGCAACAGGGCACATTGTTTTATTGGACAAATCTCCCTTTCACTGATATTCTATTTCTGTGTTCAACTCTTAAAAAGCCAGACTCCAACCTGTTCTTGATCTGACGAACGTATCGGTGAAGTAGATGATGTCTGTGGTGTAGTCCAAGAAGAGCCAGAGGCGCGTATATGTTTCCTGGAGTTCGTTAAAACAGGATCTGACAAACATGGAGGACACGTTTTTAAAGTGGAAGTGAAGCGCAAAGGGCCTCTGAGAGATCTTTTAAAGCACGTTGAATGAACAATACCTTGTAACAATCATCATGAGGTTATAAAATACCGGGCCTGCGATGATGGTCAGCCATCTGTAGTACTGGTCTGCGGCTGGATCCATAATCCAGATTTCTTTCCTAAAGACAACTCAGTATTACTGTGTTGCTGCAATAATGTGTTAATTGTTGAAACGGAACGTATGAAAGACACAGATTTGTTTTTCTGTAATTCCATCTCCCAGCAGTCGCAGCAGACTGTATCTAACGATGTACTTACGGTGGCTCCTCTTTCTTTTTATCATCTTTCTTATCATCCTTTTTATCATCCTTCTTCTCCTCCTTCTTCTCCTCTTTCTTCTCATCCTTCTTCTCTTCGTCTTTCTTCTCGTCTTTCTTCTCATCCTCTTTTTTCTCCTCCTTTTTAATCTCCTCTTTTTTGCTACGAATCAGAAGTTTAGATTTCTTACGGCTGCGGAGAAGGACGGAGGTGGGGGCCTCCGAGGAGCTACCGGACTACAGGGAGGAGGTGTCTCCTGGACGTTTCACAGTTTGGGGATTTCTTTGTTGTAAGATCTGATGCAGGTCACACATTTGTCCAGCAGATGGCATCCTAATAATACAGGTATGTGGATAGGTGAGTCCTCCACCGTTTACCACTAAATATCTGAATATGTCTGTACATTCTCCCACACTCCTAAACTCCTCCGCTCTCTTCACTGGCTACTGGTGGCTGCCCGCATCCAGTTCTAAACATTGGTGCTCACGTACCAGGATGGGGTCCAGCTTACATCCAGGACATGGTCAAACCCGACATCCCGACCCGCACTCTCTGCTCTGCATCTGATAAACTGCTTGTTCCTTCTCACTGAGAGCAAAACACTCGACTAGATCTCCACTCTTTGCTGTCATGCTCCTAAATGGTGGAACGAGCTCTCTGAAGACATCAGGACCACAGAGATCCTTCACATCTTCAGACTAAAGATACACCTCTTCAGACTCTACCTCCACTAGAAGACTAACAAACTGTAGCACTTACATTGTACTTATAATGGTTCTTATCTATAGCAAGTTGTAGATTGACTTATTTGAAATTGCACTTCTTGTTTCTTGTTCTTCTGAGTGTTTATCTTTATGGTTGAATGCACTTATTGTAAGTCGCTTTGGATAAAAGCGTCAACTAAATGACATGTAATGTACATTCAATAACCATACCGTCCACTGAGGGTTGAATCAGTGTAACCCACATCATGACGTACAACAAAAAGTTTTATTGCTCTAGAAGAGGAGGAAACATCCATCAGGGACGGGGAACACTAGTTGGTTCAAGGACGTCTAGCTCTTCTATCTTCTAATATACCACATTAGCTATATGATACAAACCATGCTATGAAGAATAACTATAAATCTACTGATCTAATCCGTTTCCTGACTCGGATGTGCTCACACTTACTCGTCTGTGTTGTTGCAGTTATTCATGTTGTAAGTAGCTAGTGGCCACTTACTGGCAAGACTTTGGAAAGAAATAAAAGACAGAATTGTTGCACGATGAACCTTAAAAGTGTCACGAGTGAATGAACTAAATAATGAATCCAAGCAGGTTAAATGGATGTTCTTAGTGGAGTATAGATTCATGTTACTAGTGGAGTATATATTCATGTTACTAGTGGAGTATAGATTCATGTTACTAGTGGAGTATATATTCATGTTACTAGTGGAGTATAGATTCATGTTACTAGTAGATTATATTCATGTTACTAGTGGAGTATAGATTCATGTTACTAGTGGAGTATATATTCATGTTACTAGTGGAGTATAGATTCATTTTACTAGTGGAAGTATTATATTCATGTTACTAGTGGAGTATATATTCATGTTACTCGTGGAGTATAGATTAATGTTACTAGTGGAGAATAGATTCATGTAACTAGTGGAGTATAGATTCATGTTACTAGTGTAGTATAGATTCATGTTCATAGTGGAGTATATATTCATGTTATTAGTGGAGTCTCGGTTCCTGTTACTCGTATAGATTCATCGTCACTTGGGGCCTGATAATGAAGCTGCCCGGTGGGTCTGGTACTTACTTCCTCTTCCGGGTCGAGTCGTTTTGGCCCACAGACTGAGCATTGCTCTCTCGGCTGGAGAGATCTTTGAGCTCGGGGCCTCTGAAGCGTTCAAGGAAAGAGTCGTGCCGCTCTGTTTCGGGGTTTACTCTGTGGGACGTCCAGTTCCACAGCATGAAGAAGAAGTAAGAGAGCCTAGAAGGTTAGCAGCAGGGAAACAGAGCAAAGTGATACCCCTCTACTCTAGGAACAGATACAGTGGTGGAGGAACCCTTCAGATCCTTCAGGAGAAGTAGTACAACAATGAAATACTCCATTGAACACACGGCTTGGCCTATGGCTTATGTAACCATTTAAAATGGACCAGATGTGGCTTGTAAACATTCACAAACCGAAAATGTTGGTCACCTCTTATTTATTACTCTAATGTGTTTGACTTTATTAGTCTTCTTTTAGATCGGAATGATATCTTCTACATCTCACAAAACATATGTAATCTACAGATTGGTAAAACCAGGTGACGTAGTATAAAGACCCTTAAAGTTGCCCAGTGTGCTAAAGACCAGCAACTGCATGGAAGTGTTAAAAAACCTCAATAAACCTCCTCGAATTAATTACCTGAATGAACTTTCCACCACTGCTACACAAAGGTGCCACAACAGAAATTTACCTGGCCATCGCCCCGGTGCCTGTGAAGGAGTCTCTGCGGGACTCTGAAGACAACGCCGTCTCTGAGTTGTCTTCACAAAGAGACGCGGCCCTGCGAGACAGCAGGTGGGAAAACGTTACAGGGACACGTGCAACTCATTTTGTGTGAGTACTGAGACAAAGGACGGTGAGCGGCCGGGAGGTGGAGGCATCACACCTGCTGTCTCCATTTTCGATGACGGCGAGCTCGTCATCGGGCCTGTTGGAGGCCGGCCGCTGCCTGGTGGAGAAGGACTTCACACAGCCGACTTTTGCCATGTCGTCTGTCTCTTTGGGCTCTGCAGCTCAGCAGCGAAGAAAAAAGAAAAAAGCTGTGTCAATGATTATGTTTACTGAACGCCACCGTCGTCTGAGAGTATAACGCCTAAAAATACCTCATTAAGTCCTTAACTCTAAACAGGATCAGGGCTCCGTCTCTGTGGAACGCTCAGCTGCTTTTTTAAAATAACTAAGCTATGGCTTACAGGTGGACTGGAGTTGCTATGTCCAGTACGTGTGTGCGGCAGGTTAAGTCCATTAGAGCACCACTTTGAGATCAGGTCCACCTGTAAGAGGTGAGCACGCTGACCGTGTGCAGGGTTCAGTCCGGGGGAAACGGCGCCTGGGATTAAAGAGAAAAGGCATATCGTGCATATTTGTGATGCAGCGCTGGTGGATTCCCGGGTCGGGGGGGGGGGGGGGCCCCCCCCCCCTCAAAAGTCTGCGGGTAAATAATGACTCGCTGATCTCTGGGGAACACCAATGGTTGTAACACGTGCACACGTGCAGCTTAGTGCTAATACCAGGGAGTTAACCAACCCCCACCGCATTAAACCACACAGGCAGAGTGCAGGTGAAGTCTGTGCACCGAATCATCCGTGTTGATCCTGAGAATAAATGGTGGAGGGTTCAGAGAGGACTGTTAGGAATCAGTCCATGAGTGGATGATGGTGCAGTTGTTGGAAAGACACTTCAACGCGCACACACACACACACACACACACACCTTCGTGTACTTTGGACATTTCTAATATGTACATCACCATAGAAAGGTTGGACACACTTTTTCATGGAATTGAATGAGAAAATGTGTCCAAACCTTTGACAGGTAGTGTAGTTATTGTGTATAATCATATTAATATTCAGGCATGTGTCAACATGATTTTAGTAAAAAATACACATAAAGCACATTAAAGTGAAAGTTAAAAACGCCTCTTACTGATGCATAAAACCTTATTTGAGTAAGACAAATGATCGTAATATACTTCATAAAGAAACATTAATTTGTTATTTTGAGAAGTTTGAATTCACAACAGTCAATATCTCCATAATAGTTTGTATTAAACCTGATATATAAGTTCCCAAACTCTGTTTGTTCTCATTACACGTTAACAAGTCACCTTTAACTCCACCTTCGGTGCGTCAGATGAAAAGTCATGACGTCTTTAGAAGGAATTTACCGAATCACCTTGGACAGAACCGCCGAGGTTACAACACAGAACCCGACGCTGTGTTTTAAATGCGATTGTTTTTGTGTTGGAGGAGAACTCACCCGATCGGAGCCGTTTCACACCGACTTCTGTGTTCCGACGGAACCAATAATCCCCCGGTGAGCGCGTCTGGCTGATTCCATCTCCCGGACACACACGCGAACTCACTTCTGCGCGCAATTATTTACGAGCCTTTTGTCCAAAATAACGGCGGCGGCTGTGTGATAGTTGGCAGCAGCGGCTCTGCTGGGTGAGGACGTGCTGGCTGAGCGCACAGGTCCCAGATCAGACAGGGGGAGGAGACCTGTCCATCACTGGAGTCCATCACTGTAGTCCATCCCTGTAGTCCATCACTGGAGTCCATCACTGTAGTCCATCCCTGTAGTCCATCACATGAGTCCATCCCTGTAGTCCATCACATGAGTCCATCACTGGAGTCCATCACTGTAGTCCATCCCTGTAGTCCATCACATGAGTCCATCCCTGTAGTCCATCCCTGTAGTCCATCCCTGTAGTCCATCACATGAGTCCATCAGTGTAGTCCATCACTGGAGTCCATCCCTGTAGTCCATCACATGAGTCCATCACTGGAGTCCATCACTGGAGTCCATCCCTGTAGTCCATCACATGAGTCCATCACTGGAGTCCATCACATGAGTCCATCACATGAGTCCATCACATGAGGCCATCACATGAGTCCATCACATGAGTCCATCACTGGAGTCCATCACATGAGTCCATCACATGAGTCCATCACTGGAGTCCATCACATGAGTCCATCACATGAGTCCATCACTGGAGTCCATCACTGTAGTCCATCACATGAGTCCATCACTGGAGTCCATCACTGTAGTCCATCACATGAGTCCATCACTGGAGTCCATCCCATGAGTCCATCACTGGAGTCCATCCCTGTAGTCCATCACATGAGTCCATCCCTGGAGTCCATCACTGGAGTCCGTCACATGAGTCCATCACATGAGTCTATCACTGGAGTCCATCATATGAGTCCATAACTGTAGTCCATCCCTGTAGTCCATCACATGAGTCCATCACTGGAGTCCATCACTGTAGTCCATCACATGAGTCCATCACTGGAGTCCATACACATTAGTTCATCACTGTAGTCCCATCACATGAGTCCCATCAGTGTAGTCCATCACTGGAGTCCATCCCCTGTAGTCCATCACATGAGTCCATCACTGGAGTCCATCACTGGAGTCCATCCCCTGTAGTCCATCACATGAGTCCATCACTGGAGTCCATCACATGAGTCCATCACATGAGTCCATCACATGAGTCCATCACATGAGTCCATCACATGAGTCCATCACTGGAGTCCATCACATGAGTCCATCACATGAGTCCATCACTGGAGTCCATCACATGAGTCCATCCCTGTAGCCATCCCTGGAGTCCATTACATGAGTCCCTCCTTGAGGAGTCCATCACTGGAGTCCATCACGAGTCCATCCCTGTTTTTTCCATCACTGTAGTCCATCACTGGAGTCCATCACGAGTCCATCCCTGGAGTCCATCACTGTAGTTCATCACATGAGTCCATCACATGAGTCCATGACTGTAGTCCATCCCTGTAGTCCATTCCTGGAGTCCATCACATGAGTCCATCACATAAGTCCATCGCTGGAGTCCATCAGTGGGGCCGTCTATCACTATGGTCCATTTTTGTTTACTTGTTCATTACTTGATTCTATCACTGAACCGTCCTTGTGTCGAGTCCATCACTGGACTCATGTACTGATAAATGGCGATATGACAATCTGTGAACAAAACAAGACAACATTTTAAATCTAATGTTCACATGTATGTCCTTTATTATTAGCAGGCCTTTATTATCACTCTATCAAATATTTGTATAAGAAATCAACTGCGGAGGTTGAGCAATGGTCTTTGTAATTATTGCAGTCTGAGAGAAGCATCGCACAGTCACAGCTCACCCCCCCCCCAATCACCTGAAGGCATAAGGTGAAAAGAGAAATCCTTTGGCAATATGTGGAGCCGCAGCACTAATCCAGCTTAGACCTGAGCTCCTGTTGCAGCCACCTAATGCCGCTCATGGATGTGGTCACTTACAGAAATGCCACTTTTGAACAACATTTTGCTCTGTAAGCCAATATTACACCCAAGCCATGAACAGACCGACGCCTGCTGCTCCAATGTTCCTTTTAGCTCATGAACTCTGACTTTCCGTCATATATGCATTTGACCAATCATCTACAGAAATCATCCCTGTGATTCAGATACGAACAAAACCGCCACAGAGCCTTATTGTATTGTTTTCTGCGTCTGGGTTTATCTAAATCTGAAGGGAATTAGCACTGTAATAGACTTTGGATTGTCCTCACTGAGAGTGGGGTTTAGGGCAATCCGTTAATAGAAACTGTACTAGATACCCAGAAAGGGTGCTTACATGCAGAGACTCTGTGGCTGACACTAAACACGGCGTCTCAAGCACTAATACATTGTATTTGTTCCAACCAGTTGCTGCTTTGGCAGAATAAAATGCAGGAGCAATCACTCTCCTCTTCTCCAAGCCCTCATTAAGTTCAGTTCCCAGGTGCAGAGATCCATGCAAAGCCTCTTTACATCCCTGCCAGAAGGCACGCGGTAATTACGGCGTCCTGAACCCGGGGCCCTCACACCGCATGACGGCCTCTCCGTGCACTTCCAAACGTGTTCCCTCCTCGCGCACACGGCTCTTCGATCGGCAGCCGGAGGCTCCGGCTCCTCCTCAGTCCGCCGGCGTGGCGAGAGCCGATTGTCGCACCGCGTGGAAGCTCGGCTTCACGACATCACATTTTACTGATCATTTTTTAATTGCATGGAGGAAATGTCGACCCCCTGGTGAGCCGGTTTGCAGCTGTGGATCCTCAGGTTGGGCCCTTCTGGTCTGGCCGATGACATAAGGCGCTTAATTCCCTTCTTGAAAAGACATTTTACAGAATGGCTTTCATGTGATGTGTTGTTTTTTATGGCTTCGCTGCTTTATGTTATTTTATTTGTGGACACAGTGGAGGCCACTCCAATCAGACTGAAATGAATCCATTCTGTGTCCCGGTGGAGGACAGCGGGCCGTACATGCCTGTGAGGTGGAATCAGAGCTGAAGGGGCCCTCGCAGCTGATGTCGGCTGAAGAGCGGCTCCGAGGCCTCTTGAGCTGTTGTGTCCTGTTCATCAGATGCTGGCCGTGATTACTTGAACCTCGTCATTGTTTTAATCCAAACAGAGAGGCCGATTTATCCGGCGCCAAGAAACGCATGCGGCGTTGCCACGACAACCTCGGTCACGTCAAACAAAACATGTCAAGATCTTTCTTTCATAATCCTCTAATCGAGCCGTCATTTTTTGCGGACTGCAATCAGCGTCTTCCCGTTTCCACTCCCAATCAGTGTGTGTGTGTGTGTGTGTGTGTGTGTGTGTGTGTGTGTGTGTGTGCGCTTACCTTCACGTTCACACTCGTCCTTTACAATGAGGACAAACAAATGGTGCTTTTAATATGGTCATGGTAGGTTTTCCTCAGTGAACTTTTCATATGTTGCAACATTTTTGTATATTTCATCAGACTGTCAGATTTCATCGATTCCATTATTGGTCACTATTTCCTTTTAGTGTGAAATTTTGTTTTTCTGTCAAAACTGAGGTGGAAACATGAGAAAAGTTTATTACACTTCTGCCCTCTGCAGGAAACTTTAGGAAACGCCTCCAGTAGGTCGTGATTTTTGGCTGATGTGCTTCACACAAACCTGAATGTATGTTTTAATCTCTGATTCTTAATGTTTCCTACTTTGTTGGGGTTTGAAGTTTGTGCAGTATAACATCTTAGCCTATAAACAAGCAGTGACGAGGCAGAACAAACTATTCATCCTCCTGTCTGTAAAAAAAAACATATTTACAGCGTTGTGCTAATAATTGGAGGAGCAGCAGAACCTTTGCCCCCTTAAATGTAATTAGCAAGTAATACATGATATCTTATCTCAATACGAGGTAGTCATATGGTCTGCTGAGATACACTCCTTGTAATCTGCTCTTTATTGTCAATAACAGGGCAAAGGGGTCGGACCCCACTTTCTATTTATTTGTTCAGTCAATTCAATTCATCTGGTGTTGGCCAAAATAACGAATCACAGATTTCCCCCAGGGGGCCTTACAATCTGTACGCATACAAGGTTGTTTTTCTCGTTCCAGAGATGCAAAACATTTCATGTGAACAGAATGAAAAACATAACAGAGTTGTAACTGTCTCTAATACAATTAGAGCAGTGAAAAGAAATGTGGTGGACAAATTGATGATGGATGAATAATCATAATTATAGGAGCGATGGTTCCAGCAGGACCACACATGGAGAAAATTAGACTGGAGGAACATTCTGTTAGCTGGAGAGGAAGTCCTTGTTAAAACAGGTCTGTATCTCATAAAGTCACATTACTTAAGATTTCTGTCCTGGTAAATTTAGAATTTCTATTTCAGTGGAAACAAATGAATTCTTCTCATTCTGGGGTCTTTGGCCATTTTTCAGAATTGCGTGTGCGAGCGTATTCAACAAAGAAAGAAGAAAATGCAAACATATAAATATTGCAATACTTTCACCAGTGGACCAAGCTGCTCTATTATTATCGTGTTACCTCTACATATGGACTTTATAGATATTTAGTAAAAAGATTATTATTAAGGTTGTCAATTTAGGTGAAAGGTCAACTGTCCATGTGCCGTTATAAAACACCAGGCCTATAACCACCAACGGTTTTATTATTATTCAAAAAATGAATTTACAAACAAAAAGAAGTATAACAACTACAAGTTCAATATCCTCTGAACTGAGCAGATCTCTCGTGTGACCTTTTCATTGTCCTTCTGTTGCCAGGACAACAGCTTCGGCACATCCGGTCAGCATCAACATTGCAAAGGGAAAGTACCAAGGGGCCCGTTTAAAATATTTACGTGTTTTTAAAATCTACATAGATTCTATTAGCAAAATATTATCATTGAATTTGATGATTTATTTGACCTAATTACGTCAAAAAGGGGACTATTGTCTTACACTGCATCTTCCGTCACAGCAGATGGCGGTACGCCACCTAAAACCTCCGGCCTCAACCCGCCGCGGAACCAAAAGAAGAAGCGCACAGGCAGGCCGACGTCCTGCTCCGCGGGTAGTTAGCTGGTGCTGCTGCCTCGGCGATGATTGACAGAGTCAGCAGAGGTTTACACGGTCGGGCATGTCCGCTTCCCAGCTCGGTTGTCACCGTAACAGAAACAACCGCGGCATGGCGAGTCAAGAAAGAGCACCGAGTTCTCGGCCCTCGCCCGCAAGAACACCATGTATCGGATTATTGAGGATGTTATTTATTGCTTTTATTCACACGACGCGGGCCAATAAACAAGGTTGGTAACTTCGCTGACTAACGTCTCCGCATTAGCAGCCAGCGCTAACTTCCGCAGGCATATTTCTCCGCAAGTTAAGTCTGCGGGGTTTGAGGTTAACTTTGACACAGCTAACTTTAAGTTAGCCCCGGTAACGTTTGCTAAGCTAACATTTAAAACCTCGCTCCAACACAACAGCGAAACGTGACCGTTACTCGTTCGCCGTTAATGAATGACATTAATTAACCGCACCTGGGTGACAGTTGGTTTGGGTCAGGGCTAAGCTGGTGATGGACGTGCTAACTGCCTCCCGTTAGCTACCGTCATATGTGGCCTAACGTCAGTGAGCGAACGTTAGCTTCGTTCGTAGCTTGTTGTCATGTTGTCATTCCCGTCCTTATAAGGCTAAATGCGGCTAACGCTCCAAAACAGAGACGGTAATAAGGAAGGAGCAGCGTGTTAGCATCACAGTTAGCACCAATGATGCCTCCCGTTAGCTGCTGTGTGGTATTTATTTATTTATTGCAATTAATTCCAACCCCGTCTCTGGCTGCCTAACGTCGCTCACTGTAGAGACTCGACAGAGGAAACGTTCGAGTCAGTCGGGTGATATTTGTCAACGTGGCTGAGCGGTGGGATTTCTTTTTTTTTTTTTCCTTTCCACTTAAATAACCCGGGTATCGGTTGCACTCTGCCACTGGATCGGTTCACCGGCCAGATGACCTCCGTGTTATGTTATTTATCCGGCGGAGCGCAGTGGCCGATCATGTCACGTCACAGGGTCGAGTCTCCCCCCCCCCCCCCGGTCGGGAGCGAACAGCTGCGATCCGAGTCCACGATGAGCTGCTGTGCCAACTTTTAAATAAGTGTTTACATCGGTCCCCGCGCACGAATGCACAGCAATCCGGCCCTTTATGTGTTATCTTGACAGGAGGCTGCACGTGAGCGACGAAGGAGGTTATCGCTCCCGTTGAACTGTATTGCCCAGGTATGTGGAGGCATACGTGGAATTTGTAATCGCTCACGAAGCAGCAGCTACACAGCGAAGGACACAAAGATGCGAACAGACGCGTTTGTACTGAACTCCAGTATGTGGGTGAGCTGTAAGCTAAAGCATTAACTACTGAATGGAGATGCATGGCACGGATGATCATGTGCAGCACATGTTCTCAGGTTTTGAGAGGCACCAATGATGATTAACAGAAACGGGGGCATTCTAAAGTGATCCATGCCGGCAGCAGTGGATGTTCAGGTGTCAGGGGTCATTGAGTGACGTCCTGTGGGAAGAAATTGCTGTTGTGTCTGTTTGTTTTGGCCTCGTTGTTCTACCGACCTCAACCAGCAAAGTTCAGTGTTAAAACAATCACTGCTGGTGGTTCTTGGCTATTTAAACTTGCCGGACAAATTGGAAGTGATTCATGTTGGGAGTAATGACCAGAGAGTTTGACTCCACAAGGGGTTCCCCTCACATTTCATCCCACACTAGATATGATGTAATATGTCCACGGTTACTATTTCCGTCCAAGCCATTACAGGCCACATGGTGTAAGATCAAATGTTGTTTTTGTGCGCTAAAAAAAGTCGTATCCGATCGAGCTCGGAAAAGCTCTTTACTTTCTAAAGAAAGGTGAACTGAAACTGATGCCCATCGTCTCTGTTATAGCTGCGTGTGATGGGACTTGGGGAATCTTAAAAGATCCGATAATACGGATCTGCTGAGACTTGTTGGACGTGAAGCAGCGGTTACAGCCGGCAGGACTGAATGAAATGCAACAGTTTAGTTGTCCAACGTAATCTGCGTTCACGCTGAGCGGTTGCCGTGTGGTGCAATGTGGAGCAGAAGCTTAACCAGTGTGGAGCCAAGTTTTAGGCCCCAAGCTGGCAGATTCCTCCAAGAGGAGCAGATCACATCACTGATCACGGATCTGAGCAAATATAACTTTTAGATCCCTGAGGACGTCCTGCTGATACTCTAGAATTTTTGATCATTGATGACCCATATTGGCAGATACTCAACCTTCTTTCTTTTTTGATTATAACCGCAGGTCTTCAAAGTACTGTTTAATGTTAGCAATGTCCCAAAAATAAGTTTAGCTGCTCTAAAGTCAGTAAACCTTCTTTTACTTTATTTGTTTTATAGTTTTTTTTTTCTCTTCATAAGAACACATTTTAAATTATAAGCAAATAGAAAATCGTACTTTGTTGAATCTTCACATGGTTTTTAATGATGTAGTAATTATATAGTATATAATACTGGATAGGCCTGTTCTCTTTAAAGACTGGGATAATGATGATTCGGTCTTCATGGTTTTTTTTGTTTTCTTTTTCACAGCATTCATCCAGTCAGACACAATTCTAGAAGTTTTACATTTTGGTGAGGGGAGTCTTTTACAGGTAGGTGCTGTTATGTTTGATTACTCACTACAGATACAGACATATATACACACGGTTGACATCTAACTTGCTATTTGCTAATGAGACGCCACTTAATCTACTGTATAATTTAACGTATTATCTTTTTCCCTTTTTCTGCAGGCAGAGTCTGACATTGATTTTAGTTTATATCATCAACAAAGGTAAGTTCTTTAGCAGCCTTGACTCAGACCGTGTTTTCACGTGGTCACGTGGTACCTTGGTGTGTTGTGGGTGAGGTCGGGCCGCCCCTCACTCTTCAGCTGTCCCAGTGTGTTTCTCATCTCTTTTAAAGTCCGTTTGGTTTGTCCGCTCTGGGCTGCGGTGTACAAAGAGGCTGCTATTGGTTTATGAACTGGAGGAGTTTGCAAGAGACGTGTCAATCGGCGTAAGCCCCGCCCCAGGACCTATCCTGCTTTGTAGTCTGTTTGTCTTTAAATGGAGCATCATTTACTAAATAGACATCATGTTGCACTGAAGGAGAATTTAAACTTCAGATTGAGACCAACGAACCTCCGAGCGTAGAAACTAAAATCTGCACGCTCTGTGAAGTGACCCGAGGGGCCGGACCCTTGTAATAATTCAGGGATTTATTATTGACCACTCGCATCATTTTAGATGTATGCTTTGACACACATGAGGCCAGTGCGGTGTTTTCGGTACCGCAGGAGAGCGAGTTCAGATGTGAGTTTTGTCGAGGCTAATGACCCTGCAGAGGAATGTAAACGCATCGGCCCTCGTGGGAAAGTATCGGCTCACCACCCAAAATTAAAAAAGATTGACCGTCAACTTGAAGCGCTAAATAACTAATGAAATAGTTTGGTTGACGGCTTGTAATCGGAGAGAACGTCGCTGTCAGAGGAGCGTTAGAGCTTCGGTGAACTGCAACGAGTCGTCGGTGATGCCTGCGTGCTGCGTCCCGGCTCCCACCTTCTGTGTCCTCAGTCTCCAAGTCTCCTTCTCCGGTCGTCACGGCCCGCTCCGTGATCTCTTTGTTCCAAGTGTTTCTTCCCTGGATGTCTGCAGCGTAAGTCTGCTCTTAATGCAGACAGGAGGGAAGCGCTCGTTGCACCTTTGTGCTTGCGAGTGGTCACGTGATGAGCGTTTTTAGGCGTGGTAATAATCTGAATATTTACCACCATGTGTTTATTTTGACCCTATTGTGTCTTATAGCTTTTGGTCGGGTCTCTTTGTTACGCTCTTTGCTGTCGTATTACCTCGCTTTGTGAACTCTGTTCATAAAGGTTCTTTATGAATGAGGTCATTATTGCGTGAGAGTTTGTAAACGGATGCTTCTCATATCGTTCAGCTCTCTAAACCCTCTTTTACTTCAAGGCGTCGAGACCCTTTTCTTAGTTTTTTTTGGTTCAACGCTCACCGCAGAGGCCCGAGAGAAATTATTTTTTGTTTTAAAGTGAAACATGGTGATTAAATAATACACAGATGGTTATTTTGGGACAAGGATCCTTTTAGACACTAGGTGTTTGTATCGCGGCCTCCGATCAATACTCTTTGCTTTACGTGTGTTTGTGTTTGTGGAGCCTTTGCTGCTGGGACAGTATGTTCTAATCCATAAAGGGTTATCTCCCACAGACACTGCCTGACCACTCCCTCCTAGTGGGGGAGGGTTTTCTGTCTCTCAACTTCCCCTTTCTGCTTATTGCGTGCGTGTCTGTGTGTGCGCGCGTGTGTGTGTGTGTGTGTGGTCTTTGGAAACCTCAGTGTGTTGCATCTCTTCTGTAAGTCAGTGTGAAGTCGCCTCTGAAGGGACTCGGAAGCCTTTAGTCACCATGTTTTTCAAAACCTGCGGCTCTTCTGACGCTGGATGTGTGCACATCGGCCTCCTCGCGAGCTCCTCCAGTTACACCCCGACATTCAACACATGAGCCCTGCAGCCAAAGGCCCGGCACGGGGTTCATCTCAATCCTTAAGCCCTCAAGAATCTAGTGGGTCGTTGTTACGCTAATGGGAGAAGGGAGGCTGTGGATGAGCGATAATCCGGGAGGTGGCGTCCCGCGTGTGGATCGCTGTGGGCCTCGTTGTCCACAGCTCGCTAGTGAAGAGGTGAACTTGATGTCTGGTTGACTGTCTGACCTCCGGGGCGAATGCTGGAGTGATCACGCGTGAGCGGCGTTTTGCCGGAGGCTGTTAAGCACAAAGCATTTCAGCTCCCTGACAACGAGTTGAGTGAAAAGTTCAACATTGACGTTGAGATGTAGTGAAGTACGGTGTGTACACGGCGTGTGTATATATATTACTTTCTTACGTAATGAAACGATAAGCGCGTCGTGAGTTCCGCCCTCATCGCCCGTGAAGATTTACATGGCGGCTCTCGTTACGCCGTTTGAGCACAAAGAGGGCGGCTGCTCCTATTGTGTGGATACACCTGAAGTCAAACAGGTCAGGTGAGTTTCTGACAGGGCGCCTCCACCCCGCGTCCTCGCCTCGCTGTGAGAGGAACGCCACCCGAGGAGAGACGCGCTCGCCTCCCTTCTTCCCCCGCTTCATTATCTACACACACTCATCTAACAAATGGATCCTCACAGAGACGTTCACTTGGGGACGGCGCAGCGTTGAGGGGGGGGGGGTTTCTCAATGCGCCGCCGGGGAGCCGTTAGAAACGCACACCGACATGGAGACATTTGTGTCTCTGCTGCTGCTGACACTCCTTCCTGTCTCCCGCAGCGCGTCGCCCCACCGAGGGAACTGCCGCCCGATACGGTTTGAACCGCCGATGTTGGACTTCCACGAGCAGTGAGTCTTCTTCCGTTTCTCTCCATGTTTGTGTCAATAAAGAGACGATAAAGTCACAGATCAGCGTTTTACAAACCTCAGCCTGCCAGCTTGACGCATCCCTGAGGAATCTTTAAAGTGTAGCGGCGACTTCGCCCACGGTGGATTTATTGCACCACATTCCTCGGAGTGTGGCCGCGGCACGCGAGCGTCGTGGGCGGAGCCAAGTGGCCTGATTGTTATTGGATTTATATTGCACCATTAGTTTGTTTTTTATGTCTTCCCTTTGCTGGACTTTAAAAAGTGAGATGTGGTCGTCTCAAACGTCCTGTCTTTGTCTCCTCGTCTCAGATGACCGCAGAGAGATGGAAACTTTTTTCCTCCAGTAAAACTCAAACGTAATCGAACAAGCGCCACTCTGCTCTGATGATACGTGCAAACTGTGACAGTTGGATCACAACAGGAGAATCAATGGAACGTTACCACTCACACCGTTGATTAGCTGAACACCGATTGTGAGGAGTTCAATTGTATTGCTGATCAAGAAAGAAGAGTAAAGAAAGTAAAAACTAAAGAGTTTCAAAAGGAACCGGACCGATAAATATCAATGATAAGCCCAAACCGCCCCTGTCTCTGCTTCATGTTCAAACGAAGTGAATCCGATGCAAAGAAGCGCCCGGCGTAGAGGATCGACGTGGCACAGGGGTGGAGCCGGTGTGCTGGGAACCGCGAGGTTGGCGGTTCGAAGTGTCCCTGAGCAAGACACCTAACCCTGAATTGCTCCCCAGGCAACAATGTAAAAAGCCATGGGTTAAAAAAAACCGCAATGTAAGTTGCTTTGGATAAAAGCGTCAGCTAAATGACCTGTAAAGTGTGAGAGAATCTGACAAATACTGTTTGCCTCTTGCCCGTGACAAACGCTGTCGTTTATTTGTTTAAAGAAAAGGTGCTTTTCACGGCGGTCCAGGTCATGTGATTTATTCAAGGAGTAATCCCTGGGGTTATTCAGTGGCTTTTATTCTTAGACCACAGGTACTTTGTCACCGCGTTGCTTTGCATTTATGAGCGTCATAAAAAGGAGCAGATCTTCATACCACATTGAAATGAGCCACTCGCTGCCCGAAGGCCGTCATAGATTACCAGTAATCGCATTGTTGAGGTGACGGGTGTAAACCTGTGTCCTCTGTCACAAATCTTTGACTTCATTATGTGTCGTTCTCACTATTGTTTTCATGTCATTGATTTTTCTATTCTCATGTCAGTGTTTCCTGTAATTGTAGAGAAAAACAGATAAACGCATTCTTTAAATGACAAAATACTAACAAACAGGAAATGACCGCAGTAACGAGCCAAGCGTCGTCGTCTTTTTACATGAAAATGTAGAATTGTTCATCTGGATGTGCAAACTAAAGGATAAACGCTGTTTAGTTTCTTTCGATGTGTTGTCTCACAGAAGCTTCTCCTCCTCCGCAGGCCCGTTGGAATGCCCAAAATGGAGAAAGTTTATTTACACAACCCAAGCTCAGAAGAAATTAGTTTAATATCAATATCAGCAACAACAGCACATTTTCACGCATCCTTTTTCCAGAATAGGGTGAGTACTCCTCCCTGCTTTGTGTCGTCCTCATGGATAAATGTGACAACCCTCCGATTAACCCGCTCCGCCTGGCGTGGACTGTGTTCAGAAAGGATGAACTGTCCTTTATTGATCTTCATTAGAACCTTTTGGAACAGACCACCATTGATTAATAGTCTTAAAGTCCTTTCGACCTGTGTGAGAGGCTCTGTTGTTCTGAGCTGGAGGCGCTTCAGGAAGGTTACGAAGACCTTCATCGTACTGCCGTCACTGCTTCAGCTTCCTGCAGCATCATAGCGCCCATAATCATCTGGGGACACGCTGTTTACTTTTAATACACATGTTATTTATTTATTTTCCTCTTATTCTGCCATTTGTTATTTTTGCGTCGGTTCTGTTTTTCTCGGGACTTCCTGCTCGAAACCTTCCCGGAGGTCTCTGCTGCGGTCACATGACCCGCTTGACAGCGGAGGTTAACATGTGACTGTGTGGTGACCAGCTGTGTACTAATGCAAACTAATAAAGATATACCGCCCCGTTTAGATTTGGAAGCTTAAAGACAAAGTAAAGTTCTTTGTGACGACACGAGTCAAAGAAAACTATCTGTTATTGAGATAAAAATAATCATTTTTCAGTTAATGAAAGTGGAAGTAAACCAAAGAGCTCTTTCTAATAAAGAACACATTTTTATTTATCATCTCGATCTAAAACTAAACTTAAGACAACATAATCCATTAAATATCTTTTTGCATGCCCGTAATGAAAAGGGGTGTTTCATCTTTCTTCTCTGCAGAGGAAGTCGATCGGGTGCTTTCTAACACTTCTGTATCTGGAGCTTCCTGCTTATTTCCTGCCCAAATAAAACAAATTCCATAAGTCAATGACTAAAGTACAGGTTGGAGAATGTTTCCCGTCCGGTTTCTGGTAATTATTTTGAGCAGTGAATGCTCAAAATATTTTCTGAATTGTTCTGCTTTCCTGAAACATTCTGTTCTGTGACGGCGCTGCTCAACGTGTCTGACTTTATGCGTCAACAACATGTTCCGCTTCCCTAAATGTTCACAAGCCGAACACCGACCACGTGTCACATGACTGTTAGTCATAAAAACTTTAGTTTCAAACGAGTCATAGAAAACTGCTAAATGTCTCGTTCTGGTCAGCGATCAATATATATTTAAACTTCATATTGAGTTCCAGTTGATACTGGACCTCGTATTTCTCCATGTTGTTGCCGTTTTAAACTTAAAGGACAACTTCACCCCAAAAATCACAACAATGATTCAGGGTCTGGCCGGACCACCACCACCTACTGCAGGGACCTTCTCCAACTGCAATGAGACCCGACAACAACTAAATCCTCATTTATTATCACTGCACTACCATCTTATTTAATATCAATAACCTTGCACTACTGTCTTAATTTAATTTTCGAATTTTATACACATTCCACCCCACTGTACAACCTCCTATTCCACTTTTATTTTATTTTACTGTACTGTGTATATATTTATTTTCTGTATTGCTGCTATTGCACACAAATCTCCCCATGGGGATTAATAGATAAAGTGTGTGTGTGTAATTTTTATAATCTCTAAAGTGATCTTTAGTGATCTAAATCTGCTCTTGAAACTCCCCTCAGAGAACAAAGATCCCAAAACAGAACAGTTGAGCTGAATTAAATAGAGACCCCCCCAAATGGACATTTTATATATTTATTTATATCTATTGTGTTCTCTCTCTACAGATAATTCCACCAGGAGGAAACACGTCCTTCGACGTCGTGTTTCTCGCCCGGGTTGTCGGGAATGTAGAAAACACTTTATTTATTAACACGTCACAACACGGAGTGTTTACATACCAGGTACGGACCAAAGTGCTTCCTGTCTGCATCGTCCAATAGTCGGAGACGAGACTCATCCGTCCCTCTCGTGTCTCTAGGTTTTCGGGGTCGGCGTCCCGAACCCCTACAGACTGAGGCCCTTCATCGGGGCCCGAGTCCCAGTAAACAGCAGCTTCTCCCCTCTGATAAACATCCACAACCCCTTCAGTGAGCCGCTGCAGGTAAATCACCGTCATCATCATCATTATTATGAAGAATGTTTACGAGAGAACGGATCAGATTTAAGAACTTTTGTCGGAAGAAATGCGTAAATATGAGCGCTTATACGAGCCGTCTTTGGCGGCTTGTAGAAGCGGGTTGGATTCACGGAGTGAGATCGCCGCAAACGCCGGTTTGCCGGTCGAGAGGAACAAAGTCATGGAGGAAAATACGGGACAAATGTGTCCGCGATGAAAAGCAGCAGTGGCGATGCACGGGGCAATAAAGTCTATGATAAATAAATAAATAGACGTGACTCTCTAGGTCGTCTTCAACAAAACACGTCACTCCGCCTGTTGTTCTGGAGGTGAATCGCTCTGCAACACACACAGAACCATGAAGTGAAACGAGTGCGTCGACGCAGACGCATGCGCCGGCCTTAAAGGAGTCATAGTTCACAGCTTAACGCTTTGTGCCCACAACCTTTGACGGCCCCATTGATGTGCATTGTGTTCGATTTCCGTAGACTTTATGTAAATGACTCCTCTTCACCCAAAGCAAAAAGGGATTCTTCTGCATCTTGGGGGGGGGGGGGGTCGTCACACCTGGTGTTAACGTGGAGCAGCTGATGGATGTGACGCGGTGTGTGCTTGTCCTTCGTCTCACTGCAGGTCGTTGAGATGTACTCCAGCGGTGGAGATCTTCATCTAGAGCTTCCAACAGGCCAACAAGGAGGCACCGGAAAACTCTGGGTGGGTTTCCTACGAAGACTAACAACAAACTGACGTCTATGCGCACAAACCTTTTGCTAGTTTCCCTCTTTTAAGAATATGCTTTTCACACGACTCGTATCAAAGTCCCGTGGAATATTAGCAGTGACACTGTAACACGAGCGTGCACGTGGTCCACCTCGCCCCTCCAGGAGATTCCTCCCTTCGAGACGAAGGGCGTGATGAGGGCCAGCTTCTCGTCCAGAGACGTCGACAACCACACGGCTTTCATCCGGATCAAAACCAACGCTCCCAACGAGGACCAGTTCATCATCCTCCCGGTGGAGGTGGAGGTCACGTCGGGTAAGTTCTTGGCTCGCGTTGAGTACCGGGTCCCCTCCCCTCCCCCGCGCTCTCTGTAACCGTAACCCTTTCTTCTGCTCCTCCTGCGGTGCAGCTCCTGGGATCTACTCCTCCACGGAGATGCTGGACTTCGGGACCCTGCGCTCTCAAGGTGGGACTGTGCGCTCACCCGGAGGTTGGTTTCTCTCTCTCGGCCTCTCGGCTCACTCTGCTTCTTCTTTGCTTCACAGATCGTCCCAAACTGCTGAATCTGCACCTTTTAAACTCAGGAACAAAAGATGTTCCTATAACGGTACGTCTCCTCTGCAGACCTTTTGTTTTTTATCATTATCTTGAGACTTGTGTCTTGGTGTTATCTCACCCCGTGCTTCTGCGCTTCTCAGAGTGTACGCACGACTCCGTCAAATGAAGCCGTCACTTTAGATTTCAAGGCCGTCACGCTGAAAGCCGGAGAAAGCAGATACACCAAAGTAGCAAGTATTAGTTTTGATGGTGAGTGGTGGTTCCTTATTTTTTATCAGAACTTTACATGCTGACGTTACCTTCTTTTATTCAAAGCAATTATTTTAAGTATATCTATTTTTTTGGGGGGGGGTGGGGTGTGCTGGATTGTACAAGTGTTTCTATTTATTTGTCCACCCGCTTTGTGTGATTGAAGGTCGGATACACAAGAAGCAGCCTCACTAGTTTGCTTAAAGACCTGAACATTTCTGTTCAAATTCCTTTTTTACAAATGATTCAATTCAAACTGCTTCAGTTGCATTCTAGTAATAATTAAACACACACAAACACACTGTGTGCGTTACATCGTGTCCTCACTCCTGCAGTGTTGCACAACTTCCTCTTGTGAGTCTGCGTATCCTTTCTGCATTTCTGCAACGCTCATCTGGCTTTTGTGGGTTTTTTTTCTTCTTGTTTGCAGCCTCAAAGGCGAGAAGACCATATCAGTTCTCTGGCAAGATAACGGTGAAAGCAAAAGAAAAGAGTTACTCCAAGCTGGAGATCCCTTACCAGGCAGACGTCTTAGACGGGTGAGTCGTGTTGTTGTGGCTTCCTGTGTGCCTCCCTCCTCCGAAACGCCCCCCCCAACCCCCACCACCCCCTATAAACGCCTTCCTGTCCCCCGGCAGCTACCTGGGCTTCGACCAAACGACCACTCTGTTCCACATCCGGGACAGCCCCGTGGACCCGGTGGTCCGACCCGTCTTCCTCACCAACGCCTTCAGCTTCGCCATCCGGATACACAACGTGTCTCTGCCCGAAGAGGCCAAAACCATGTTTAACGTGAGCCGGGCCTCCTGCGTCCAAGCACCGGGTCCTGACCACGGGGCCCAGCTTGTGACGCCGCTTCTTCTCTGTCTGCCGCAGGTGCAGAACCTCAGCGTCCCCCTCCTCATTCCTCCGCACGAGTCGCGCTACATCTTCTCCCTCCTCTTCAGGCCGGTCCGACCCTCCATCCACATAGACAGCAACATCCTGCTCATCACCAACGCCTCCAAGTTCCACCTGCCGGTCCGAGCCTACACCGGCTTCTTAGAGGTCAGCAGGAAGTATTCACTTCATTTACTGCAGTACAAGTACTGTAAACACTGTAAACACACTGTTACAGAAGCACTGATACTACATTCTAGAAATACTCCTTTGCATTACAAGTAGTATTTCCACAGAATAAAACTAACTCTGTTAAAGTAAGAATATTAATACTACACTGTGATATAGTTGGAGTACTATGGACTTGGTGGTCTAAGTGTGAATGTGTTGTCTCCTGCTGTGTTCAGCCTCTGGTCCTGCCTCCCAGTCTGAAGGAGAACCTCCTGGACTTTGGCATTCGCAGTGCGACCGAAACCAGCAGCATCACCTTTGTGGTGGTCAACAGTAATCCCATCGAGGTGAGATCACACAGCAGCCTGCAGGTATCAGTACAACAAGCAGCCTGCAGGTATCAGTACAACAACAAGCAGCCTGCAGGTATCAGTACAACAAGCAGCCTGCGGGTATCAGTACAACAAGCAGCCTGCGGGTATCAGTACAACAAGCAGCCTGCGGGTATCAGTACAACAAGCAGCCTGCGGGTATCAGTACAACAACAAGCAGCCTGCGGGTATCAGTACAACAACAAGCAGCCTGCGGGTATCAGTACAACAAGCAGCCTGCGGGTATCAGTACAACAAGCAGCCTGCGGGTATCAGTACAACAACGAGCAGCCTGCGGGTATCAGTACAACGAGCAGCCTGCGGGTATCAGTACAACAACGAGCAGCCTGCAGGTATCAGTACAACAACAAGCAGCCTGCAGGTATCAGTACAACAACAAGCAGCCTGCAGGTATCAGTACAACGAGCAGCCTGCAGGTATCAGTACAACAACAAGCAGCCTGCGGGTATCAGTACAACAACAAGCAGCCTGCGGGTATCAGTACAACAACAAGCAGCCTGCGGGTATCAGTACAACAACAAGCAGCCTGCGGGTATCAGTACAACAACAAGCAGCCTGCGGGTATCAGTACAACAACAAGCAGCCTGCGGGTATCAGTACAACAACAAGCAGCCTGCGGGTATCAGTACTACAACAAGCAGCCTGCGGGTATCAGTACTACAACAAGAACCCTTTCTGTTCTTTTTAAATGTGTCGACTTGTTTACTTTATATCTCTTCACTGCTCTCCGTCTCACGCTGCCCCGTGTCCTTCAGCTGGAGATCAAGTCCTGGCTGGTGACGGGGGACAGTCTGTCTCTGGAGCTGCTGAGGACGGAGAAGGGAAACTCCACTGTGGCTCTGAGTCGCCTCCGAGAGCTGCAGAACACCTCGGCCTCCCATCAGAAGACGGTAAGACTTCCGCCTGACGCCGCTCTTCGAATGCCTGTCATCACTTCCCTGAAAAGAAGTCCTCAATTTGAAAGAAGAAGTCGTTCATTTCATTATTTTGTATTAACTTTCATGATTAAAACTCGTCAGCGCCGCCTCTGAACGCCAACAATCACATAGTTACACGATCACATAGTCAGAAACTAAGCCACCGCCGGAATCCACTCAACTGAAAGTATAATCGTAGTAATATTTGTGTAACCTGATCTTAATCACACACACTCACTTCCTGTTTCTCATACTTCTTCTCCTTCCTCTCACTCTGACACTGTCTCAAAGATACAAACTGAGAAGCTTGTGCTTCTGCAGGCTTTTTTAAAATCTGAAAATCGTTTTTTACTTCTTTACATTTTGGCAGCAGCAAGATTATTTTAACAGAACTTGACGACACCTGACGTGAAATCCTCCCGTCAATCTGTGCTTCAGCTGTTGAGACCTGAGATCAGCGTTATTGTATTTACTATAAAATTGTAGTGTTGGATTTCATTACCACAGATTATCTGTGAGACGCAGACGTAGTCAGCCATTAGTTTCAGAGTTTTAATTATCTATAATAAGTGTAGCAAAGTACAGCTGGACTCTGAGAAGGAGAAGTAGTCATTTTCTCAGACTTGTGTAGGAGCAGAGGAGTTGCCCCCTGGTGGACACTGCAGACAATGCAGCCTTACGGTTGATGCCGGCTCATTTCACTTTTGTATTCAGTTTTGACTTAAAAGAAGTGAGATGAATCGGAATACTGACCACTGTTTGTCCAGGTTTATTTTTAAGTAAACCTGAACCACCTCATAGCTTTGGATGCAGATAGATTTCACTTTGCAAACTAAAGACGCACCTCTTCAGACTCAAACACATTGAAGCACCTCAATTGTGCTTTTAATGGCACTTATCTATAGAAAATTGTGACTTTGATTATTTGAGGAAATCACACTTTCTTGTTTCTTACTCCTGAGTTTGTATCCTTATGGTTGAATGCACTTATTGTAAATCGCTTTGGATAAAAGCGTCAGTTAATGACATGTAATGTAATAATGGATGCCTCTTGATGCTTTGCTTCTTGAGTCATCGCAGACAACAGGAGGTGACGCGTTTCTTCCAGCTTCCTCTTCTTGAAAATCTGCATCTGCATCACTGACCCTGTACTTCTGTCTCCACAAAGGTCATATTAGCATCGGGCTACTACGCGGCCTTCAGAGTGACTCTCGTGGCCAAAGCGCTGGAGGGCGCGTACGACGGGGCCGTGCACATCACCACGGATTACGAGGTCCGTATTGCCCGGTCAGCTGTTTTGTCTTTTACAGACGGAGCGGTCGTTTCTGACTTCGTCTCCGCCCTCAGATATTAACCGTCCCGGTGAGAGCGGTCATCGCCGTGGGAGCGTTACACAGCTCTCCCAAGCACATCGATCTGCCATCGTCATTTCCCGTAAGTAACGGCGACTCCCGTCATCCGCGGAGCCGACGCTCCCGCGCAGGACGGCGTCATCAGGGCGTCTTTTCTTCTTCCCTCAGGGCAAAGTGGTCCATCAGAGCTTCAGCATCCAGAGCTCCTTCACGCAGAGAGTTCGTCTGCAGCAGATCCGCTCGCTGACCGAAGACATCCGCTTCTACTACAAGCGGCTGCGCAACAACAAAGACGAGCTGGAGCCGCGGCGTAAATCGAAGGTGGCGCCTCGCTCCCGCCGAGCCTTTAGTGGCCTCTCACGAACGGAAGACTTATTATTTCTTTCTTTCCTCCATCTTTTTTTTTCCCAGGTGGCAAATATTTATTTTGATGCCAGCTTGCAGTGTGGTGATCACTGTTATGTGGGGCTGCCATTTGTGCTTAAATGTAAGTTGTTTGAGTGCGTGTCACATTCAAATCTACACCTGCGTATTGGGGGCCATTGAAGGTATAAGAAACATTAGGACTTATGGACAGAATGGGATCATGAGTTATTAAGGGAAAATGGTTCGCTTTTTCTTATAGAGAAAGAAATAAACTTTGATTACATGGAAAAAATACATTATTATTTAAAGAGCAACAACTTCATCAAATCACGTGCAAAATATGTTTTCATATTGATATTTATTTGTTCGGAAATTAACCTTCCAGAACCGCTTTAGCCTCCTGGAGGTCGTCCTTAATCATCCCAGATTTTTGGTTTTGTATAAATTTATGAGTTTCTTATGTAAATCTAAAAAAAAAAAATCCTTTTTGGACCTACAATGGCCCCAATGCACCTTTTTTAAATCTTGAAAAAGAGTTGACATAAAAAAAGTCTCTTCCCCAAATCTCCTCCCCTCCCAGCTGAGTCGAAGCCGCATGGGCTGGCGCTGCAGGAGGACATCTGGGACGCTGACGTGGATCTCCACGGGAAGCTCCTCAGGCGGTGGAAGGAGCTCAAGGAGCGCTCGGGCCACAAGTGAGCACACCGGGAGACGCGGCTCCGCCATCTATGGGCTCCAGGGATCACATTTATATCGATGGTCTGTTTAAACATACGTCTTATCACAGGATGTTTTTTCATTTCTCACTGAAGCATTGAAGCCGTCTTCGAGGTCAACACGGACCTCCAGAAGAACGTTCAGGCTAAAATAACCGCCCACCTGAGCTGGCCCTCGCTGGTCAACTCCTCCCAGAGGATCCTGTTTCCTCTGACCAACACCAACGGCTCCTCCGTGAGTAGAACGCCGCCGCCGCCGCCGCGGGCAGGGCGGGCCTCATTGATCGGGCTCTGAAGATGTCTCGTGTGTCTCCTCAGGAGGAGCAGGTGATCCTGCAGAACCCCGCGGACGTGCTGGTCTACGTGCAAGTCCTCCCCTTGGCGCTGCTGCCCAACCCCTCCGTGTTCTCTGGAAAGCTGGCTGACAGGTGGGAGAATCTCCAGATCGGGACCTGGATTTAATTCTCTTAAACTAGATGACATCGCCACAGAAATCAAATGTTCAGCTCTGGTGTTGCATCGATTGAGAAAAAAGTGACGTTTTTCGTTGATTAGTGAAGCGGGAGAATATCAAACCTTTTCCCTGTTACGACCATCTCCCACATTCACACGTGAGACGTCTACAGAGGCGCGTTCCTCGCCCCCCTCGTCTTCCTCAGTCCTCTCTGATTACTTTATCTCCAGGCTGCCGTTGGGAAATTTGTCGAACATCAACATCGACGCGAGCACCTTGGAGTTCCAGGTCCACAGGAATCAGGTGAGTGACGGCTGGACTTCATAGCAACCAACGCCACTCGCGTCTAACGGTCTCTCCGCGTCCGTCCGCGTGTTTTCTCGGCAGACGTCGGTAATGAAGAGCAGCTCGGGCTTCGTAGAGGGATCGACCCGACCTTTTGTCTACAACCTGGTCCTGCTGCCCGGAGAAGTGAAGGCCTTCAGCGTGAGGTTCACGCCCACCAGCAACCACAGCGTCTCGTCGCTCCTCATCATCAGGTAGGTGTTACCTCCATAACCCGTCTAGTGCAGAGAGACATTTATTTCAATGCTTGATAGAAGATAATTCCGTACTTGCATAATTAAAACATAACATTTCAGAAACTTGTAATACAAAAGATAACCGTCCCAGTGTCAGTAACCTCATGCGTGTGCTCTGTTGTAAACCCGCTCAGAAACAACCTGACTGTGATCGACGCCATCGTGCTTCACGGCCGAGGAACCACGGAGAGCCTGCGAGTGGCCGGCAAGCCGCCGGGACACGGCAGCTCGCTGAGGTTCAAGATGACGGAGGCGCTGCTGAAGGACTGCACCGACAGTGAGTGTGACCACACGTCCTCGTGATTGATGCTTATTCTGGCAAGAGTTTTTATTTATTTATTTTGGTGTGAATTTAAAACTCACAAAATCAAAAAATGCATCAATGTTTGTTGATATTTATTGACGTAAACTATGATAGAATATTATATAATATTATTGAGATATTTTCGGTATGTAAACATAATGAAACCGACTTTAAATAATTAAATATTTTAGTTATGATCAGAATGTATTTATTTAATAGTCATCGTTCCACTTTTCCTCCAGAGATAAAAGTCAAGGAGCCGAACTTCACGCTGAGGAGGACGTTCAGGGTGGAGAACACGGGCCTGCTGCCCATCACCATCCGCTCGGCGGAGATCAACGGACAAGTCTGTGAGGGATTCGGATTTAAAGTCCTCAACTGTCAGGAGTTCTCCCTGAAGCCCAACGCCTCCAAAGACCTCATCATACTGTGAGCGCCGCCTGTGATCTGCTCCATCAAACGTTGCGATGTCGATCTCACAACAGCAAAGGGTGTGTGTTTTTTTGTGGGTTTTGGACTTTTATTTAAACTTTTTGCTTTGCTGATTCCGTGCAGGTTCACACCCGACTTCACGTCGTCCCGAGTGATCCGGGAGCTGAAGTTGGTGACGTGCGGCGGCTCTGAGTTTGTGTTCGTGCTGAACGCCTCCCTGCCGTACCACATGCTGGCTGCCTGTGCGGAGACGCTGCCCCGGCCCAGCTGGGAGCTGGAGCTCTACGTCATCGTGTCCCTCATCATGAGGTGGAGCGCCCCCGCTCTCTGTTTTCCGTCACGTGTTCCGTTCAGACGCTTCAACCCGACTAACGTCCCGCGTTCGTCTCCTCAGCGCCATGTTTCTGCTGGTCATCGCCGCGGCCTGGCTGGAGGCTCAGAGCATCTGGGAGCCTTTCAAGAGGCGCGTGTGGGTGGAATCCAGCTCGCCCGTGGAGGCAATGAGACCCTTCAATCTCAGGGAAATCGTGCAGATTCATAGTGATTCAAAGTAAGTGGAGCACAGGAAAAATCCCAGGGATCGATGTTTAGAAATATTTAAGAGCTGGGAAAAAACCCCCAGTAATTGTACCACTTCTGGTCTCCTGCTGAATCCATCATAGAGTTATTTTGTGTGACTCACAATAACTCAAACTGACTAACTGATGGAGGCAGCAGCTCCGGTGTTTGGAGGTGGAATCAGAGTTCACATTGAACTCACGTTGAAGTTCATGACTCCCTTCAAGGCGCTTCACTTTTCTCTGAATGGAACATCAGTGACAAACAAAGTGACGCGTGACCCTTTCACCCCCTCAGGTTGAACGACTACGGCGACGCCCCTCAGAACTCCAGAGGCGGGTACAGCAACGGAGCGGCTCGGATCGGAGGCCGTCAGGGGAACGGCCGCGCCCTCGCCGACCCGGACAGCCAAGACAAGAGGTCCCGGATCCCCTTCAGCCGCCCAGCTATGCAAACCGCTTCCTCTCAGCTGACCAGAGGAGGCGCCGCCTCGGGCCAAGAAGGGCCGCCCGCCGCCTGTCAGCTGACCAACCGGAAGGCTCGGAGTACCAAACCGCCGGAGCCGCAGAGTCAAAGTTTAGCCGGCACGTCGCCGCCGGGAGGCCTCAGCCCCGAGGAGGCCGAGTACGCCAGCCTGGTCGGCGCCATGGACAACGACCTGGACCGGCCGGACGCGCTGAGCGGCGAGACTCTCCAGGAACAGAGCGCCCAGTCGATACAAAACAAAGGTACCGCGTCAACACATGTCGTCACAGGAGGCGTTGGGGTGCAGGTCTTTGGTTTCATCACTTCTTTTCTTTTATTTCCAGCGTTGGAATCTAAAGGGAAGCTTCGGGGGAAAACAAAAGCCCAGAAGAAGAAGGAGGAGAAGGAGGAGAAGGATAAGAAGCCGGCAGCAAAGACTCAGGGAGAAGAGCTGAAGGACAACATTGCCGACAACGACGACAGCTCCTCCACCACCACGGAGACGTCCAACCCGGACGTGGAGACGAACCTCAGAGAGGTACGCGCCGTTCCCCTCTCCCTGCCGCCTGTGGAATTTATTAATGAAAATAAATGTAAATGCTTCTACAGCTGAACGATTAATCAGAGACTTCATTGTGACTTCACTTTGCAAATGACGTAATATTGATCAAGCTGCTGTAATACACGTTCACTTCTTCCAGGAACCAGTAAAAAAGAAAGGAAGGACGGTCACCGTAAAAGAAAAAGAAGAAATTCCAAATTTCCTAATCAAGCCCAAAACCAAGAAACCAGGTCCCCCAAAGAAAGAGAACCCGGCAGAGAAATCCAGGGGGGTGTGTGGGGCGCCCCCCCCCCCCCGTGTGATCACGCGGTCTTCGGTTCGTGGCCTTTTCCTATTTTCATGAGCCACCTTTTTTGTTCCCAGCTCTCTGGAGCTGCCTTATGTAACGCCGCTGGAGAACAAACAACGCAATGAGCTTCACGTCCAAAGCTCTGCATCCTCTGAGCAGCATCCCGAAGAGCCGGCCGCAGCAGAAACCCAGATGTGAGGTCACACCGTTTGGGTTGTGCAAATGCATTTGGATGAGTTTAAAAAAATATATATATATCATGTTATTAGTTGAACCTCAGCTCCTATAATTTTACAATAAATCCATTTAGACCCTTGAAGACAGAAATGTCCCATTAAAAAAAAAAAAAGAAAACATGAGCTGAAACATGTAATTGTCTTGGAGTCCACTAGGGGCATCACTCCAGTATTATGGAGCTAAAACATTTCTGTCCAATAAGGACAACCAACCAACCAAGAGTCTTTTTTTTAAAGCCATGTGGTCCCTTTGTTCGTTGCCGCGGTGACTGCTGCGTCTCTGACGGGTTTTTTCCCCGCTAGTTGACGGGAAGCTGGAGGAAGGCCGCCCCTCCCTGTTGGCCAAGTTGTTGTCCAGCGGCCCGATGCCCGAGCTCGGCCACAGCAGCAGCTCCGACGGCGAGAAGGACTCCGCCGCTCCCGAGTGGGACGTGCCGCTTTCCAAAAACTGCGTCCGTGAGTGAAGCTCCGCCCCCCCCCCCCGTGGTGTCTGCCTGCCCGCACCGCTTCAGGCCTCCGCTCACCCTTTTTTTTTTCCCTCCTGCAGAAGCAGACAGTCTGCAGCAGATCTCCCTCCAGACCATCAACGCGGACCCCTTCCTGAAGAGGTCCGCCACAGCGGGGGCCTGCACCCCTCCCCCGACCTCCCCCGTCCTCCTGTCCCGGGGCTCCTACAGCAGCGTGCTCAACAGCAACAGGTACCCGCCGTCGAAAGAGCTAAAGATGAATAAAGATATACACGAGATCGGTTTGGATCAGCTACATGTCGCTTTTACAGGGTCGAGTTTCATTTTCCATCTTAACAATTCCTGAAACGGTATCGAGATGATGATCAAACTAAAAGTGATTCGATCGACCTTCACGTTGTTGTTGTTGTTGCTTGTTTGTTTCACATTCGAGCTGAAGTCTCAAGAGGAAGTGAGGTTTTAATTTACCAAAATCAAAATAATTTCCGTCCTGTTTTCCGCTCAGTGAAGGGAACCAAAAGAAGGCTCCAGGAAATAAACTGTCCCCAGCGGTTCCTCTCCCAGGAAAAAACGGGAACCCCACCTTCGCTGCTGTAGCTGCTGGTTATGACAAAAGCCCAGGTGTGTGTGTGTGTGTGTGTACGTACGTGTGTGTGTGTGTGTGTGTCTGTACGCTGTGGTTCCGGAGGGACACTCATCTTTTCTGTCCCGCTCAGGTGGCTCCGGTCCGGGTAAAACCGACAAGGCTCTGGCCCACATGATGTCTGTGGAGAGCGACGGCTCCGACAGGTACCAGGAGGAATTAACATGAAATCCAGATGTTGATACCAAAGTGTGGTATTCTAACGTGTGCATGTTTGTGCGCCTCAGCTCTGGGCTGTGGAGCCCCATCGACTCGGCCAGTAGTCCGAACTACCATTCAGCCAACTCCTTCTCTGCTTTTGGACCCAACAGTTCTTTCAACCTGACCAAAGGTCTGTTCACCAACGAAGAAGAACGGAGGTGCCGCTGCCGTGTGGTCGTTGGCTGCATTCTGACGTGTGTGTGTGTGTGTGTTTTTAGTATTCAGCGGGATGAACGTCTCAAAGTCCTCGGAACCTCAGCAGAACTGGGCCGACTTCAGCTCCGCCGCCTCCTCCATCTGGGACATGCCGAGCAGCGACTCCCTGCACTCCTGGCCCAGCAGCTCCAGCTCCCCGACGGCCCCGACCGCGGTAAGGGCCTCATGATGATAATTTAGGGTGAGGAGGCTGTGACCCGCGGGTCAGTCGATCAGCTGACACGGCGTTCCTCTCGTCTCTCTTCAGTCCCTGCTGGGGGCCGCCCGTAACCCCTGGTCCGCCACGACGCCCTTCAGCAGCTCCATCTGGTCGACGAGCGCGGATTCAGCGCTGCACCCGTTTCCCCCGCCGACCACCTCGCCGACGCTGAGCGACCTGGTCTGCGCTCCCGTCCCGTCTTCGCCGCCGGCGGCCGCGACCGAGCTGAGCCGGACCTACAACCCCTGGAACATGTGGCGGCCGACCCTGAGCCGGCGCAGCTCCGAGCCGTGGCCCAGCTCCTCGGACAACGGCAGTTAAACTGCAGCTCGCGCGCGCTCTGTACGCTAAATACACAAAGCATATATTTCATAGCCGGAGGATTCCAACCGAAAGCGATGCGTCCTTGTCAAGTGTGAAAAGGGGTTTCGGCAGCAGAGCTGCAGGTTGCTGAGCCGTTTAGTTCTCTGCAGCTTTTTATTCACGGAGGCAGAAGTGCTAACTTTTTATTTTGATTTATTTTAACAGGTGGCCGTGAATAAAAAAAATTTAAAAAGGCTGTTTGCACGGTGTGCTAATGCCAGCGCAGACATTTGGCTCCGCGGATGCACTCCCATTGGTTCATGGCCCAGAGTCTCCGATATTCAGTGTTAATGTTGGAACAGACGTCTGATTTTAAGCCATGTGTCGTTTGTCATTTCGGTTTCTTGTTTTTTTTAAAGTTGGTTTGAAAAAGTCATTTTATTTGGCCTCTGAAGTGTAAACTGAGTCATCGACGTTTTAAAAAAACAACCAAGCCCTCAGTGAGAAAACATTGGTCATCAACACTTTTTGGTTTGTACTCGACAGCTCCTCCATTTGTCAGCAAATTTAAATAAAGGTTTTCAGCAGAACATCGTTGATTTCATTTTTTTCTTCTGTAACATATTTAAGACTCGGGGTGTCACGGGGTCGCGGGAGTTTTCACGGTCGTTACCGACGCCGTGCGTCGACCCACCGCTGCACGTGCGATCCGTTAAAGCGCCTGAAGACGACGCGCAGCCTCAGACGGTTCAAAGGGCCGCCGGCGGCGCGCTCTGATTGGTTCAAACCGCGAGAGCCGTCGGATCGATCCACCGTTCACTCAAATTGAGTGACGCTGTGCTTGAGGTAAATGCTCCATTTTATGATACGATGTGTCGTGTGAACACGCCTAATAACGCCTGTACCTGAACAGGTCGTGACCTCGAGTGTTGTCGTGCGAGTCTATGGCGTCGGAATATTTCCGCACCCCCGCTGTGACGCAGAATGGTACGTCCCTGCAATCCCGAGCCGGAAGTGAAGACGGATCCTTCAGGAAAACGACGCGTCGGATTTATTCTCAATCATCCTTCATTATTCTCACTTTCACCGAGCCGACGGTCGCTCACCGACCCCGATGTGTCGTTAGAGCTTCCCGCGTCGACCAGGCGGGTCCTCGGCCGCTGCGAGAAGACGTCCGATGGACAAATGACAGCTGGGCGTGTTTGCGTGCGAAAAAACAGCCCATTTTCTTCACAGGTCGGTCGATGATCACGAAAGATCACATGTTACACGGTAACGTTCACCAATGTAGCACCGGTGTATCGGAGCAAATTGTAAAGGACCTCAGAATAATTTTAATAATTATCAAATAATATTAATTTTAAAATCCTGTTCAATAAAAAAGTTATACTCCAGTGTTACGAAAAAATAAGTCATTATTGTTGGAAAGGAAACAATCCTTTATAGTTTGTAAAAATGAAAAGGATTCACCACGACGAAAATCCTGGAATAGTTTGTCAAAAAATAAAGCGCACAATCATTTATCAAAAATAACCCCGGGATGTTTTATCAAAAGAATATAAATATTATACTTTGGTTCTTTAATGGTTCGCTTGCACCTGACTCACTCATTTCTGGTTAAACGGACATCTGGTACGACACTAACATTCGCTTTAATCTCGTTATTAACCATCAGTCCGCCTACAAGCTGAAGGTTTTTATCGTGTTTGAGTTTCAAGTGTTCAAGACACGGTGGCGTGGTGGTCAGCACCGTCGCCTCGCCGCGAGAAGGTCCTGGGTTCCACTCCGCCCAGTGGCCTTTCTGCGTGGAGTCTGCATGTTCTCCCCCGTGTCTGCTGGGTTCTCTCCGGGTTCCCCGGCTTCCTCCGGGGATCAGGTTGATTGGTGACTTTAAATTGCCCGTAGGTGTGTGAATGGTTGTCTCTGTGGAGCCCTGCGATTGGCTGGCGACCAATCCAGGGTGTCCCCCGTCCCCCGTCTCTCGCCTGAAGTTGGCTGGGATCGACTCCCCCCGCCGCGACCCTGCGTGCAGGATGAGCGGTGTGACGATGGATGGTGTTCAACACCCATTTAACATTTCATCCAGGCTCCATATTTTCTTTCAGGGTTTCTCTTTGGCCTCCACCTCCCAGCTGATCTGTCCCCACACCAGGCGGTTCAATGCCGAACACGTCAGAGGGTCAAGGGTCGAACCCCACCGGGCCGCAGCGCTCCCCCAGCGGCTCCCTCGCCCGTGACGCCGCCATGGCGAGGAGGGCCTCGAGCGCCGAGCTCCAGCTGCCGTGGACCTGCCCGGTCACTCACTCCAGGGAGACGTTCTACACCGTCTGCTCCGATTACGCTCTCCTCAACCGGGCCCCGAACGCCGTCGGCCCCGACCGCCGGGACGAGGCGCCGTCCGCGGGGCGGGCCGAGGCTGCCGCGGACCTCGGCGCCGGGCAGTCCGGAGGGGCGGCGCACGCGGGCTCGGACGGGGACTGTGACATGGAGGAGGGGCCCTCCGGTCACGCCGAGCCGATCCTGGCCTGGGAGATCGACACCAGGGACTTCAACGCCGTGCTCACGAGAAACATCCGGACAAGTGAGAAGCCCGCCGGGATGTGTGAGTGTGGCAGGAAGTGAGCGTGACAGGAAGTGAGCGTGGCAGGACAGGAAGTGAGTGTGACAGGACAGGAAGTGAGCGTGGCAGGACAGGAAGTGAGCGTGGCAGGAAGTGAGTGCGGCAGGGCAGGAAGTGAGTGTGACAGGAAGTGAGCGTGGCAGGAAGTGAGCGTGGCAGGAAGTGAGTGTGGCAGGACAGGAAGTGAGTGTGGCAGGACAGGAAGTGAGTGTGGCAGGACAGGAAGTGAGTGTGACAGGAAGTGAGCGTGGCAGGACAGGAAGTGAGTGTGGCAGGACAGGAAGTGAGTGTGACAGGAAGTGAGTGTGGCAGGACAGGAAGTGAGTGTGACAGGAAGTGAGCGTGGCAGGACAGGAAGTGAGTGTGGCAGGACAGGAAGTGAGTGTGGCAGGACAGGAAGTGAGTGTGACAGGACAGGAAGTGAGTGTGGCAGGACAGGAAGTGAGTGTGACAGGAAGTGAGCGTGACAGGAAGTGAGCGGCTGTGGAGCGGAGGCACTGACCGATTCCTTATTCCAGGTAATGTGATGAAAAGCGGCACCAAGAAGATGAAGTCCTCGGACAGGCCCAGCAGGAACCTGCAGGACGCTCCTCCTCCCGCCTCGCCGGACGAGGTCCAGCAGAGGAAGGTTCTGGACCTCAGGAGATGGTAGTTCTGTTCGCTTCTCAATCTTCTGTCCCAGCTTCACTTCTTCAGAACAAACAGTTGCTGAACGACGGCAGAATTAGGAAGAGATGGGAATCGGGCGCAACGTGACCACAAAAAGAGGCTAAAGGACCATGAAGCGTGTGCGTCGTGCGCTGATCAGCCGCTGTGGCCTTCTGGGTAATTGTGTCTCTCGCCTCCAGGTACTGCATCAGTCGGCCACAGTACAAGACGTCGTGTGGGATCTCCTCTCTGGTCTCCTGCTGGAACTTCCTGTACAGCACCCTGGGTGCGGGAAGGTGAGCGCCTGCGTCCTGTTACCCACAATTCATAGTCGATGGCTCGACGGGGGGGGGGGGGGTCCACGTGGAGCTCCTCAGACTCACCGTGTTGTGTCTCAGTCTGCCCCCCCTCTCTCAGGAGGAGGCTCTGCACATTCTGGGGTTCCAGCCGCCCTTCGAGGACATCAAGTTCGGCCCTTTCACCGGCAACGCCACTCTGATGCGGTGAGCGCCGCCCTCCTCCCTCCTTCATCGGCGGCCGGTGAATTTGATTTAATTTCTTTTTTTCCCCTCACAGCTGGTTCCGACAAATCAACGACAACTTCCGCGTGCGAGGCTGCTCCTACATTCTGTACAAACCGCACGGGCGGCACAAGACGGCGGGGGAGACGGGTGAGTGCTGCACGTGGACTCCTGGGGGGGGGAGAATAGGAAGTGGTGACCTCTCGGGTTGTTTTTTGCAGCCGAAGGCGCCCTGATGAAACTGACCCAGGGCCTGAAGGACGAGTCCATGGCCTACATCTACCACTGCCAGAACCACTACTTCTGCCCCGTGGGCTTCGAGGCCACGCCCCTCAAAGCGGCGAAGGCCTACAGGTGCACTTTCTTCTTCTCGTTGTCTCTAAAGGGACAGCGTGTCCGTCTTAGGGGAGGCCGGTGGTTTCTGGCGGGTTGCAACCAACTAAATGTCCCCCAGCACGAAGGTCTGAACATTATTTCTATTTCTCTTCTGTTGTTTCCGTAAAAGGGGAACTTTGCCCACGAATGACACGGAGCACTGGATCCTGATCGGGGAGCCCAGCAGGAAACACCCAGCGATCCACTGCAAGAGGTGAGCCGTCGCCCTCTGCCATCGGGTCCGGGTCCTGGTTCTGGTTCCTGTTCCGGTTCCGTTTAACTCGAGCTTCTTCTTCTTCGTCTTTCAGGTGGCTGGACGTGGTGACGGACCTCAACACACAGAACCCGGAGTACCTGGACATCCGCCACACGGAGCGGGGGATCCAGCGGCGCAGGACCAAGAAGGTTCCCCGTCTCCTCACGCGCGGTGTTCCAGACGTCGCCCATCAGTGATGCAGGCGACCGATATTTAGTCTCTGATGTCACAATGTGAAAAACCAATCAGTGTTTAGATCAAAAGGAGGAGAGCTAGCAGCGTTAGCAGCACCGCTAACGGCTAACCAACAGAGGTCCAGTTCAGTTGCGTTATGATGCGTTCAGGCTCTGCTTGGTGAAAGTTACATGTAGTTTTCATGGATTTTTCTTATCTTTTAAAATGTTCTTTTGACGTCATAAACTTGACAAAATACAGTAGTTTTAAGGAAATAGTGTTGTTTGACTATAAATATATATTAATTAGATTAATTATGATCTTTTTACAGTAACTTCCTATAATATTACACTTAAAATGACTGTTTATTTCTTTATAATTTAAAATAAAGTGTTTTTATGTAGAAAAATAGAGTGTCTCTGACGGACGACTTTCCCGCTCGCAGGTGGGCGGGAACCTGCACTGCATCATGGCCTTCCAGAGGGTCAACTGGCAGAAGCTCGGTCCCTGGGCTCTGAACCTGGAGAACCTGCGCCACGACTTCCACCAGGAGCAGCAGCTCGCGGCGGAGCGCGGCCACGAGGGCGCCGAGGGGAGGAAGCCGCCCAAGCGCCTGGGCGCCCTGGGGCGTTCCCACAGCACGGGGAGTCAGAAAGACAGCGGGCGGAGACGTCCGTCCAACGCCGCGGAGCGGAGACAGCGGGCCCCCCACCCCGACGGCGACCTGGAAGAGGACGCCACGGGCTGACGGAGCGGCAAGTGCACGGTTCCACACTTTTGCTGCCCACAGACCGTGGTTTGCGCTCGCCGCGGTGAAGCAGGAAAACGGGCGGCGAGCAGGGCCGGCGTTCGGCACCGCACACCTGGATCACATCTGGATTATTGTAATCTGTGCGCAATTACAAATAATTCACTGAGAAAAACACTTGAAAAAAGTGGTTTTAATAACTACAAAATGACGAAATCTATAATATCGTGGCTTTCGGGGTTGATGTCTCTCAAGACCTCAATGAAATGAATTTAAAGCTGCAGACCAGTCAGTTATAAAGCTTCATTTAATATACACATTTTATTATTTTACTTAAAATGAGATCAGATCATTTACATTATTAGATTATTTATTATGTATTTATAATTCATCCAGATCAATTTAAAATCTGACAATCTTTTGTTGACATGTTGTTCAATAAACGTTATTTAGGTGTTGACTACATACAGATACAGTGAACTAGATCAGAGCACAAGTTACATTATTCTAACATCACGACGACGTCGCTTCAGGAGATTCTCTCTAAATGTAGGACTTATTTTATCGTAAGTGAATGGAGCACCAGAGGACTCCATCGGAGGTCAGAGATATAAAACGTAGAAACATCCGTCGTTTGATGCCGACGTTGAACCGTTTGTTTGGAGCCACTTTGAAACTCGCCGAAGCCACGGCATTTTTTCATTTTCTTTTAAACTCGTGTCCTTTTAAATGTATATTAAGATCAACCAATAGGAGGGCGGGGGCGTTGCCAGAGGAGGGCGTGGCCAAGCACAAGATCTGCTTGTAAATAAACAATGTTACTTTTTATTGTGAAAAACATTTGCTGTAAATTCTGCTCTAAGACGAGAACTTGTGCAGGTCAGTAGACGTTTTGTTTGTGCTTCGTGAAACCGGTGCGACGGTAAAATGATTCGACGCGTGAAAGCTCAGAGTCGTGTGGTTTATTTTAATTTTTATGTTCCCACGCAGATGTCATCATGTGACGCGATGGAGTGGTTTTATTTATTATTTCCCGATGAATAAAGTTTTTTTTTAAACTCCTGGATACAGACGTCTTCTCATCAATCGTCATATTTTGGTTCCCGGAGACGAGTCGCTTCCTTTGAGCCGTCGTCGTAACTCTGCGATGTGAGCCGGGGTTATGCAGCAGCAGCCGCCTGCAGGGGGGACACGCATCAAAGGACGTTACCACGGTGACCGCAGACATAACCAAAGAACACGCGTATTTACACAGCGCCATGGTTATCAGACAACCTACTTTCCACCGATACTCATTTTCACTGAACAGAGCATGAACGCATCACAATGTAACTGAATTGGACATCCGCTGGTTAGCAGTTAGCGGCGCTGCTAACGTCACCAGCAACTACAAAAATATAAATGATGTCATCAGTGCTTCACCATGCAATAATACATGCATCAGTGATATTGGGATTTTAAAAATGTGGTTTAGCTGCGTAGTTTATGATGAAATTATTATCGGAGGTTAAGTTCAGTCCAGTAAAAGAAGAGAAAACTTGTTGACGAATAACCGCACAAAATAACATGATGCAGACAGGTTTAAGTTCACCGATTAAATCAGCGCCTTGCTTCCTCCACGTGGGACTTAGTTTGAGGATGGAAGCGGACTGTTCCTCCGACGTCACCCACCTGTGTGAGGAAAAGCAAACGATTGGCTCTTGTGCTCTGCTCAGCTGCACCTACAAACTCCATTTCATTTTCCTTCGCTGTTTTCTCTGGGATTGCGTTTCCAGTAGCGATTGGGACTCACCCCTTCTCGGTGTCCCAGTCCCCTCCGCTGTTGGGGTACACCACCCAGCTCAGGTCCGGGCCCAGCAGGGACCCGGCGGAGTCCAGTAGCGGCTCCACCAGCTCCGGCGAGCAGCAGTTGACTCCCACGGCGACCAGCTGGGCGGTGCTGCTCGCCGCCAGCCGCACGGCGTCGGCGAAGGCGCTGCCGTCCGATATGCGCCTCCCGTCCTGACGGCGGTTGGTCGGACGTCACGAGGGGTCAAAAGCAGCGGGGGGGGGCGGCGCAAAACCAGTCAACAATCGAGCGAGGCCGCCGTTACCTTACAGGAGAAGGAGAGCCAGGCCCGCGTGTCGGGGAACTCTCTGAGCAGCTCCAGCAGAGCCGCCGCCTCTTTGATGCTCGGGACCGTCTCCAAGGCGACGAGGTCGGCCCCGGCCGCGGCGAGGGCGTCGATCTGCGGCCGATGCCAGGCCTTGAGGTCCTGGGGAGGGAAACGGAGATCGTTGGTTGTCTTTCAGCCTTTCAGCACAACCTTTTTAAAGTGTACGTCTCGTGCATCGGCAAAACCAAACCGATGCGATTGGCTGAGAGCCACGCACCTCCACGCTCATCCGCTCCGCGTACGCTCCGGTGTACTCCGAGCCGTCCAGGAGGACGGCGCCGTACGGCCCGACGGACGCCGCCACTAACGGACGCCTGCGACCTTCGGAGACAAATCAGGCCAAAAAAACGCAGAGTGACATCAATACGTCACAGGCGGCCTCGTAAAGGCCGGTCGGTCCTGTACCTGAGGGACGAGCGTCGGAGACGAAGCGGTCCACGGTGTCTCTGGCCAGCCGGACGCCGGACATCAGCAGCTCTCTGGCGCCCTCGGGGGTCACGTCCAGGTGCTTGACGAACCCCGGGATGCTGGCCTGGTACGTTGCCGTGGAGATGACATCGGCGCCGCCGAGGAGGAATCTGGTTTGAACAACAGTTTGTCCTACTTGGTAAGATTTGTTATAACAGACTCACCACCTGATTTTAAGGCGCATTGTGTTCAAACACAGTATTTCTGCACATCCACAGTAATATTTTTAGTTTTATTACGATTACTAGTTTTATACAAACTGTAAAATGAGGTTGCCGTGGCGACAGTTTTTGACTTGTGTCCAAAAGTAAAACATCTCATTACTTTATGTTTGATGAAACTGATGGTTTATTCAAGAAAGTGATTTTAATTAAAGGTCTCAACTTACTCATAAGCTCTGTCTAATCGCTTTATTGAATTTGAGAATTTTGTTCGCAAATTATTTTATTTTTTAACAAAAAAGTGCATCTAACCTGTAATGAGCTTCTCTGATGGCCTGAGGATCCGTGTGGAGAAGCCTGGAGCTCCACAGAGGATCTCCCTACCACACACACACACACACACGCACACGCACACACAGAGCATCACGTTTTGTGTCATTAAACACATGGTTTAATAGAAAGTGCTATTAAGTAAGTCAAGCAGCGATTTTATTATTTAAAGAAATGTGCATTTGATGTTTTTGAATTTGAAGTTTGTTGTGTTTTTTTATTTTATTTTGATTGGTATTGTTAAAAAGTGTTATTGTGTTATTTGACAATAAAGAGAAACGTTGCAAAGGTTCTTGCAAAATGTGTTTTAAGTCAAGTAAAACATGATATACATTTTAATTCCGTGGTGACAGCAGCATGACGCACTGACTTTCAACATGTATGTTTGCAAAACGAAACGTAACTTTCCGGCACGTTTTCACCTGTAATTTGGCTCCTTGTGCTTCCAGCTCTGAAGCCAGTCCGCCGTCCAGGATCAGCGGTCCATTGTCCTCCATGTAGAGTCTGAGACGAGCAGAAGAACCCATTAGAGACTCAAGTTATGTCCGAACACAGAAGGATACGTCTCTAATGGGTTCGTCGCTTTATTGACAACTGTTGTCTTTCCGGGTCCAAATGTTGCGTTTTTGGCCGCTCGAAATTTTGATATGTATGGTTATTCCGATCCTCTCAACGCCGCCGGTCCACCACGAGATGGCGCATGAAACAACGCCATAGTGACAGTGCAAAGAGGTCGAGCTATGCAACTTATAGGAAGCGTTTGGCTTCACTGGCGGAGAATTTCCTTTCTGTGTAAACGTTATCAAATAAATGCACCGTTGTTTAAATATTAAACAATAATAATACATGCATAAGTATAACCCATTATAATGCATATTATTCTGAAAGGGCCATTTGGCAAAACACTGAATTGAACTACTCTAAGTAAGATTTCCACAGCAAGTTTTAAAAGGCTATTTCTAATATGAAGTATTACTGCTTTTAAAAAAACATGATTCGTGCTTCTTCCAACTCTGGTAATACATTGGTAATAACAATTGTTTTCATTTTAGTTACAGTAACTGATTACTAACGTTGGTCAATGCTCATTCAACACTTTAATAAAACGGTATCGTTTGTATTCTCACTAGTCAATGTTGAAGTGGTCGTTTTCATCTTCAGCAGAAAGACGCGTTAATTACATGGTTTAGTGAATATACCCTGAACACACCTCGACTTCTCACAGTTACTATAGCAACAAAGCATAGCTTGCTGGTGGCTAACAATGCTAGCGGAAACCCATATCGGTACACACAGCTAGACTCCTTCGAGTTGTCAGAAATGGTGAGTTATTATTTCCTCGTGTCATAACATCGGTGCCGACGCAACGTTGAACTCTCACGCGCCTTCGGGACCAAACGAGAATTGTTCGCTAACGTGTAGCATAGAAAACACCAGCTAGCACCTATGGCTAACAGCTAGCATAACAGATAACTTTTTCTAAACTAACGTTATTAGTTAACTAACTAATTAGCTACGTTAATCTAACATGAGCCAACAACTTTAACCGGAATAACAGTAAATGAATGTACAGCCACATAAAGCCGGGTTTACCTACATAGTAAATAATTCATAACTAACGTAACGTAACTAACGTTAACTAAGGTGAGCATTGATGTGTTAGCATTAGCTACAGCTATTTGCAACGTGACTTTTACCGATAGTTTCTACGTTCACATACCTAACGTTGAATAAATACACTTTAAATCAGTGCACTCTGTTTCTTTTGGGTTGGTTACTGTTTGGGATGCCATTTAAGGCTCAGCTTGGTGGTTTAATGCACCAGTTTGTGATTTAAAACATTCAGGTAATAAAACCACAAGAGGTCACAAGGAGCAGTAACACATGTTAGAGACACCTAAATTACACTGTCTAACTTACACTGATCTCATTTAGAATCATCCAACTTCCACTGATCTCATTTTAAATTATTCAACTTACACTGATCTCATTTAAAATGATCCAACTTACACTGATCTCATTTTAAATTATTCAACTTACACTGATCTCTCTTTCCCCCCCGATGTCAGTTAGTCATTTAATACATGAAGTCATAAAAAAAGTTTTTAACATTTTCTAAAACCCTCCTTCATGATCTTTGTGATAATACTTAAAAGCGAAGAGGGATCTAGTTTAGTATCAAAGAAGTGAAATCTATATTTTTAGCATTTTAACAAACATAATACAGCTTTGAAAATCAGAAACTGTGTTTTCAAGAGTCTTCGGCCTTCGTGAAAGTCTTGAGCACATCTGACCGATCCACACATTGTAGTTGATCTAGATGTAAATCTAGATGGAATTTCGCCTTTTTTGCATTTTCAACACACACACACTCTCTAGGTTCAGGATGTAGTCACCTGACTCTGGACAGTGAGAGGAAACAAAGAGTTCTGGAGGTCAAACACAGGTCCCGTTGCTGTGAGCTGACCTTAAATAAGTTAAGTTATAAGTTAAGTAATATAAGTTATTTGAAGCCAAATCACCTCCAGACAATCATTTAGATTTAATTAGATTCCACTGCCTTTTAATTCTATTTGGTTGTCAAAATTAAAAGAATCAGATGAAGCGATGCCACTCTTAAGTTTGACTAAAATCACAACAAAGCTGACTGATTGCTGCCGTGGCAACAAGACGTTTCCTGAAACCTTTCAACCTGCAAGAGCCTCAGACCTTCTGTCAGAGTACAGGCCTCCCTTCACAGTCCTTCACATGACTCGTCCCGGCCTTCAGGAGTACCGGACGCTTCCACTTCACCTGCAGGGACTCAACACTTTCCTAGGTTACGTAATCCAACACCCTGAACACAGTTTGTTTTTGTCAGTCAGTTGAAAGTCATGTTGGAAAAGTCTGCGCTGCTTTTCTCTGAACAACATGAGGCTGGGACGAGGTTCATCTCGGCCCCGGTGTTCACCCAAAGGACCGGGACGTCTAACGCGTCACACATGGACAGGAATGCTGCCTGAAATGTATTGATATGAACCCACACTCAATGATTCTCTTTTAAGATGACTGAGCAAACTTCTGGGTCTATACGCGGGACTCAGAGCCGCATGAGCATCTTTGAAATAAAAGCAGTTTGAAGTGACACGACCCTTCTCGCCAGGAGGACCGCTACGCCTTCCTGACCGAGTGGTACGACCCGACCGCCGCTCTCCTGCGGCGCTACCAGCTGTTCTACTTCCCCAAAGATAGCTCGGTGGAAATGGTGAGCGTCCACCACGGCATCATCGTGTTACATTGGCGCCTCCAACTCTGTTTAGACAAACTGACATTCGAATTCATGAAGCATTTTACTGCCCTTTTTCACTGAGAATCTCTGTAAAACCCCAATGGAGCTGTAAACGTGGCCAAAGAATGCTCAGTAAACCTGGATAATATCAACATAATACACGCATTCTGTTCATCTCCAACAGACAGAACAAATCATCATGCTTAGTCTACAACTATTTCATTGGAATAAACTGCTGTTATTTATTTCCAGTTTGATGTTAAAAACCAGCGCATATTTCTGAGGAGGACCCGGTACCAGGAGCTCCGCCTGGAGGACCTGTTTGTCGGGAATCGAGTGAACGTTTTCTCCCGTCAGCTCAATCTGATTGAATATGGAGACCAGTACACCGCCAACAAGCTGGGCAGCAAGAAGGAAAGGTACCGATACCGCCCGATAATCGATAAACAATTCTTCCCGTGGAACCGGCCCTGCTTGCTTCAGGTTGTTGAGAAGTTCAAATTCATGAATACACACGTTATAAAACTTAGCAGAATTAGCAGAGAGGTTGATCATCATCTGCAGTCCCCTCATAATCTTTATATTAGCATTCTTGAGTTAATGCAGTGTAATCTATTAAGTGCAGGATCGCTCACAGACATAATCCCCCCCCCACCCAGCATTGTATTATGGCAGATGAAATGTGTTGCCTTGTATAACATTCTACATTTCAAAGGTCTGATGTGGAGCTCCTCCATATGCGAGCGGCTCCACATGGAAGAGTTTCTCTCGTCCTTGAAAGGACCTTGTGATCCGTTCCTTCCAGAACTCTGGCTCTGATAAAGCCGGACGTCGTCACCAAGATCGGAGACGTGCTGGAGTTGATCCACTCGTCCAACCTGCTGGTGACCAAAGCCAAGATGACGGCGCTCACAGGGTGAGAGGGAGTCCGTGTGTGTTCAGCGCTCACGGCCTCGAGGCCCTTCGCCCTCCACGCCTTGTGTCATTGTTAGATTTTATTACTCACGATCCACAAGGTGAAGTGTTTGTGTTTTAGCTTGTTGGTTTAACTGTTGAATTTGGATATCGCTGACGTGAAGAAAAAGTTTTGTCTCTTAGCAACAGAACCACGATTACATTTCTTTTCGGTCTTGTACAGAAGTAAACGGGTGTTAGTGTGTCCTGTTCCTGTCAGATCTAACCCCCCCCCGTGTGAAAACACCTATGAGCACATTCCTAACTGTTAAAAACGATATTCTGAGGAGCTCGCATGGTCTTCCTGTCGTTTTATTGCAATAATCAGGAGCACCGCTGCCTTCAGCGGAAAGACCTTTGACCCCGTGAAGAAGTGACAGGAACCCGGTGGACGTGGCGGCTCTCGTGACTCATTAACTCGGCGCTTCAAGGTTTTCTTTCTCTCGTTGCAGGAAGCAGGCGGCAGACTTTTATGTGGAACATCAGTCGAAGCCTTTCTTCAAGTGAGTGCCTGTCAATGATTGGCCGGTTCCGAGCCCGATCGCTCACTGAAGCTCTAACAAAAGATCCCGACGGCCGCAGCCACATTCAGACAGATTTAATGGGGGGGGGGGGCTTAAAGTTAAACTTCAGCTTTAATCTATTTCATTCAGCCCAAAATCACAAATCACAGGAAACTCACAGGAACCCCCCCTCAAATGGACACCATAAGAGTTACAACACAACCTATGAGGTTAAACATGGTCCAAAGGAACAGTGTTTCCATGGAAACCGCCTGTCTCATGTCTCGCTGTCGGTCCGTCCCGCAGTAACCTGGTGCAGTTTGTGTCCTCGGGCCCCGTGGTGGCCCTGGAGCTGATGGGGGACGAGGCCGTGTCCATCTGGCGGAGGCTCCTGGGGCCCACAGACTCCTCGGCGGCGAGGAAGGAGGCGCCGCGCAGCGTCCGGGCCCAGTTCGGGACCGACGCCGTGAAAAACGTCGGCCACGGCTCCGACTCCCTCGCCGCGGCAGCGAGGGTAAGAGCGGCAAGACGGGCCCCGCCCTGACCGCTGGCGTGTGAAGTTCTCATTCTGTTCCTTCCGGCAGGAGCTGGAGTTCTTCTTCCCGTCCACCGTCGGCCACGGCCCCCCCAACACGGCCACGTGCACGGAGTGCACGTGCTGCATCGTCAAACCCCACGCCGTGTCAGAAGGTAGGGACCGCCTCCCCCTCCACTCATAGCCCAGGGGAGAGTCTGTCGTCACCACGCCGACCACACTGGGGCTTGTGTGTTTTTCCAAATCCCTGCCCTGATCCCCGCCGGGTGGAGGGGGACGGGGGGGACGGGGGGCATTCCTCTGGAGCCGTGACCTGTGAAACGTGGAATTCTCTGCCCGATGAGCGGGGGGAGACCTGGACGAGCTGCTCCCTTTAATCTTCCCTCCCCCTGTGATGTGGAGAGCTCCTCCTCCTCCTCTGAAGAGCTGTCCGCTCTTCGTCTGTTTCAGCGCGACCTCTGGGGAGGGAACCTGTGACCCTCTGTCGGTCACAGCGGGGAGCTTTTCCTCTGTAGCGCCACCACCTGGTCAGGATGCCAGCGTGTCCCGCGGCTGTAGTTAATGACTGAATACCTGAGGCGGTGGTCATGGTAACCACACTTGATTGGCATCAGGGTGTTGGCATTTAGCTCAAAGCACCTCCCAGTACTGCTCCCACAAACATGTTTTATGCGTACGTCCCTTCAGTGCAAATCTCACCTATTAGAGCTATAAATTCCTTTTTTATGTGCCTGCATGTACCAGCATGCATTGCACGCTGTTGTGACATAACAAGTGACTGCACAGCCAACAGCACTCATCAGAGAGTAAACCACTGATGGCTGTTGTGTTCCCAGTGGAAAGACCTTTTTCACCTCAGGGCATTTTGACCCGTCAAAATAAGAGTCCCGCGTGTTGTGCCGGGATCCCGACGCCCCGCCAGGCCTGAATGGAATGAAGCCCTCGGTAATGTTGTTGCTGCATCCACACCATGCTGCTTTTCCTGCCAGTGGAAATCTGTACCGTGAGAAAGTTTTGTGAGAGAGTGACCCGTTAAAGAGATTCTTTGTTTGGCCTCAGGGCGGAATGAGGAACTCCTCCAATCGGCTGCAGGATCCAGTTCCTCCCAAAGTACTCCGGACTAAACATGTTTAGGTTTTTAAACAAATGTGGTGGATCAACAGTTCATCACAAGCCTGCACAGCTCTCCCCTCGATGCTGAAGTACGTTGCACTTCAACATGTCGAACTTTTAAAATCCAGCCCAGTCCACGTACATGAGAAAATACTCATGTACATGGACTGCACGTACATGAGTATTCTCTCCGCGGCCAGATGACGTGGCGTCACCGCGCCGATAAAGGCGGCCGTGTCTGATAAGGTACTCGGACGCGACTGGAATAGAAGAGTTTCTGTTGCCAGGCACCCAGAGCAGGGTCTCCTAGCAACAGCACCAGCTGCTTTTGGGAGCTGGTGCTGAGTGTTTGTGCCTATCAGCTGCTGCTGCTGCTGCTGCTGGGGAGGACGGGAGGGGGGGGACTTACCTAACAGTCTCACACACACACACAGGTGGTCTGGGACCAAACGGTTCCCCAATTAGAAGAGAAATTTATCAGAGACACACCGGGGACAATAAGAGAAGCTGAGAGCAGACCCCCCCCCCCTACCCGTCTTTCTGCCTCTTCTTCTTCTTCATCATCGTCGCCTGTCTGCAGCAGTCTGACCTTCACCGTCGCCGCCTCAGCGTCTCGCTCTCTGAAGAGATTACCGACCGACAATCTCGCCGTCCCTCCGTCACGGGGGGGGACAAGCCGAGGTCAACGCAGCATAAGACGACGGTTATGTTTGAGGCAGAAACAATAACTGTTTATTAAAGAGAGCAAATGATGAAAGCTGCTGAACAAGTTCCATGTTTGAAGAGTGAAATGTTTGCTTTTGCCTCACAGGTCTGACCGGGAGGATCCTGAACTCCATTTCAGCGGCCGGATTTGAGATCTCGGCGCTTCAGATGGTAAAAACGCGGCGCCGACGCCGGTCTCGCGTGTCGCAGCGTCACTCCCGGTAACCAATATGTGCACCTTATTGACCCGCGTGACGCCGCCATTGAGTGACCTCTGTGGCTCCGCACGCTCCGGGCCGCGGGACACCGATCGATCGATCGATCAGGCGTCTGTTTTTCTGTGCGTCCGTGTCCTCTCTGAGGGTTCAAACACAAAGAGGAAGGATGCTTTGTTGTAGACAGACGGTCTCACACTCGTCTGTGTGGGATTCACAGTCTGACGCTTCAGTCACATGGTTTCCTCTCCACATTCCCCTGTGATGTTTCCCTCCTCGCACAGTTCAACGTGGACCGGCCCAACGCAGAAGAGTTCTACGAGGTGTACAGGGGCGTCGTCAACGAGTACCCCGTGAGTGACGCCGTCACGTCCCGTACAGATGTTTGAGTGGGGGGGGGGTGAGATGTGGTGACGTGTTTGACACCCCCCCCCCACCCCCCTCTCTGCAGGGCATGGTGACGGAGCTGTGCTCCGGGCCCTGCTTGGTCCTGGAGATCCACGGCGCCGACGCGCCGCGCTCCTTCAGGGCCTTCTGTGGACCCGCCGACCCGGTGAGTCGCACGCGCCTCCTCCTCCTCCTGCCCGACGGGTCAAAGGTCAAACGCACTCGTCATTTTATATTACATAATATTATTTTAAAGCACCTTTTTGAAATGCACCTCAACACACCTGATGCAATATTAACTTAAGCAACTGAATACAAAGAGAGTTAGACGGAAAATACTATGGAGTTATACTTCTACTAGAGGGTGACGACATGCGACGGGTGTGTGTGTGTGTGTGTGTGTGTGTGTGTGTGTGTGTGTGTGTGTGTGTGTGTGCGCTGCAGGGCTGCTCTGGGACGCGATGAGCACTCTGAGGAGACGCTCACGTCCACGTCCCGCCGGTCGCTCATCCGTCCCTCCTCATGTTACATGTAATACATTACATTCATGTCATCCTCCGTAATGGCGTCCGTCCTTCAGTCGGCACAAGGTCACGGGCGCTACACCCTCGCCGCAGGAAAGGATTTAATTGGCCAATGATTTTCCGGGTCACATGACACTAGACACGCGTTAAATTGACGCCTCAGCGGACTCGCTCGGCGTGTAAGAGAAGACACTCGTTTGTGATGTTCGGCATCCGACAGTCGCTCCTCATCCTCGGCCACCGAGGCCTCTGTAGCAAAGCTGAACAAAGCTGTCGATCCCCTCCGGTAGATTTAAGACACATGACCTCTGACACGCAGCGTCATACATGCATAGATGACACGGACAGAAGTGGGAGTCGTACCTCCATCCTCATGAGGCCACCGCGGCCTGTAGACAGGAAGTGACGGCGTCGCCATGATGTCACCCGTTAGCTTGTGGGTGTTTTGAAGCCTCGTTTTCACCATCGTTTTTGTAACCAGAGAACAGGAAGTGACCGTGTGTGTGCGGAGGAGGAGCCACAGAGCCCCGCGTCCTCCAATCAGCCAGCGATGCACCGACCGCCTGCTCGCTCCACCTGATCGTTATTGTGTTTAAATCATCAGCTTCATAAAGCACATTAGGGTGGTGCTTCTGGCCCGACGATCGAACGATCGGCTAAAAATATGCTTTTTATTGATTTGTGACCCGTCTGTGTAGAGCTTCCTGTTCCCAGAGTTCATTTAAGTGCTCTGCTCACTACAAAGATCCTTCAGAGTAGAAATGTAGTCGGGCCGCCGCGTATTACTATGGTACTTTTGGTTGATGACCTTGAAACCTGCCCGACACACACAAATATAGATATAGTTCAGCTACAAGGCTGGTCTCGGATCAGTTTTAAGTCAACATGGTGTGTGTGAGTAAAAGTATCACATGACCGTTCCCTCTCTATAATTAGTACACAAGTGGTTTGTGTTCTATATTGGGCGTGCGTTCCCTCAGTGAATGACTTATTCATGTGCTCGCTCCCCATGAGGGCGGCGAGTTGAGGCTCCCGGAGAATCAAAGAGCAGGAGAGCGAGGTTCCACCTTGAGAAGGTCGTAGACTTTAGATAAAACTCCCGAGTGGTATTCAGGAGTCACAAGATCAGAGCAGAAGGCGGGAAACCCGTCACAGGAAGCCACCGCGGCTGTTTGGTATGAAAAAGTCGTCACTTCCGGTTTACGGGTCACATGAGCGGCTGCTGAGACATCACACTTACAGGATGTCCAGAAGGCCACGCTGCACATTTCATCACATTCACTTCCATGTTTATGAGGAGTTCTCAGCAGTATTATTACCAAGAGTACTACCACACTGCAAAACATTCCACTAAAATGTAAAAATCCTGCATTGAAAATAGAACCAGGAGAGAAGAGGTACTTTGTGTAAAAGTGTCTAATAGAAGTCGTATAGGAAATAATTTAATAATCTCCACATTTGAATAAAGGAGAAAATAACTAATGAAAAGTTTTGATTTGCAGTTGGTTTTGAAACAAAGCATCAGATTTGATAAACTAATAATCTTGCTTTTATAAAAATTGAGCTGAAGCTTTCAGAAGAGAATCAAAGTCTAAATAATACTAAATACAATACTAAATGTATTGTTACTTTTCGCCACGGTTTACTGAGCAGAGGAATCCTAATCTTCTGCCCAGGAGATCTCCAGACGCCTTCGCCCGACCTCGCTGCGCGCCCTCTACGGCAAAGACCGCGTGAAGAACGCCGTGCACTGCTCCGACCTCCCCGAGGACGGCTTCCTGGAGGTCAGTGGTCCGGCGCTATCAACCCTCCTCCCACACCTCCTCTGATCCCACCAGCGAGCACGACCCGGCCGGTGGGCCGACGGGGTCTCATGACTCGGCTCTGTGGGCCGGGGGTGTGGGTGTGTGTGTGTGTCACACTGGTTCTGAGGACTTAGAAACAAAAGCCTTGTTCTGCTGGATGTGGGTCACTGACAAACGGGCCCTTGTTGAGGAGCGAGGGCGCTTTGGGCTTCATTCATGTTTCTCTCCACAGGTTCAGTATTTCTTCAGGATTCTGGACGGGTGACAGAGACATGAGGCGGTGCATTCAAAGACGTGACAGTTGAACTCATGTTTGTTTATTGTTTCAGCCTTATGCAGATTAAATAAAGTGTTTTGATCTTTAACATTTAACACACCGACTAAACACGTCATTACACGGGAAACTGCGTCTGATGTTCACTTTTTTTCGTCTTTTTTTTTGACCAGCGACTTTGGTTTCTGATTCATACATTACACTTTGAAAAAAATGTACAACTGCATAAATATAAAATTCTTCCACCATGAAAATGGTTAAAACATTCAATAGTAATCATGTGACGTCTCCAGGAAAAAAACAAAAACAAATTTAGTTTCCATGGAGATGAGCCACAAAGTTCTACACTACCAGTTAAAAAGAAACAAACTGAAGAGCTTTGAACAGAAACGTCATCAAAACGGATAAAGAACGGTTCCATGGAGTCGGTCGTCTACTCACCGTGGAGGTTCAGAGTACCATGCTAGTATTCAGTTAGAGCACATCAACACGCACACACCTTGGACCACTGAAGCGGACGTAAGACAGATCACAACAGGACTACAGCACACTGAGAACACCGTAAGGATGAAACACTGAGGACAGGAAGAGCTACACGTCAGTAGTGGAGTTACAGTAATAGATGAACACATGGCTCGAGGAATATTCTCATGTACAATAGAATAAATATTTGCTATTGCTACTCTTGTATTTTTACATTCTAACCCTGGACACACACACGCGCGCGCACACACACACACACACACACACACAAGCTAGTGTAAAGCACACAGATTAAGTGTAGGTCCTGTATATCATGAATGTTCAAAGACTAGTGGTGTTTATCTCAACTCTTTTATTCTCTCTACATTGTGTCGGTGTCAAAGTGAGAGACGCTGGCCGCGGCTGAGGTCACGAGGCGATGTTGAACTTGACGTCAAAGCGTCCCTGATAGCGGTCCTTCTCGCTGTAGCCGATGTTTTCGCCGAACACTTTGCACTCGATGCGGAGCTCCTCGTTCAGGGTCAGGTTGTTGAACTGGATGGCCACCAGAGGCTGCAGGTACTGGGGGTGCAGCAGCTTGCCGTAGTACGGGTAGTACTGCAGCGGGAAGCCCTCGCCCAGCCCAAAGAACTTGATCTCTCCGATCTTGTCAGCGTCCTCCTCTCTCTGCGAACGCCACGGTGGATTTTAACTCGCGTCTCCTAACATTTGATGTAAACACGTGGGACACTGTGCTGAAAGGTCGGCGCGGACGTACCTTGTTCTTGCAGAAGATGGGGATCAGGTTGGGCTTCAGTTTTGGCAGCAGAAACTCTTCGACAGAGTTGTTCATTGGAGGCTGAAAGCAGAGAGAGAGAGACATCCTGAGCAACGTGACCACGTGAGCGAGGCTGCAGCAAACGGCACAGTTCTAACGAGTGATTCAGCTCAAAACTCCCATTTGTTGCCTTTAATCTTTTGAAAAACAGTTCAAAACATTCCGCCCTGTTTGCTGCTGCTCAGTTATGGGGTGAGAAAGTAGTTTTTTCTGAGAGTGATCATAACTCTAAAACGCCAATAAAAGAGTAAAATGTTAAACATTCAAACTCTGCGACATGCACTGGGTCATGAGACCAAAGCGAGGGATTCGCTCGCCCACCTTCGCTGAAGTTGACGATCCTGTTGAGCTTGACGATGAGCCACGCTTCCCGGGTGTGGAAGCCTTACTGCGGTTTCCCAGTCGGGGCCACACCCCGACCAGGGAGCGCTTGAGGCGCCAGCCAATTCTCTGGCCGGGGTTGTTGTCCTCAGGGGCGCCGCGGTCCTTATAGTTCTCGGGGACGCTCCCAGGGGGGGGGGGGGGGGGTTTATTCATTAAGACGGGTCGATGACACCGTATCCCTGCATTTTAAAAATCTCTCTGGCATCAGCTGGCACTTACCTCCACAGTCTTCAAATTTCATCTGGTCGGTCTGTTTATCGTCATCGTACTTCTTCAGGAACTTGGTCATGGCGTCAGTGTACTTTTTGTACGAGGAGGCGTCGGACAGACTGAACGCGATTTCAGATTTCTCAGAGCGAGGCGTGTGGGACAGGCCTGAGGACACAACGCCGCATTAGTAACAACCCGTAGGAATCCAAATGTTTTCAAACAGCAAAATTAACTAAAGTATTGATTCTTACTGACGTGAAGTTCAGTGTTTGAATAAATAGAGCTTAGAGTTCTTAACAATGACAGCAGGGGAAGACTCTGCTCTGCCTACTTGAAGCACATCGAGGGGTTTGTGGACTCTGTACTTTTCCACAGACGTTGGGCTCGAGGCGCTGCGAGGCGTGGCGTGAGCAGAACGGCCGAGAGGAAACCTTTTCTTCCCAGAAGCCCCTCTGTTGGATCGCCGCGTTTGTTGCTGTAGTTGCCAGCGCGTTGTTGTGCGAGCAGCAGACACTGAGGCCCGTGAGTCCTCCCTCCCCCACACGTGTGACTCTCCCTCTCTCACAATGGAAACTTTTCGCCTGGGAGTGAGAGGCGGATCTGAATAACTACTCCCGGCTTCCTTGATCCTGCCACTACTGGAAAGTCTCTGCAGCTCAGAGCACAGGCCGCTCCTCCGCTGCCCCCCCCCGGCCTGCGCCGCTGAATATTCAACATGTGCTGTGCAAACAGCCGACAAGGCCGAGCACTTCACAGTGAGCCCGTTTGATTACTGACAGATTAAGACTTTACTGCAGAATAACCAGCTTAGAGGCCAACTTGTTCTACTGGTTAACACCCGTGAGGATCGACACAATCACAGCTCACGGGAATCGGTTCGGTCCCAGGGAGGGAGGGGGGCGGCCCCGGGAGGACATTGACCGGCCAAGAGCATTGAAGGACAAAATGGCTGAAGCTGATCAGAGGTCGGAAAGGACGGTTTCGGAGTGACGAAGCGGGTACGGTCTTACCTGGGGGGGCCACCCGGTCCTGGTAGGTGGGCTTGTAGTTGCTGAGCGTGAGCAGCAGAGCCTGGATGGTCCCGATAAAGATCCCCGCCAAGCATCCGTAGAAGATCACGTAGAAGAGGAAGATCTTCACTGCAGAGCAAAGAGACGCAGGTCACAATCACAATGATGGGAAATGTTCTCAGGCAGAAAATGAGACGAAGCAGCATTAAAAATGAACATCTCATTAGTCGGCCTAAAGGCTAAAACGCCGTTAACCTCGAGGAGACACAATTACGCCGCCATTACAACAAAAGGGACTCATGGCGGCTTTGTCCACATAATGTAAAAAGGTACCCCAATAATGCAAGAACAGGAGGAGGCCAACAGGTTGAGTCATAGCGCCCCCCAACCCCGTCACCACCAACAGGTTGGACATTCAACCACAGCTCTTTTTAATCAACATTGAGAGGTGGAGAAGGTTTCCTCTCATCTTTCTGCTACTTTTACTTTCCTGTAACAAGACTCAAATCAAATGTCATGTTTAATATCACAGGTAAATCTAATACCACTTGCACCTCTGGGAGTCATTTAATATTTCAGAAATATCTGGAATTGCCATGAAAATGTTTTGATTTTTTTTTTTAAAAAGAGAAGGAAAAAAATGAATCAAAACTCATTTGTAAAATCTCATTGCATTTGAAGTCAGACAAACAAATGTTTTCATATGGTTTCTGATTTTTTAGGGGGCTTCCTAGAAACACTGATACCGTGTGCATTCCCATCTCCTCATGTGTTGTTGCTGAACCTTCCCAACACGCTTTCCCACTGCCAGATTCATGTCCAACGGGGCCACCGCAGAACCAGTTTGAGAACCGGTCCGACTCCCCTCCCGTTTTTTAGTTTAGTCTCACAAAAAAAAAAAAAACAACAACACACACCGACAGCAGCACCAGAACACAATGTGACATGCTGAGTGGGCCATGACTTATTAGATCTATTCCAACATGGCTACCTGGCACCTGTGTGCACATCTGCAGCAGGCTTCCCGTGTGACGCACCTGTTGGGGGGGGGACTACACACACCGCTGTGTTTAAATCGTGTGCAGCGTTTCTTTTTTTTTTTTCATTTAAACAATGATCAGATTTCATTTGCAAAAGGAACTCCATTTTCTCTCACGGATGCAGGTGAAACAAGCACGAGAGACACTATACAGGCCCTTGTGAGGCCAACACCGTGTTATTAGCTGGTCAACAGGAAACGATGGTATTTGTTAAACGTGACCTGTTGGACACACGTGGGCCATGTGGGAGCGGCCGTGGAAGCCAACAGGTTCCCTAGAAATGTAAATATGCGAGAGGACAGACGGAGTTTTGAATGGAGCACCTCCCCCACCAATGTGCTGCAGAGCCCGACTGCTCTGCAGCACATTTATGTAGCGGAGGACAAACACGGAGACACATACCTGTCTGTCTCACACCAAAGCTCCCGTCCTCCATTTTAAAATCACAAAAAAAAAAACCCTCACACACACACACACCTTCAATGCCTCCATTAAACGGTCCGTCTCACTAACTCGAGGACACAGACCTGTGGATCCCTTGAGCAACATCGCTCTTTTTAGTTGATGCGACACATCGACCCCAACACACACACACACACACACACACACACAGCCTGTAGTAGATGTAGCACAAGTACACGAGAGGAAGTATTACTACACCAATCACATGTACTCGTAAGTTCGCCACAAACTATAAACCCTGTTGCCATGGAGACGCGCAATCAGGTGAGACCGCCGGTCGGGAAACAACCGTCGATTCCCTCGAGCGAAGAAACGGTTTATTTTTATTTCGCTTGGCAGTAAAGAAAACGGCCACAAATCGGTCGTTTCTTTGGGGGGAGAGTCGGAGATGGGGAGGGAGGGGAGGAGGGGAGAAGGGGGGTGAGTCGTGATCAGCCCAGCACCGTGTTACCGGGCAGCGTCTGAGCTCATCCCACCGGGGTTTCACGCAGTTTACGATCAGATAAACCGGTTTAACCAGCTCACCGGGCGGGTTATCCCATCAAACCGAGCGCCACTTCTCTTAAGTACCGAACACGGGGGGTTTTAAGAGCCGCTCATCTTCGGCTTAAGCAGAAAAAAACCGGGTAAACCAGGATCCCGATTAGCTCATTAACAAGGTGCGTGAGGAGGGTAAAACGTCTTTTGGTTCCCCTTTAGTTCCCCCCCCCCCCCCCCGCGTGGATCACAGAGTCCCGGCCCCGCGCGGCCTGTCCTTCAGCGTGACCTTTCACAAAGGACGGTCGTTACGCCGGCGGGGCCGGGCGACGCCTTCGGCAAACGTCTCCTCTGCCGGGGCGCCGACCGTTGGAGTGTCCGACCCGACGTCCAACTTAGATGCGAGCCAATAACTTCATTTACTACGAACGTATTTGTCTCAAGTTGGTGACCGACGGTGGACCTGTGGCGCCTTCGGAGCCGCCGAGAACTCCTTCACGCGTTTCGTGTTTTATTGAGATTCGACGGAGAAACTTCTCCACCCGCCTCCATTGAAGAGCGGAGTCACGACGCGGCGCGTCGGTCTAACAGGTGCTGTGTCTTCACCCGTGGGGGGGGGCGGGGAGGGGTGGGGGGGCACTGCTTCTGACCTCCATCCTCGTGGGTGCGACTTTGTGCCGCCATTGAAATAAAACCAGAGGAAAGGAAACGACTTACGCCAACTGCTCCCCGTCCGCCCGAGAAACTCCTTCTTCTCTGAATTCCACACGAATGTCCTCCACCCGCCGTCGCTGTCCTTGTTCGCCTGCATGGTTCTCCGGTGGTGTCTCAGAAGCAGCTCAGCTCGATAACCGTCCCCGACAGGAAACGCGGAAGGGAAGCTTCACACGCGACTCGAAATATGTCTCAGAGACAGACCGGCTCCGCCCGCGAACTCCTGTAATAACTTACCCCCCGAAGGGGGGGGGGCTGCGCCCAGCAAATCACGGCCTGGCTCCGCTCATACGTCACCGCCAGAAAGGGCGGGGGGGGGGGGGTGCGAGGGGGCTCCCGGCTGAACCACACGGGCGACAGAAAATGGCAAACGGTTTGCCAGCGAGCGTTTTAAATGATGCCGGCGCCATGGAAACCACTGCGGCCTTCGCCCAGGTCTCCGCCGTGTAACGCGGAGGGACAAACGGTTCCACCACCTGCAAAGACAATAAGCGTACAACACTACCCGCGGTACACAATCTGTCACACTATCCAACGTTCAGAAGCACTGATGCTTTAAGTGAAACTACTTCTACCGGTTCCACTTGACTTTTAGCTAGTTTTCCTCTGACAATAACTAACGTTACTTCCACTGGTTCTCCTTGAACGTTAGAACAGTTTTTTCCTTTGGCCGCTAACTACCATTCAACCTTTCATCTATTACTTTCAGCTACAGTTTTCTAACATTAGTCTTGTCAGCTAAACATTTTGCACCATTTTTGCAAATTTTTAGCTAACTATTTCAACTTTCATTCATTACTTAGCTAAGCTAACTTTTTCCACCACTAATGCTAACCAATTCATTAATTCTGCCTAACTATTTTAAGAGTTAATGTATTTGCCTTATTTTAGCTAATTAACTTTTTCAACTGTTCCCATCACGTCCGACTAACTATTCAAACTGTTTATCCACAACTTTTAGCTAACGCTATTTCAATTGTTTACCTCACTTTTAGCTAACGCTAACTATTTCTACAACTAACATTAACCAATTCCATTACTAAAGCCATTGCTTTTACCTAACTATAATAAAATTAGTGCATTAGCCTTATTTTAGTTAACTATTTCAACTGTTCCCATTACGTTTGACTAACTATTAACTAACTTTTTATCCACAACTTTTAGGTGGCTATTTAAACTGTTTCCATTATGCGTGGCAGACAATTTGTAGAGAACTTTAGGTGGCTTTATTTGTTCATCCATCAATTGTATTTATGCTACTTTTTCAACCATTTATCAATTGACGTTTGGATTATTCCAACCAATCCATTACTTTTAGCCAACTGCTAAGTGGGATACACATTTCCATGCCCTGTTTAGGAATATTTGAATCCAACGGTTGGACATTATCCATATAGCACCACTTGTTTGGCACCTAAAAGTATTTTAATTCTAAATTAACTTATTTTCATATGAGCTAGTTTCAGCCATGACAATAAAGGGAGACGTTTCAAATAGGTTTGAATAATGCACATTTATTTAGACGTAATAAAACTCAAGAAAACTGCCCTCAAATTAAAAGTAGAGCATCAGCAGGCTGTGAGCTGTAGTGGATTTCTACATTGATCCAGAGTCATTGAAGCTGCAATCTATGTCTATTGTTAGCTCAGTTTGTTTATTTGTCATCATGCTAATAGAAAGCCTGATTAAATCGAAACGTGTTGACAGGGTGGATCTGCGTCACTGGGCGGGTTCACACATTATGTGTCGCTCTGTGCTTACAGTGGCCTCCTTGTTTATTTAGGTTTTGAGTAAGAGGCAGTAAGAAATAACCCGTTTCTTCTTTCTGCTCCTTCACGTATGTGTAAACAGACTGGAAGCGCGATAACAAAATCCCTTATTTTCCCCACAACACAAAATGTTGCAGTGTTGCAGCAGCCAATGGGACCGGACACCAAGATGTGAGGAAAAGGCAACGAATAGAATACAAACTAAACTGGCTTGGCTCATATTATTACATTTAGGAAATGTGAAATAAAGTTGTGTTTTATATTTTTATTAACGTAACAAACTGCTGCGTGACGCATATTATGCCTCCGAGCATTTTTTATTATCATAAAGAAAGTCAAAAAGAGAGAGAGAGCAGAAAAAGTACACTGTGTAACCGTGTTTATTCTCAAAGGCTGAAGGGAGGGAGAACAGCATGTGCCGCCACGCTAACAGTCTTTCTTATTAAACCGTGATATGATCAGTGGACTCGATGCCCAGTGAAAGTTAACTCCTTTCAGCTTATTGGCTGATGTCAGGAACTCACCATTCAGTTACAGTATGAAGGGGAAAAACATCGGGTCAGTTTTCTCTCCACTAAAGGAAGTAAAGATACTTTCATTCCACCAGAACCCCTTTGTAAATGTCCACATGTTCAATGACAGTTCTCCGATCAAGCGGTTTGAATACAATCCCCTGGCCTACATTCAGATGTTTGACGCAGGCGGCCTCTTTATCTTTGTTCTCCTCTGACTCCTAAAACTCTTATCAACATCGTGCAGATGAACGCTTCTCTGTCGTGTGTAGTGAAGGTTTCACCTCCGTTGTTTGGTGGTCTAGTAGTCCTTCACCTTGTGTCCACGCAGGAAAACAGGGTTGAGGGGTTATTAGACAACGTCCTGCTATCAAAGTAATATACACTTAATACACTTAATCTAAATGTAAATACCTGTTAACAATACACCAGCATCACTGTCAAGGCACGTAATATTATTATTAGTTATTTGTAGGCGTATTATTCATGTTATTAATAATAATTGTTATTAATCATAATAATTCCAGTAAAAAACGCAAATAACAATAGTGAAAAAAAAAGAAGAAAAAGACTGAAAATGAAGGGTGAGACATAACGATGAGACATGTATAACTGGCCAAATGGACACCCAACACAAAAACCTCTTTAATAACTGAGCACGTGCATCAAGTTTTAGGAAATAAACGATAACACAAAGCAGATGTCCAGCCTGAAGCGCCCGCTTCGCTCTGAATCCATCGGTGCGTTATAAAAACTTGTTTTCGGCGCCGCGCTCGGCGCTGCTGTGTTTTCACACCGTCGTGAGTAAACAGTGTAATAGACTCCCGCAGAGGCCTATTGATTCCGCAGTGATAACACAGCGGCCCTCTGTTGACATAGATGGAGGCTTTGCCAAGACGACCGGGAGGTGCAGCATTCTGAGCCGGCCTGTGGACCGGTCTGGTATGCGGCGAGTGAGCCGGACCAAAGGCCCGTCGACAATGGCGAGTCTGTGCGGCGTGCCGGCGGGGACGAGGACGGCGTCCTGCCAGAGACGGAGACACCTGGGCTACATCTATCGATTGCTCAAAATGATCATTTTAACACGTTTTTGATTTATACATGAAACGACAATATCAAACATAGAAGAAGAAGTAGTTATTTTTCTAGCTCTGCGCGGTCAGAGGAGTCGCCCCCTGGTGGCCGGTAGACAGAACGCAGCTGTGTGACAGAGAAAGCTCCATCCCGTCTACCGCCATCAAAACACAAAGGCTGCTTTAAAGTAGTAAAACCCGCTTCTTGCTCAATCTGATGCCCGGGGCAAAGCGTGACATTGGTTAGTGGGGCAACTCCACCCCTTTTCTTTTTTTTCTCCCCTCTTCACTCTTGTTCTCTCGCTCACCAATTTGTAAATGTTTTCTTTTGTTTACGTGTGTGAATGTATACAATCGAGAGGCTATTGGTGTACCGTTTATCTACAGTACTCGTGTACTTATGAGTAGATGTCCTGAACCTCTTTTTTTTTACTTTGTTTGTTTTTAAATGTCATAAAGATATCACAACTTCTTAACTCAAGAAATGCAGAATCCTTTGTTCGCATCTTCCGCCGCAAATTAAAGACACACCTCTTCACCGCTTCAGAAATTGTACTTATAATAAGTACATGCCACTTATCTATAGCAAATTGTGAATTGGCTTATTAAAAGCGTCAGCTAAATGACCTGTAATATAATGTAATGTCATTTAAATGTGTTGTTTGTTATCACTAAGCATCATTCAACACCTCTCAGGCCCAACAAGACCACACATGCACAAACACACACAGGTACAGAAACCCACGCACACAAACACACACAGGTACAGAAACCCACGCACACAAACACACACAGGTACAGAAACCCACGCACACAAACACACACACACACTCCCCCAAACCTCAAAACAAACACTCTCTACCAACTTTGCTGCTCCTCTTTTTCTCGCTTTCAGCTCTTCAGTTGAAACCATTTGTTCTCCTCACTTTGCTTTTTCGTCCTGCTGGTTTTTTCTGTCCTTCTTTGTATGATTTCTTAAACTTGTCTGCTCTTGTTTTATACGCACCTTTCAACACGATGAAATATTCTGCCGATGTTAATTTCACGCATGAATTTCATGCAATAAAAACTGTCTGGCTGAGAAATGGTCGGCTTCAGTTTGTGAACGTGTTGTTATCTTTACGTTATGATGGCAGGTTAGAGGGATATTCAAAAGTTTTAATGTCCTGAACCTCTTTTTTTACACACAAAGACGTCACAACTTCTTAACTCAAGAAATACAGGATCCTTTATTGTCATAATCCAACAGAGGGATGCACGGATAAATCCAGCTGTAGCTCTCGCAAAAAGACGTTCATTTGATAAATGTTGTTAATAAACCTTTTTTCCACAATCTTGCCTCAGATATTCAGAGTCTTTATGAATTATATGGTGAATGTTCAGCGTTTTGTGGAGGAAAACTCATTTCATCCCCGTTAACCGCTGTGTGTTTGTTCACACAGACGGGTCTTTGTGCTCAAACGCCACCAACCTCTGCCTGGAAAAGTTGACGAGAGTTTAAGGGTTATTAGCGGAGGAGGAGGAGGAAGAAGAGGAGGAGGAGGGGGAGGAGGGGGAGGAGGACAATGTTTATGGTCTGACCTTCTCCCTTCTTCATCCCGTCGCAGGTCAAGCAGCAGAGTCACATGATGGTCCAATAACATCGGCTTCTGAACACGTTTACACGTGACGCCTTTGTTCTAATTACATCACAGTATTCTGCATTGGAGGCGGCTCGTGATGTCAGCGAGCGTTCTTTACACCTTAAATCACGTCTCACCTTCTCTGTTTACGTCACCGGAGTCTGGTCTCCTTCAAAGGAACGCTTGAGGAGCAACGCTCGGTTCACTGAGGGAGCAGCATGACCTCCGCTGGGAAAAGGATGGAAACTAAGGGTGTTGGTTATTTAAGGAGGTGGTCGCAGGAAGCACGTTGTCTTAACGTTGGTAAATTGAACAATAGCCGCAAGCAGAAAAGGACAATCGTCAAGCAATTGGCAATTGACAATTCGACAAGCCAAAGAGAGGGCGAGGGCGAGGAGGAGGAGGAGCGAGACGAAGGGCGACGGGTGGCAGCAGTTCCAGTTCTGTTGTTAAAAATCAATTAAGTGCATCATCACATAAATTCCCATCATCGCATCGGCGAGGGAAAAGTCTCCAACATCTCAAAGGTTCTGTTCCACCACCACCACCACCCTCATCTCCACCTTTCAGTCTTCACACAGACAACAACGACCTCTCTGGACCACGCGAGCTTCTGGTTTCACGCTGAAATGATCCGCTTTGCTTTTTTTCCGTTAATGAATAAATGAGATTTGGAGATGAATCAGGCGTTGATGTAAATGTATAAAATAAAAGTGAAGATACGTTGTATGATAAAAATGTGGAGCTGTTTGAATGTGATACATGTATATGCTGCATACACACACATGTCGACAGATGGATGGATGAACAAACTGATCATCGACATTTTTAAACTGGGGACTTTGAGTAAGAGTTGATCTTTTGGTCGGTTAGTCATTTCTTTTCTGTCATTTCCTTTACTCATGTTGACGGTAACAAACCAAAAACCAAACCCACGTGTTCTCGTGGTCGTGACCTGTTACGTCTCTCGGATTGAGTCGCCGCTGTAATAAAGGGACAGTTCAACATTTACAGAATCTGCTGAACGAGCCAGCAGACTGTCAGCTTAGCTGCCTGGAAACAAGCCAAGCCAGCGTGTGGTGAAAATAAATATGGTCAGTTTCTTCTTTTATATACATATATGTACAGTGTGTGTATATATATATATATATATACATATATATTTGATTACCATGAGACTGGTAAACAAGCAGAGCAGTAGCTGTGTTTCCTTCCCCAAGATGAGATTCATGAGGATTACATTTCACATGTTGTTGCTAGAGATGATCTAATAGATCTAATAAATGACAATGAGAGTGGACGTAATCTGATTCAAAATACTGCACTAAAGTGTTCCTCATTTATTCCAGAGAACCAGCTCTCTACCGTTGAAATGATTATCCGTTTGATCCACAGATGTCCTCGTGAATACAGGGTGAAGGTGTTGGTTTTTATTAATTTGCACTTGTTTGCTTCGGTGCTTTTGTGTTGTAGTTGTGTTAATGGGTCAGAGTTTGGGGGGTTTGAGGTCACATGACCCTGGTAAACATTGGCTATGGTACATCACTTTCAGTGCGAACAATGACACACACACACACACACACACACACACACACACACTCCTCCCGGTGTCTGGCTGGATTATTTCCCTTAGTAACTGATTATCCATTCGTGTCATTGCGGCACTCAGCAAAAAAAACACTAAAAAACAACTGCCAACATTCCTGTAGCTGCAAACATAACAGTGTCTGTTGTTGACATCAAGTTTTATTAGGTTTTAACAATAAAAACTCAGGTTTAGGGTTAATTTTTTGCACCAAACACAAGAGGATTCTGAGGTCTTCTCAGATCAGAAGATTCTCAGCCAATCAGGGAGCGGCGTCGTTCATCCATACTCTGTATCAGGGTGTACGTGGTCATTTAAGCAGGACGTGATCACATCTGAGGAGGAGTGGCGTATGTGTACGAGATACAGACCTGTCAATCAGCGCGTAGCCCCGCCCTAAAGCATCCCCTGCTTTATGGTCTGTTTGCCTCTAAATGGACCATCGTTTACTGAGTGAACATCATGCTGTAAGAAGACTTGGAACTAGAGACCGAGACCAGGAACTCATGTTTACTGACTAACTAACACAACTGTATTAATATGAAATCATGAAACACAAAGACACGCGCTGTCGTTTGTGAGATGAAGATGTCCTTCATCAACGCGCCGTCTCTTCTCCCAGATAACCTTCGAGGCCTGATGGGGGGGGGGGGGGGGGGGTAAGCCGACTAAATGGGGCCCGGGGGTGTCGTGTGCCTGAAATACTCCCACTATCTCATCTCTCCGGCTGGGACGCATCCTCCCAGCAGCCGCGGCGCTCTAACCAGATTACAGCCCGCAGACGAGACGTTTGTCCTCCGGAGATCTTATTCTGGTGGCCTTTCAGCCGGCCTCTTAATTGCATCAGTGAAGCACTATTAGGCAGCGAAGGTCCGATGCGGAAACGGGGCCCTGCCGGGAGACCTTTCGGCTTTGCGACAGTGGCGGTTGTGTGAGCCCCACATGCCACGCGGACGGTCGCGTTTCAGGCCGTTCATTCGTGGGTTAGAGCCTCAGGTGAGTCGCTTTGTCCGTCCGGGTTCATTCGTAGTTTAAAGTCAATCACGTCAATGATTCTCCGCACTTCCATTAGCAGAGCGGGTTCAGCGGTGCAGGTTGATAAAGCTGATGTTGGATTCGATGAAAAGCAGATGTGGACTAAAGCCCCAAATATTTATGCTGGAAAAGACGTTCACGTGTTCACATCACACGGTCACATCCGTCACAATCAGAACTGTTATGAATGAAGCCTCCATCGCCCAGCAGCACTGTTCTAAATAAAGACGCTTAAATAGACAACTGTTTCTATTAAAAACCTCACAGCTCTGCTCCACTTGGACTCCTCCTCGACGCGAGCTGCTGTTCGTCTTCAGATGCTTGGAGGTGGATCTTCTTCAGATGGGATCAGGTTCTCAGGAGCGTCTCCAGACGTCGGGTGGGCAGAAGAGGTTTACGTTGATCGAGACTATAGTTGTCTATCATTGTTTATGAAACAGCAATATGTCGGTGCTGTGAGCGGCGGGGGATGAAGCTCAGCGGTAGAGTTCCTGGGTTTGTTCCCCAGCATCTCCATTAGTTGGGGACGGCGGTGGCGCATGGAGCAGCGAGGCCGCGCCGGGGACCCCGGCTGCTCCATGTCCCACGTCCAAGTGTCCCTGAGCGAGACACCCGACCCCCTAACTGCCTTCACGGCGGCACAAAGTAAAAGACACAGACAAAATAAAAAGGAGACTTCCTGGAGTGAATCGTCCCGCAGTAGCAAACTGCATTTCTTGTGGAAGAATATAAGTTGGTTGGTATTTCAGTTTGTTTTGACCCGTTTAAATGGTCCTTTAGACATCTCTGTCTTTAATTGTCCTTTATTTTGTTCATTGGTGACATCATCAAATGATCTTAACGCATGGCTCTTCCACGCTCGTCCTGTCACGTTCAAAAAACAATTTAACTCCCCACAAACGGCAACACCCGTGGCAGGTCATCCTCCTGGTTATATCGACCTCGCGGCCTAATGGGAACATAAACCTAAAGCTGACAGTAAACAATCACAAAAATGGCTCTTACACTCAGTCACTGATAATAATGTTTCTCTCTGCAGCGGATCATCACACAACGATCTGCATCTTTAGAAAAGTATCTCAGTTAGTTTCATGTGTGACTTAATGGATCTCCAAAATCCAGCATCCAACCAAAATGAACAAAGGCAACGAGTCGACCAGACGCAGACGAGGTGTCGCGTGTGTGGATTCTTTGAACATTTTTAACCGGGAGGACTTTATAACTCCTGTGACATCTTGGCGTGAACATAACAAGCTGCATCTTTTACGACATAAAAAAAAGGGTGAGTGGGACCAACTGTCCCTCGATAAGATAACAAGCCTCAGCCAGCTTCTTAAAGAGCTCCAGATGTTTCACAGCAGCAAGAGAATCGCTGGGAAATATAGAAGTGGTCTTCTTGTGATCCAGGCAGGAAAATGGACGAGTGATTCCTCACTCACAACACTAAGTGGAGTGTATCTGTGCAGATCAGCTTCATTTACAGCCACAGGAATGATGGATGTTCCCCTGCTGGGTAAAAGCAAAGTCCCATTAACACTCTGACCCCTTCATTTAATGACCTGAATGTGTGCACATCAGCTATTGATCGATGTGGGCTTTTAATATTGTAACATCGCTATGATTAATATATTTTTTCCAATCTATGTTTCCTTAATCAGTTGATACGCAAAACAGATCTTTTAAAGGGAATCTCTTGTGTTCGTGCGACAGGTTCAGTTCGCACATGTTACATGCAAACAGCGTATTTTGAATTAATAAACTTCCAACAAAGGTTCATTTTTTGTGTTTACTTGTGCAAGAAAAATACTTTGTTCATGAAAAGATTGTGGAGGAGGTTTGAATCATATGAAATAAGTGCATTTGTTATAGATAGATAGATAGATAGATAGATAGATAGATAGATAGATACTTTATTGATCCCTCAAGAGGGGATCATTTTGGTATCACAGCAGCATGTACTGGGAAGAAAATAGAATAAAAAGATACACATTATATACAATATAATAAGATAGAAGTATTAAATTATTAAATTAAATTAAATTAAATTAACTAAAACTGAAACAAAAGAATAACCTTCCAAAGAGACACTAATAATAATTTGTAAAAGGGGAAGAGCAGCAACATCACAGCAGTACAGGGTTATTATTGTCAGTATTTAGCCAGGGACAATAATAATAATTTTATTGGAAAAAACTAAATTTGTGACATTAAATAAGTGTTTTTTGTAAATAAAATAAGTAATTATGCCCTGAATAAATAAATACTCCTCCACGGCATATCACCCTATTATTGATAAATTGAGGCTGTGCTCTAAAAATCTTTTTTTTTCAATCTGCATCTGAAGGTCATTTAAGGAACCCGTCTGCACTGGGAAGGTTCTGTTTCTGGTTCCACTTCATGAATCGTAAACAGAGTCCACTCTTGGACGCATCCCAAGAGCAGCAGACTGCACACGAGGCCCGGCTGCTGAACATCTGGGCGGCAAGTAGACGAGGAGGACTTTAAAGCGAGTCGGCCGAGGGGAAGGAGCGGCAGACGGACCGACCGCTTTCAGACATGCATCCCGCTCTGCTGGCGTTGGCGGCGTTGGCGTCTCTGTCCGCCACGGCGGGCGCCCAGTCCCACGACCACCACGACATGTCCTGGGTCAACGGCTACCGCCAGGGCTTCAACTTCCAGTGTCCCCACGGGGAGGTCCTCGTGGCCACCAGGAGCTACTTCAGCGAGGCGGACGGCTCGGACCGCCTGTGGTCGTTTGAGTGCCAGCCAACGCCGGAGGGCCTCGGCGAGCCCAGCGACTGCTGGTGGGACGACATCAACCGAGCCGGGATGGAGTGGTGGGTCGCAGCGGCGCCGCTCTGTGAAATTTAGAGTGTAATGGCTTGTTTGATGGCTGCTCCAGAGGTTTCGGTGGGTTTGAAGGACGAGAAGCTGGTGACATTTATTGTCTCAGTCAACAGGGATTAACCTTTAGAAATGATGCTGAATGATATGTGGCCACAGGGACGACGTTGACCTGCAATACGATATTCTTCTTTTCTGCTCAAACTCAATATTCCCACGAATGTATTTACAGCTGTTAATCAACCTCATGCCTCTCCTTCATCACCTTCATCTCCTCTGTCTCTAACGGGTCGATGTCCCGACGTGTCCCATCACGTCTGAATGCTTCATCGCGTCAGAATCTGGTTTTATCAAAGTGTTCCATCGGTGGAGGACTCGTTGGACCGTGTGAGCTCAGCCTCCCTCTTTAAGCCGCTGTTGAGATATTCGCATCCAAAAACCTGTCGCCGACCACAGTGTTTATAAGTATGGGTGTTTCTCTGGTTTGTGTTCACATCTCCAGGTGAACAGGAAAGAGACGTAGGAACCTCCATCGAGACTCCTGTTGTGAGTGAGCCCTGAGTACACGTTCAAAGAACGATCCTAAAACACGAAGAACATCAACATATTCTTATATCGTTGGAACTTTTGGTGCACGCAGACCACAAACGCAGATCGGAGCTAGATCGCAGTTGTTGTGTTGGAAGCTCCTCGAGCAGCTGCTCCTCGACTCTGTTCAGCAGATGTGAACATGTTTGTTCATCAGATAAACATTTCGATCTATGTGGAGGCCACGTCACAGGAACATCTTGGGCCCGTGTGTCTGTCCTGGTTTCCACTGAAGGAAGATTGCATCACACATTTGGTGGTTTTACTGTGTGTCTCAGGTGTCTTCGTGTAGTAGCTACGTTGTGGAACGTGGTGATCTCACGCTTTTGGGGACAAAGTGTGACAATACAACGTTTCGTTTTAAGAAAGCATTTCGACGGCATTTCTAGTGAGAAGTATGCGTTATGTTTTCACAATCTTCTATCACAGAATGTAGAAGACCTTCCGTTTATTAGTTTCTAGTGACGTAGTTGCAAGGCGATGTAAACGAACGGGCCGAAACAAAACGTAGTATTGTCACGATTTTGGGGATAAAGCGTGAGAATCCCACGTTCCACAACGTGGCTGTTACACGTTTTGCTGTGAGACCGGGTGTCTTCTGACTGACATCGTATACCTGCAGACAACAAAGGAGGCTCCAAGAGTCCGACGCTAGAGGTGTTGTGTGAACAAAACCCCAGACCTCACGTCCTCGGGTGGAGCTTAAAGACATATGTGGACTTCTAAAGACCGGAGGACTACTGTGGACCGGAAGATGTCTGTGGTCCTTTTAAAATGGTCCCTGCGTGTCCTAAACATCCCTTTTGAAACGCTGTCCTGCTTTTCTCCAAACTAAACTGTCAAACAAATTCTGTAAGAAACATTCAATTCAGAGGAACACAGCCAGGTCCTCCTGCATGAATCACTGTATCTGGTGTAAACTGACAGTTCCTGGGAACAGGACTTCCTCCAGCAAACCGTAACAACGATTTGTCCAGCAGGTTGATGTCCAACGGCGCCTGAGAGCCAACACATTTCTTTTGGACCTCATAATGCAGCGCTTTTCCTTCCTCTGTGTTTCAAATAAACACACACAGACTTTGAACCAAGTGGTTGGAAAGTTGAAATGAATCAAAGGACCTTCATAACCTTCTGGGAGGGAGAATCGTCTCTCGCTGTAAACAGCAGCTTGAATCATACGTCAACGTCTGCTTCACATTACTTCTTCTGGTCAGACGGGGGTTTGTTCTTGTGCTCTTCAGGTTGATTTGGGGGATCTGCCTCCCATTCAAAGACAGACCACGGCTGCCTCTCATTATCAAAGCGGCCTGTTTTAATTACCCCCGTTAGGCCGTTTCCCCTGCGGGGTATCTGCCCCCACTGGCTGAATGGCTGAGGGCCGAGTCCGTGTTTCCATGACAAGCGCCCACACTTTGCAGCTCCAGCAGGACCTGGTATTCTCAGATGTTGTTGTGGTGACGGTGGAGCCTCTGGGCCGTAAACCGCCTGCACGATCAACAAACCACCATTTACCTCAAACAATAGAGAAGCACTTTGTTCAGCGGAGAAAAGAATGTAAGCTGCAGGAGATTGGGGGGGTGGGGGAGAGGTTGTTTTCTGTCAAGACTTAAAATGTCTCCCGTTTGTCTCCGTAGGTCTTCAACGTGCACTCGTAACGGCCTGGTGGCCGGCGTCCAAAGCAAGTACTTTGAGTCGGTTCTGGACCGGGAATGGCAGTTCTACTGCTGCTACTACAAACGCCGATGCCCCTACTCCTGCATGTACGTGGTCACGCGGCTTCCTTAAAGGAGTTTGTCATTTTGGGAAACAACGTGTTCTTTCATCTAACATGAGTTATTTATTGGATAAGGAGATTGATACCACTCTGGTAGCTGTCGTTCGATATAAAGCAGGAGACGTTAGCTCAAGCGGCAACCTCCGCCGCTAAAAAGGAAAAGTCTTAAAGCTGCATTCTGTGCAGTGACCAGCAGGGGGCGACTCCTCTGCTCCCATAGAAGTCTATGAGTAAATGACTCCACTTCTCTCCTCATTTATTCCCTCAGTAAACAGTGTAAACATGAGTTTATGGTCTCAGTCTCTAGTTTCTAGTCTTCTTCAATACAGCGTGATGTTCATTTAGTGAGTTATGGTCCATTTAGAGTTAAATAGGCCGTAAAGCTTCTTAGGTTCCTATCATGGAAGTATACAAAGTATCTACGTCACTGGCTACAAAAAGATAACACGGCAAAAACGATAACATTCAAAATGTTGGTCAGCTGACCGTCTCCTGCTGTAGCTCCATGTTTTCAGACTGGTATCCGTCTTCTCCTCTTAACCTCTGCAAACAAAAGCTAATTAGTATATTTCTCCAAAAAGTTGTAAAAATTAATTTCACAATCAAACATTATGCTCGCTGCTTTTGCCGTCCGCAGGAAGACGAGCGACATCCCTGAGAACTACCGAGAGGAGGCGGAGCTCGTGGTTCCCTCGTACGGATACTTCATCCGAGGAGCTCAGACCACCTTCAGCGGAGTCTTGAGGTTTAGCGCTCCCCTCTTTTTAATAATGTGTGAATCCGTTTGGATCTAGACTCCATCAGGAAATCCTCTTCTGGCTGGAAGAAAAGAAAACTAACCGATGCTGATGCTGTGTTTGTCTTGTGCTTTGTTTCAGAGATCGGCAGTGGAAGTACATCCTGTGCAGGATGACAGACTTTGATTGTGAATTTGAAAATTTATAGACTTGTCATCTGCTTTATTTCCCACACAATGAACGGTTTGAACCGATATTTACTCGCACATTAAAACAAAAACACGATACTAACACACATTATACGTTTAACGGACGGGTTTGTGATCCATGGCTCAACATCACCTGTTTTAGTTTCGCACTGAACATGAACTGCTCACATCGAAGGTAGTGCAGCAGAGACTCTGAATGGGCCTCATGTGAGCGTTTCGATGGAGATGTTTTCCCTGCAGACACCAATGGTTGTGTTGCAAAGTGAGAATCAACACGAGCTTTGAATGAAATCGCTTCTAATTACACGTAAACTGTCCTAACTCATGTAACTGCATTGACTGAAACAGGATTAAAACCTCTCTGGACTACGACGTGAAGTCTTTTTTTTCGTGTGTAAAAGTTGTGCTCTCAAAAGTCAACGTCATGACGGGAAAACAGATGAAATAACAACAACAAGCAGCAGAAACCTGCGCGTGGAGAGAAAGACTCTCGGCTCGACTCCACACGCCGTGTTTCCACAACACGCCGCTGGAAGGTTCTGACATCAGGGATCAACTGCGGTGACCCCGGTGACCCCCGAGGGCCCCGCGGGTTTAAACAGACGCCGCTCAAATAGAAGAAGAGACCGGTCCGCTGCGACTAAGCTGTAGAAACTTACAAATTCGAATAGTATGAACTTTCGAGCTCTAATTCAAAGCCACTGAAGGTGAGAAGTTCTTGAGGTGAAGTGAGCTAACGGCCATTAGCAGCCGTTTTGTCCTCGTTCCTCTCTGTTATTCATATCTACATATAAATATATAAATACAGCCTCCTGGGGCCCGCTGCAGCGAGCCAAGCGACGGCCGGCTGCTCCGGCTTGAAGATATCCGGGGACGGGGCCAGCAGCTCCCGCGGCTGTTTGTTTACGGCAGCTGGCGTCCCGGGGGGGACGGGGCCAAACGCCGCGGCGATGCGCAGCTGTCCCCCTCCGGGGCCAGAGGACGGAGGCCAACCACCCGTCTGCTGAGGATCCCACGTTCCCCCGGGACCCACGTCCTCATTAAGGGGTTTTTATATTGTTTAAAGGTGTAATGATTGTTTCTCTGGGTCAACGTCAAAGAATCCAAACAACGGATTTGAACAATTCACACCCAGAAAAGATCAAAATGACCACGACGTCGGCGACTTTTTCAACGTGGATTTATTTGTCATTTAACTTACTTCAGTGAGCAGTTCAGAAACTTTTCCCAAATGGAACTATTTAAGTGTTTTTGTTTGGTAAAGGAGGACACGTGGTTGGTGTTCACCATCTCCATGGAAACCAGCAGTCTGTTTGTGTTCCGTGTAAAAACCAAAAGCTGTACGCTGACTTATTTTACGTCGTCGCCGCGGCTCCTTTTCTCCCGCTAATAATCTCTCCTAAACCCAAATACTTTCCATGAACTGAACACGTCGAGAGCCGCCACACAATCGGCTGTTTAGAGGTCGTAGTCAGTTCACGTTACTTTAAAACCACCTCGATTTACAAAGTCCACCCCCCCTCGGGTTTGAGCTTACTCGGTTCTGACCAATCCTCAAGCAGAGCCGTGGGAAAAGGCCGACTGGTTGGGAGCCTCATTACAGCTGGATGAGAAACAATCCTTTCAAAACAACATCCACTCCGGTGTGATGGAGCAGATCTCTTTTGGATCTGTTGCTCCACCGTTTATAATTAAGTTTTCTGACGGAGCTGCAGAGGAAAGAGGGATGAAAACCAGCTACGGCTTTCCGCACCAGATGCACCGAATGAGTGATTTAAACACAATTCTACCTGTTAATAGTCTTTTTATTAAGTTCACGCTTCACCAATCCTCAAGGATGATGATGAAGATAAAGATGCATTTATCATTATTCTCTTCGTAGGTTTTCATGGCCTGACCTTTCACCCGACGATGAAAGCAGAGGGGTCATCAAAGTCGTGATGAATCACTCAGAACCGAACCCGCCTTGATACCGGATCCGGTCAGTTTCAGGTTAATCTGTGAAGTTTCTTCATTGAGTTTCCTTCGCTGACACACTCTGCTAAACAGTTTTTATGGGCTTTTATTGTGAAAGTTGAGAGAAGAAGTGAATCTGGGCTTTGATGAGTTTGTTTTTCTTTTTTTTGGCTGTTTGATTGTGTTGTTTTTGAACAAGGATTGAAAGACCCCCCCCCCCCCCCCCCCCACTCGGCCCTCTGCTCCCCCTGGGGCCCCCCACGGAGCTCATAATGGGCTTTCACAGTAAAATAAAATACCCTGTGAGGTGTCAGCGTGTCTCAGACAGCATCGGCCCGGCGCGATGACGTCATCGTGCTCCCTGTTAAACGGCCCCTCTGTGCTCGGGGATGATGTCATTGGTGGCATGTGTCCAGCCGGGTGATGGAGAAGTGCTGCGTCTCGTCCTCTCCGAGGAGACAGCGGAGGACGAGACGAGTCTCTTGAGTTTGTCCTCGGACACTCAGGCAGCTTTTGTCTCCTGCGGGAGTCGGGCTCGACATCTCCCACGGCCTCCCGGCTCCGCCTCAGAGACGTTATGGCGAGATCACAGCGCTGACCTGACATGTGCACGGCTGATGAGCACGACTGGGTCTTCAAAAAGGACGGACAGTCCAACACTTTGCTTCTTTTCACTAATTAAACATGTTCTCGGGGTTTAAGGTCAGAGGCCTCCACAACAGAGATGCACGGAGACTCCAGTGAAGTGATATTTGAATTGGCATTCAGTGGAATGCAGCGGGGCGTTTGATGTCGTCTGTGGTATGTGGCACACAGACGCGCAGCAGATTGCGTGTCAGACCGAGGTACACGCAGAGTTTCGGTCAGGAAGTCTGTGGGAAACGTCGAGCTAACGGCCTCCGAATGCTGCACAGTACAACTCTGACCTCGAGATGCAAGAACGACTTTTGTGCAGAAGAGGAGACTTTCCAGGGATCGTTTAGTGAAAACAGATACCTCTGTGTGTTGGTATCTAGTTACACTGTGTTACCGTATTTGAATTGCAAAACAGACCAATTATTTTTTAGATTCAGCCGTGTATGGACGGTTTATTACAGATTTATTCTTTCCTCATACGAACACGAAGAAACAACCTCTAACATTGTGTATCACGTTACCCAAGAAAAAAATACTTTCACACAGGAAATGATTCAAAACATGTCTCACTTCACCCACGAGGTGAAAAAAAAATGAAACGATGCCATCTTCATTTACTGTAGCGCTCTTTTTAAAACCTGCTGTGGCACCAATGAGAATGATCTCTATTAGATCTATAACATCTTCCAATGCTTTAAATAAAGAGAGGTGAAGATGTACAAAAAACAAATCCACTCTGTTAATAATTCTTAGTTTTTTTTGTCAGTGATATAATCCTCTTTATCTCTTTATAAGTAAATGGAGCCAACAAATAAACGTAGCATCTTAACCACTGCGGAAAAGTTTTCATTGACTTTTATTCTGAAAAAACTGTTGCCGGTTGAGATTTACATGCAGTTTGTCATCATTCTCAAACAAAGTCAAGATTAAAGTAATATAATAACAGCTAACAATCAACAAAATCCATTGAAAAAACTAAATAGGTAATGACGATAAAAATAAACTAATGAAAATCAAGACACGAAAAACCATAAAAATATAAGAATGAAGTTTAATGAACACATAAAAACAAATCTATGAAATACAGACATAACAAACAAAGAAATAACAAAGCAATAATATCGTGATCCGTTATGAGTAAAATCGTTCCTCTGTGGTTGAGTTTGCACGTGGCGCTCTCTCGTGGCGGACTGCCTGAAATACCCACTTCCGCCTCCGGTGACGCAGTTTCCGGTTGTGCAGCAGCCATTTTGTCTGTTCGGGCAAGTCTACCCTGACGGTTACGAACTGCAGTTCCACCTTTGGAAACCCTTTGAAATGTTGTTGTTGGCGTTTTTATTTCGCGATATCTTCCGTCACAACGCTTCCTAAATTACAATAAAAATTATAAACCGGTCCTCCGGCAGCCGAAGGGCCGCTGCACACGGAACCGGCGGAGGGAGCAGCGAAGCGGCGGTGACATGTCGAGCGAAGAGAGCTACCTGGCCATCATTCGCTATCTGACCGATGAACGGGAGCCGTACGCGCCGGGGACCCCCGGGAACACCAAGCGCAAGATCCGCAAAGCGGCCACCTGCTACGTGGTGCGGGACGGGACGCTGTTCTACCAGCGCCGGCTGAAGGGCCAGGACGACTTCACGGAGCTGCAGTGGTGCTGCAGGACGGCCGGAGGACGGAGCTCATCAACGAGGCGCACACCGTCACCGAGGGAGGGGAGCACCTCAACCAGCAGCTCACCTGGGACACCATCTCCCGGAGTACTGATGGAGAGTGGTGACTGGGGGGGGGGGGGGTCTTATTAACGGGAGTCATAGTTTCATGTAGCAGCTCGTCGGCCTGGTGATTTGTGCAGATGTTCCACTCTAAACAAAAACATCTAATAACTTAGTATTATTACTTATTATTATTATTATTATTATCTATTGTATACAACAGTGTCAAAAGTCCTACTCAACAACATGAAGCTAAAATCAAAGAGAATACCATACAAATATGTACATCTGGTAAATGTACTTAATTAAGGGCAATAAATATAGTGTAACAAACTTAAAGTCATATTTAAGCCTGTTGATCAGAGCATCTCTTTGCGTCACGCTGCCATTTAATAAAGACAATATTGCGCCTCCTGTAACTGCATTTTTTTTCTTGGAGTCAATTTTTTTTTTACGGTAATATTGCCTTAACAATATTTATATTATTTTAATATATTTATTATTAAGACTTTTTTATTCATGGGCACATGAATAAACAATCATTATAAATTAATAAAATGTATTATTATTAATTATATAAATGATCTATGAATAATAATATTACTTGTGCACTGCTGTCTTGTTGTCTATTGTTACACTGTCTGCTGACACGCACCAACCGCCAAGACAAATTCCTTGTATGTTTGACATATTTTGGCAATAAATGTTTCCTGATTCCTGATTCCTGATAAATGATTCCTAAATGCAGACGTGGAAATCAACTTCACGATGGCTGATAAAGATATCGGTGATTCCACAGGACGACTGCAATGTCGTCAGTTTTTGTTGTCATGGCGACTAACATGCGTCCTTTGCCCCCCCTCCCCCTTCCCCCCCCAGGGATCCTGAAGAACGTCAAAGACCACATCAGAGAATGCCCACTGTGCCAGAGCCGCCGCGGCGCCGACGACGGCTCCGGACCACGGCCCTTCTCCAGGCCGGGGAGACGCAAGGCGGTCGCCGACGCTGAAGAGGAGGAGGAAGAAGAGGAAGAGGAGGAGGAGGGAGACGACGGCGCCTTGGTCTTCCCCGACTCGACCCGTCAGCTGAGGTCCAAGGCGAAGGCCAAGCACGAACTGGTCTTTGTACGTTTCCCTCGTCCCTTCCGCCTGTTGCAGATGTTGCCCCAGATGTGTTGTTGACGTGTGTTGACGTCTCCAGGTGGACAGTAAAGGTGAGGTCAACCAGTTCCTGCCCAAACACAGCCAGACCATGCTGGACAAACTCAACCAGCAGCGCCTCGGCAACCACTTCTGTGACATCACGCTGCTGATCGAAGGCGAGGAGCACCGCGCCCACAAGGCCGTGCTGGCGGCGTGCAGCGAGTATTTCAACGAGCTGTTTTTTGAGAAGGGCGCTGCCTCCACCCACGAGGCCGTGGTCGACCTCTCCGGTGAGGCCTCCCCCCCCCCCACACACACACCCCCAGTTCAGGAAACACAGGGCGCCGCGCCTCATTTTAACCTCCCGTCTCCCCGCAGGTTTCACCAAAGTCAGCTTCCTGCCGCTGCTCGACTTCGCCTACACGTCCGCGCTCACCTTCAACTTCTGCGTCATGGCGGACATCGCCAACCTGGCTCGCCACCTGCTGATGACGGAGGTGCTGCAGATCTGCGAGTCGGTGCACAAGCAGGTGGAGGAGCAGAAGCTGACGGTGTACCAGAGGGGCGACGTGCACACGGTGGTGTCCAGCCAGCCGGCGGCTCAGGACGGCCCGAAGGACGAGCCGGCCGCCTTCGTGGTCACCATCGAGAGCGACGGCCGGGCCTTGGTCACGCAGAGCGGCGAGCCCGTGGCCTTCCTGCCCGCGCCGGAGGAAGCCGACGGCCAGCAGCCCGTGACCGTTGTTACGGAGGCGCAGCGCCGGGAGGCGGTGACTCTGATCGCTCACGAGCCGGGCGAGACGCTCACGCTGATCTCCGGTGGCTCGGAGGGCGACACGATGACCGTGGTCACGCACAGCGGACAGGCGGGCGCCAGTGAGTCCCTCGCCGTGGTGTCCGCCTGCCTGGCGATGGAGGAGCAGCAGCAGCAGCAGCAGCCGGCGCCGGGCTCCGACGCGGCGGTCTTCGTCATCAACGTGGACACGGACAAATCGAGTCCCTCGGAGGTCGTCAAGCTGTCGTCGGAAGCGCCGGCGACGGCCTCGGAGACGGCGGAAGCGGCTGCCGTCCCACAGAAACGTAAACGGGGACGTCCGGCTAAGGTGAAGCGGGAGGTGGAGGTGTACGTTCCTCTGGAGGAGGAAGAGCAGCCCTCTGCCGACGAAGGCCACGGAGACAAGCAGGACGCATCGGACGACCCCAAGAGGAGACGACTCCGACAGCGCTCCATCGCCGAGGGGGGCTACGCCCGTCTGCACATGGGCCTGGAGGAGGAGGAGGAGGAGGGGGGAAAGAAGGGGGCGACGTCTCCGCGAAATGCTGCTTCAAAGGTTCGTCTTCATGTTTAAATGCACAAGTCATGATAATTAGAATGAGGCCTGTTCTATTCTCACTGAGCCTGAATGCATCATAATGTAACTGAACCGCCACCGTTTAGCCGCTCGCTGCTAACGTTGCTAGCTCTCCTCATTGGTTTCTCCACACTGTGACACGTCTTCCCGTGATGTGTTCAGGCGCCTTTTAGGACGGGTAAAAGGGGACGACCTCCAAAGCAGCCGGCGGAGGCTCAAGGCGAAGCTCAGCCTGAGCCGGAGGCGGAGCCCGAACGGGGGGCGGAGCCCGAGCCCTGCGCGGCGGAAGGCAAGACGCCAGCAGAGATTGCTGCGAACGAAGCAGGACCAACGGGGGCGGAGCCAGAGACGGCCGGGGTCATGCTGCAGCAGCATCAGCAGGAGGAGGCGGCGGCGGCGGACGGCGACGGAGAGCACAAGTGCGCGAGGTGCGGCGCGTCCTTCCAGCGACGCTTCTCCCTCATCATGCACATGCTCAAACACGAGAAGGCTCGCGGCTACAAGTGCAGCGTGAGTACCGGTGCTCAACGTCACACAAAACAACATTGCTTTGGAGAAATGGAGGATCTACATTTTATATTTTGTATGTTTTTATAGCTCTGCAACAAGGAGTTCCAGTACGCCGCCTCGCTCCGAGCCCACCTGGCCCGGCACAAGCAGCAGAGCAGCCAGCGGCCGCCCGCAGCCGCCAAGGCCCCCGCCGGGCCCGGCGCCGAGAACCAGCCGCGCAGCGACCTGGACGGCAGGGCGACGGCGGCGGCGCAGACGAAGCGCGAGTTTGTGTGCGACATCTGCGGCAAGACGCTGCCGAAGCTCTACTCCCTGAGGATCCACATGCTGAACCACACGGGCGTCCGGCCGCACGCCTGCAAGGTCTGCGGGAAGACCTTCGCCCACAAGCACAGCCTGAAGATGCACCGCGCGCTGCACGACATCACCAAGCAGTTCCAGTGCGAGCACTGCGGCAAGTCCTTCGTGAGCAAGCGCAGCATGGAGGAGCACACCAGCCTGCACACAGGTCAGACCCCGCCCCCTTTGTTGTGAGATCATATGAGGGGGGTTGGGGGGGGGTCCAGTCCAAAGTCTCAGAGCTCATCCACGGTCTTACAAACGTGTCCGTGGGTTTGAAGTTTAGATCGAGTGGCCAATCAGATAACGTAGACCTCCTCCTCCCACGACTAGTGAGCATATATACATATATATATATATATATATATATATATATACATATATATATATATATATATATATATATATATGTATATATGTATATGTTTTTACTCGTCATGCTAACCCGTCACGATGCCTCCCCAGGTGAGTCGAAGTATCTCTGCAACACCTGCGGGGCGACTTTCCATCGAGCCTCGGCTCTGAGCAAACACCTGAAGAAGCACGTGCCCAAACCCGACGTCCGCCCGTTCGCCTGCACTCAGTGAGTAGCCCCCCCTCCCTCCTCTCTGCGTGTCTCATGCCAATCTAGCGTTGACTGCACGTTACCCCGGAGCCATCTGCACCCCCTCCCTCCCTCCGCAGGTGTGACAGGAGGTTCTACGAGGCCAAAGACCTGCAGCAGCACATGAACAAGCACATGGGTCTGAAGCCCTTCCAGTGCCAGGTGTGCGGGAAGTGCTACAGCTGGAAGAAGGACTGGTACTCGCACGTCAAGTCCCACAGCGTGGCCGAGCCCTTCAAGTGAGTCCCTGCGCTGCCGTTACCGTGGTGACCATTGGTTTGGTAAAGGGAAGAGGGGGGGGTTGTCACACCAATCAGTGTTTTGATCAACAGGAGGGAAAGCTAATAGCGCTAGCTGTAACGTTAGCTGTAACGATAGCAGCACCGCTAGCGGCTCAGCAACTGAGGTCCAGTTCAGTCACGTCATGATGCGTTCAGGCTCTGCTCTGTGCAAATGTCGAATGGACAAGGCGACAGCCCCCACGTCCCCCCGTGTGTCCTCAGGTGTAACGTGTGCGGGAAGGAGTTCTTCGAGAAGTCTCTGTTCCGGAGGCACGTGAAGAAGGCCACGCACGGCAAGAAGGGCCGCGTGAAGCAGAACCTGGAGCGGGAGTGCGAGCAGTGCGGCAGGAAGTTCACCCAGCTGAGGGAGTACCGGCGCCACGTCAACAACCACCAGGGTGAGGCCCCCTCGCCCGCTCACATTTCCTGAGTTGCCATAGCGACGGTTTGCAAAGTACGGTAATATTTATCACATTCAGAGAAGAACTGGATTGTTAAAGCGTCCCCCTCCCTCACTCCCCCCCCCCCCCCAGGAGTGAAGCCCTTCGAGTGCCTGACGTGCGGCGTGGCGTGGGCCGACGCCCGCTCCCTGAAGCGCCACGTGCGCACGCACACGGGCGAGCGCCCCTACGTGTGCCCCATGTGCCAGGAGGCGCACATCGACGCGCGCACGCTGCGCAAGCACATGGCCAAGTTCCACAGCGACAACCTGCCGGGGAAGATCATGCTGGAGAAGGACACGCTGCAGTTCCACAACCAGGGCACGCAGGTGGAGCACGCCGTCAGCATCATGGCCTCGGAGCTGCCGCCGGAGCTGCGCCCGGCCCAGCCGCCCGCCTCCACGGAGGAGATCGAGACGGTGCTGGTCACGGACGAGACGGTGGAGGCGATGCAGGCGGTGGCGGTGGAGGTGGCGGGCGACGGCTCGGCGGCGGCGGCGACGCTGTCGGACCAGGGCATCATGCAGGTGGTGAACTACGTCCTGGCTCAGCAGGGCCTCGCCGACCCCAAGGCGGAGGAAACCCACGAGGTCATCCAGACCATGGAGGTGGAGGTGGGCCACGTGGCCGAGGTCGAGTGAGAAACACGCTGACCGGCGTGTAAAATGTTACAGCATGTAAAAAAAAAAAAAAAAAAAGACATTTCTCCCCTTCTGTGAATGTAAATATACGAGAATCACCGGAGGAGTTCTGAATAAATAAATAAATAAATAGATTCAACAAAAGATTCATGATGACTCAGAGGAATAAAAAGCAAAAAATACTCAACTATTCTTTCTGGCTCGATGGGTTTACTGCGTACAATAAGCAGCTAACACGTATATGTACACTATATTTGTGTAAGTCTTTCATTTTATATATATTATGTGAATACCATCATTGTAAAAATTGGTAATAGCAACAATTATACTAACATTAACAATTATAGAAATATAATTCCTGTCATTCCTGCAATACGTTAATGTACTAATGATAATGACACCAGATTATTAGACTCCATCCACACCATTCATGCATCGAAGTAATTAAATGAGACCACACTTGAAAGGATTTGACACAAAGGACCATGAACATGCGATACAGCAATATGGATATTTATTCAGATCTATATCAAAACACCCTCAGCATATTGCGACATATTTACAAAACATTGTACAAAAATATGAAAATGCAGAAGGCCTCCGCCGCCAGTTGACCGATCGGTGATCAATACACTTATACACCGGGCAGACTCGAGTAATATTCACATCGGGGTGATTCGTTCATGTTCTTTAGGGAGACTTTAAAAACAAAAAAAGGATCTATACATATTTATATACATTTCTATCAGCGTTTGGCCAGTTATCAAATGAAACACGAACGTCAGTCAAACATTTTACTGTGGAACACTGGGTGAGCGTCAGGCCTTTATACACACATATATATACACACGTACACTCATATATGTATGTGTATATATGTAGAATCATCACATGAATGACCATCTGTCTCTGGGGAAAAAAAGCAAAATATAGAAGCAGAAAAACAAGAACATAATACTTTGAACAGCAAACGTTTGAAATGTTTACAATCAATGGTGACTTTTTTTTTTTTAAACCAGTGTGGTCGACCACCTGAGGCAGTGTCGCGCGTTAAAGAGGCCCATAGCAGAAATACAAGCCCGAATAACAACAAGTCAACAAAAAAAAAAAGCCCTCCAGTCACGGGAATGGATCATTTCTTAAGTGCTCTCAAGAAACCGTTTTTAAGAGAACAACAATTTAAAAAATAAGTAAAATAAGTGCACTCCTCATCGGTATCTGCACTCATACCGGGGTGAGAGAAATGTTCCGACAGCAGGCGTGAAATGACAGACGGGGGAGGGGGGGGGGGGCGTGGTTGGTGGTGGTGGTGGTGGGCGGGGTAAAGGGGGGGCGGTGGGTGGGTGGGTGGGGTCGTCCCGTCACTCCCCCTCCTCCTTGATGCGCTGCTGCTTGTTGCGGCGGGAATCCAGGTCGAAGGAGAAGTCGGACCACTCGTCGCGCGGCGGGAAGGAGATGGTCTGGCGCAGCGTGAAGCGCACGGCGTCGATGACGCGCTCGCCCCGCGCCTCGGAGGAGCCCATGCTGACGGTGGAGGCCCCGCTGGTGGTGCGCACTATGTGGGGAGGAGGGGAAAAGTCCATGGCCTGCCGGTGCTCCATGATGCCCTTCCAGATGACGTGCTGGAACTCGGCGGGGAGCTTCATCCTGGACAGGTCCTATTGGTGAGGGGGGGGGGGGGGGGGGGGGGGGCGGAGCGTTAATATCGGCGAGTTGGGGTGGGTGGAGGTTGGGGCGGGGGTCGGGGGCCGGTGCCACTCTTCCTCCCTAACCCATCAAATGACTGTTGTTGGATAGGCAAGGGCTCACCTCCATGTTATAGTTCTCGATCTGGTAGATGTTGGTTAGGCCCTGTGCTGTGAAGTAGTCCAAGCAGCCTGCGCAGCCCAACCGTATAAGGAAGCTGCAGGAGGAAGAGGAGGAAGACGAAGGTCAGGAGGGGCAGCCGGCAAACGCGCATCAACACGCATCAACGCGCCCCGCTTGAGAGGCTGCTCTCGCGGGACGGTTTGACCAGTAAAACACGAAATGTGGCGTTTGTTTGGAATCTGGTGGACATGTGATGGTATTAACGCACGCTAATTCCTGTCCAGCAAACAGGCCTCTGGGATTGAAGGAGCAGTGTGTGGGATTTAGAGCCTGGGAAGCAGGAGTTAGCGAGGAGTTGGGTTCGTCCCTTCTGGGCTACGGTGGGAGCGCGTCGAATCCGACCGCCGCCTGTTCCTTCAGCCAGCTGACCAGCGTGTTGATTGAGGAAGATCCACTCAAATCTTTTAGTAGGACGAGCCAACGACTCTCAGCTGAGCACCAATGCAAACACGCCCCCCTTCATCCAACACGCTGGCCCTTTAAGTTGATCCCCCCTGCATCCAGCGGGCTGGCCCTTTAAGTCGCGCCCCTCTGCATCCAACACGCTGGCCCTTTAAGTCGATCCCCCTTCATCCAACACGCTGGCCCTTTAAGTCGAGCCCCCTTCATCCAACACGCTGGCCCCTTAAGTCGATCCCCCCTTCATCCAACACGCTGGCCCTTTAAGTCGAGTCTCCCTACATCCAACAGCTGGCCCTTTAAGTCGAGCCCCCTTCATCTAACACGCTGGCCCTTTAAGTCGAGCCCCCTTCATCCAACACGCTGGCCCTTTAAGTCGAGCCCCCTTCATCCAACACGCTGGCCCTTTAAGTCGAGCCCCCTTCATCCAACACGCTGGCCCTTTAAGTCAAGCCCCCTTCATCCAACATGCTGGCCCTTTAAGTCGAGCCCCCTTCATCCAACACGCTGGCCCTTTAAGTCGATCCCCCCTTCATCCAACACGCTGGCCCTTTAAGTCGAGTCTCCCTACATCCAACAGCTGGCCCTTTAAGTTGAGCCCCCTTCATCCAACACGTCTGGGCCTTTAAGTTGAGCCCCCTTCATCCAACACGCTGGTCCTTTAAGTGGAGCCCCCCTTCAACCAACACGCTGGCCCTTTATGTTGAGCCCCCCTACATCCAACACGCTGGCCTTTAAGCCGAGCCACCCCTAAATCCAACATGCTGGCCCTTTAAGTTGAGCCCCCCTACATCCAACACACTGGCCCTTTAAGTCGATCCCTTTTACGTCCAACACGCTGGCCCTTTAAGTTGAGCCACCCTACATCCAACACGCTGGCCCTTTAAGTCGATCCCTCCTACATCCAACACGCTGGCCCTTTAAGTCGAGCCACCCCTACATCCAACATGCTGGCCCTTTAAGTTGAGCCCCCCTACATCCAACACACTGGCCCTTTAAGTCGATCCCTTTTACATCCAACAAGCTGGCGCTTTAAGTCGATCCCTTTTACATCCAACAAGCTGGCCCTTTAAGTCGATCCCTCCTACATCCAACACGCTGGCCCTTTAAGTCGAGCCGCCCCTACATCCAACATGCTGGCCCTTTAAGTTGAGCCCCCCTACATCCAACACACTGGCCCTTTAAGTCGATCCCTCCTACATCCAACACGCTGGCGCTTTAAGTTGAGCCCCCTTCATCCAACAAGCTGGCGCTTTAAGTTGAGCCCCCTTCATCCAACAAGCTGGCACTTTAAGTTGAGCCCCCTTCATCCAACACGCTGGCGCTTTAAGTTGAGCCCCTTCATCCAACACGCTGGCCCTTTAAGCCGCGTATATTTTAACCACATTTCCTTGACTCTCTGTAACCCTCTGGGTCGTGTGACTGCTCTGACGGGTGCGGATGTGTCCACTGTGGTTTGCTGAGGTACCTGGAGATGCTGCTGTCCATTGGGTATGGAGGAGGGGGGGTACAGTGGGAGGAAGGCACCAGGGGGAGCTGAGACTGCAGGGCGTGAGTGGGGCTCAGTGAACTCATGTCGTTCATGGGGATGTGAGAGCCCATCATGGGAGTCACTGAGGAGACAAGAGGAGCCTTCAGGTACCACTCGGGGGTTTAGAGAGCACGCAACGTCAACACATGGATGGGGGGGAGGTGTGTGTGTGGGGGGGTGGGGGGGAGTAGCGACATGCAGAGGTTACTCAGAACATGACACATGATGCATCACAACAGGTCCTGCAGGACAGTCAGAGAGTCTCACAGGGATCACATTCGTTTATAGGAGGTGCTCTATGTGTGTGTGTGTGAGGCGTTCAGGGTCCCCTCCTGCCTGCACGGACATGCAACCTTTAAGCGGACAAAATGAGCCCAGAAGGACCAGGTGATGGTGAGGGGGAGGAGTGAGGGCTCAGGGGGCGTGTCCTAAGACAGACAGGAAGACGGAGGAAGCAGCTCACTTACTGTCAGTCAGACCTCCTCCCATGCTGGAGGGGGTCAGCGTGTTCCTCTGCTGGGGGTTGATCAGCTGACTGACCGACGGAAGCTTGTTCACCTTCCCGTGAGGAGGAGAGCAGGAGCCGTAGGAGGGCTGAGACTGCATGGAGGTCCTGCACCCAGAGAGGAGGGGGGAGGAGAGGAGGTCACGCGGCGTTAGCTCCGTAGTATCATCACGTTGAGTTATTAACAGATGAGAAGGAGGGGGGGGGGGGTGCAGATGAGGAGAGGAGGAGATGAGCAGGAGCCGTAAGAGGGCCGAGACTGCATGGAGGTTATGCGCCCACAGAGGAGGAGGAGGAGGAGGAGGAGGAGGAGGAGGAGGAGGAGGAGATAATGCTAATGCATTATTACGTCAGTGTGAGAGGAGGAGATGTGAGGAGAGGAAGAGGAGAGAGGGGGAAAGAGGAATAGAGAGGAAATGGGAGGAGAAATAACAGGACAGTGGAGGAAGAGGAGGAAGAGGAGGAGGTGACACTGCAATGTTTTATAAAATCAATGATTCATGAGTGAAAGTAGTAATAATAAATAAGAATAATGTGACGGTCAAACAGACTCATGTTTCAATAATGGGAAACTATAATAATAATTCATTGATTACGTTCTGACGGACGGGTTCGTCTATTCAACACTTTTTATTGAGAAAACAAAACACAAACTGTCCTGCAGTGACTTTTTATAAAGCATGACCCGCATGAAAAACAATAACAATCCACAATAATCAATCAGTCCAGGAGCAGATCCATCAAACTGATCAACGGCCGACGTCATCAATGAGAAACTGTTCTGTTCGTGGACAAAGAACTCATGCAGACGAAACCATAAACCAACGAAGAAGAGGTGTCCCTACAGTCTCTGACACCAACAAAGAAGAGTGTACAGTCTGACACCAGCGAAGAAGAGAAGGCCCAATCCCCCACAGACCCCTCTTGTTGGGCCCCAGTCTCTACGGTCCCCAGACACCAACGAAGAAGAGCCAGTCTTAGTCCCAGAAGGCAGGAATGGAGACGGGAAGAAGGGGAGCTGACTAAGGGGAGACATGGAGGAGGTCCATGTGGACTCAGAGGAGGAGGAGCAGGAGGAGGAATGTGGAGCAGAGATTCAGGAGGTGCTGCAGCGCCGCCTCGGTTCTCCTGCTGCTTCCACGGGATGACCAAGACGGACTTTTGTCAGACTGCAGGGAGGAAAGAGGAGGAGGTGAGGAGGGAGAAGGAGGAGGAAGCGGAGATGAGAGCAGTTGGAGGAGGGTGAGGATGACGATATGGACCGGAGGGGAGGAGGAAGTGGGAGAGGAGAGAGAAGAGGTGAAGAGAGGAGAGGAGGACGTGGAGCATGATGATACGAGGAGGAGGAGCAGAGGAGGAAGAGGAGGTGCGGGGTCCTCGCAGAGGGTCAGAGCAGAGATGAAGAGTCAGAGATGACGTCAGCGGTTTAGAATCCGTGTTGTTACCGATGAGGCCAGGAGGAGGCGCTGTCCTGCCACAGATCTCAGGTCAGTGTTTAAATGCGCTCATTCGTCATTTAGTTCTAGTTTTCCTCTGCAGATAAATCACATTTATTTACGACTTTGTCCATTTGAGTCTGTAGGTGTCTCCTAAATTCACCAAAGGTTACTGCTACATGATGCCTTTTATTCATATTTAAATGTCAGTAATCAAAACGCTGATATCTACCAGTGACACGTTTCATTCGCAGTGTCTCCTGTTATCAGATCAACTAACCCACTGAAACCCGATTAATTAAATATCTGCTAAATGCTCGTTTACATCAACATTCGATGCTCGGCGGGAAACAAAACAGTAAATGAGACGCTGTGCCTCCTAATGGGAAACGCGAACATAACAACAATTATCATCACCGCCTGACAAACTATCACTTAAACACATCTCCTCCTCACAATGAAGTGGGCGTTTTAATTGGACGAGGATGAGGAGCGGACTTTGTGCTGTTGTTGTGCAAAAACCTGGCAAGGCACTCGAAGGCGTCGCCGTCGGCGTTTGAGAGCTTCACCTTAACAGAGCCGCGTCACCGCGGGAGAGAGAAAACACACCGCTCAAAACCTCCCAGCATGCACCAGCTCCGAGCTGTCCATCACTGAAGCACAAATCTCCTTTCAGAACCAGGAGATAACGTCCGGTTCTGAAGAGTGAGGTCAACGATTCGTGTCTTGGAAGCGGCATTCTGTGCAGTGACCAGCAGGGGGCGACTCCTCTGCTCCCATAGACGTCTATGAGGAAATGACTCTACTTCTCTGTAGTGACCAGCAGGGGGCGACTCCTCTGCTCCCATAGACGTCTATGAGGAAATGACTCTACTTCTCTCTTGATTTATTCCCTCAGTAAACATTTTAAACATGAGTTTATGGTCTCAGTCTCTAGTGTCAAGTCTTCTTCAACGCAGCGTGATGTTCATCTAGTAAATTATCTCTACCAGAGACGTAGACGGCGTCTCTACATCCCTCCTCATTCCTGCAAAAACACCACGATTCCAACGGCCAACATGCCGAGCTCGAGGCTTCAAAAGGTCCAACGAGAGACGCCGTGAAGACAACGACTATATGCTGGACCCAGGAGACGGACCTGGACGGGGGAACCTGGAGATGTCCCCCATGAAGACGATGAAGGATGAACCATACTCACTGTTTCTGAAGCAGGTTCTGCTGCTGCTGCCGGTACGACTCGATGGTGTGCTGAGGCAGGAACTGCATGAGCTCCAGAGACTCTTTGATCTTCACCAGGATCTCATAAATCTCCCGTCCTTTGATCTGGGGGAGGAGGAGACGGCGGCGCCGGGGTCAGCGGCGCTCAAACGTTTGGCGAGTGTTAAAAAAACCCCTAAAAAAACGTCGTCGGAGGGACAACTCACCGGGAGACAGAAGACCTCCTCGTCCGTGGAGCGTCTCTTCTTGATGGTGGACATCGGGATGCCGTGAGACACCTGGCGGAAGCCTGAGAGGAGGTGAGAGAGAGAGAGAGGGAGGAGGGTGAGTCCAGCCGGTCATGTGATCACAGGGGGATCGGAAACCAGTGAGCGAGGGCGAGCGGGTGAGAGGAAGAGCCCACCGGCACCTTCACCACCGCCGCCGCCCCGGGGACGTACCGTCGCCGCCCTTGGTGGCGTCCGTCACGTGCTGCTTGCGGATGCCGTCCTCGTCGGCCTTGCGGTCTCGGCCGGGGCAGGCGCAGATCCGGGCCTCGAAGCACCGACGGCCGAGTACCTGTCCGCTTTGAGGACAGAAAGACAGGGAGGTAAGACGCAACCCAGGGATTAGAAACCCGCGGTGGGACGTGGGGTGCGAGGACGGCGCGTCTCTTACTCTCTGGTCTCCAGGGTGACGATGATGAGGATGGGGCGTCGGTTCATCCCGCCCACGCAGCTGGAGTTGCACATGAAGTTGTACAAGATGGTGGTGAACTCTGTCCCGACCTGAGGGAGGAGGACGGGGACGGTGAGACGCGTCAGCGGAGGGACGGACAGGCGACGGGTTGACCCCGGTTCAGATCCCGTTTTTTCTGTCTCTTTCATTGAGACAGAATACAAACACAACTACCAACTAACGTTCACTGGACCTCTTCCTCCCGCTGTGATTGGCTGAGCGGATGAAACCGCGAGGCCCCGCCCTCTAAAAGACGAGCAACTGAGCTGAAGCTAAAAGCGTCCTCAGGGGACAGCGGGACGCTCACCTGAGGCGGTTCATAGGGAACCAGGACACTCTGTCTCCCAGTGATGGAGTCCTCCACGTACTGGGCGTGGTTGTTTCCCTCCACGCGGATCAGGTGACTGGGAGGAGCAATCTGACCTGGAAGCAGCGACCGATGTCAATAAAAAAACGACCCCCACGATTCCCCCCCGGAGACACAACGCCGTCCTCCTTCCCAACAGTGACACTGACCGTCGTTGAACTCGCGGCTGAGCTCGTGGTTCGGGCAGCGCTTCACCACCTCCGTCACGTGCTCCGCCTTCTTGTAGACGGGCATGGCCCGGATGACGGCGCCCTGCGGCGGGTTGGTCAGCACTTTGATCTGGATGGGGCAGGTCTTGGCGATCTGGCAGTACAGCTTCTTGAGGTCCGTGGAGTACTGGGGGAGAGGGAGAAAGGCGTCAGACGCGGTGAACAGCTGCCGCCCGGAGCGCAGGGCTGTGATTAGCACGTCCGTAAAGACGCCGGCGTGGAACCGCGGCCTCTGGGGCTTCCTTTGAGGGCCGTAAAGTGGACCCTCCGGCCGCAATTACACCGGGGGCCTGGCTTTCATCTCCCGGCCTGCCTCTCATCACGGGGGGCCCCCGCGGGGTCCGTCTCCAGCGCCCTTCTGTCCCCCCAAATAAACCCCTCGAATGACACCTTCTTCAGCTCGGGGCTCAACGAGCAGGAGACCACCTCAGGTTCTGGTTCTGAGATGAACCGGTGTTTCCTCTCCAGCTAACCCACGGACAGCAGGCGGAGAGCCGTGTCAACGCTCCATAGACGATCGAATTCGTGCTGTAGGTTTTGTCCACGTCGTGGAGAGACAAGACAAGTTCTTCATGTCCTGATCCAGGGTGAAGACCAGAAGAGATTTTCACTAAACTGAAGACTTGTTTTGTCTCCCGAACAAGTCTTCTTTCAGACCAAACTATAGTAGACGTTTACTTCAATAATTCCCCTAAATTAACTGTAAAGTTTATACCGATTATCTTTTATAATAACTATAAAAGTCTTCGTCTTCACGTAGTGATGAATCTTTAATTCTTTGACCCTCTTCAGCTGAAGTGTCTTCAACATGTCGGTCGTGTGACTAAACTCACTAAAATGAGGAGCTCCTACTTTACATTACATGACATGTCATTTAGCTGACCCTTTTATCATACGCGACTTACAATAAGTGCATTTCAACCATAAAGATACAAACCCAGAAGAACAAGAAACAAGAAAAGTGCCATTTCATTAAATAATCCGACTTACGACTTGCTATAGAAAGACACTCCTCGTGAAAAGAATGTCCTTAATACAAGAGACCAACAGGGAGGTCCTGTGATTATATCGATGCGTTCATATGTTCTTTTGATCTGCACTGTGAAGGCGGCGGCCATGTTTAGATGCTTTAAGGACGCGTTCCCGTCACACGATGTGATGCTTTGAGACATTGAACTGACTGTTGTCTGAAATCAAAGCAGCTTCGGGAAAGAAAAGAAAAGCCTAAGATGGATGGTTGGAGCTGCTCCTAACCTGATACCCCGTGTGCCTCCGTCACTCAGCTAAATGAGGTGGAGACGAGCACAGAGAGGAGGAGGAGGAGGAGGAGGTGAAGACGCTCAGCAACAGGCTGCTTTAAGGCAGAATCAGAGATCTAATCAGAGAAGAGAGGTTTGTTTAGATCATAATCCTACAGTCACACACACACACACACACACACACACACACACACACACACACACACACACACACGACTCCCTCCCAACCCTCGGGGTACAAACTTTAAACACACACTCAGCTATGCGCTGCTGGAGCGTTCAGGGCGGAGGACAGCGGGTTGACTGATGGGATTCAGTGGCTCACACAGGGCGCGGTGCGTTCAGGTGTTAACATGTAATTATGAGCCTTTCATTGGTCACAATGTGAACTGCAAACACTCGGCGGCACAATGCGGAGCCGCTCCATCACACAACCGCCCGAAAGCGTGTTTGCAGGGAAAACACGCACGTGACTCGGCGAGGGGGAGGAGGAGGCGAACCCCAGACCCCCCGACCCCCCCACCCCCCCCCCCTGGGTGGAGGACGTCCTCCTATTAATGCCTCCACTGCCGTGGGAGTGTTCGTGGGCACTTTCCACACGCACCAAACACACACACTTCCCGTGCGCCGAAGGTCGGGGCAGGCCCGGCGCTGTTGGGTCCTCCGCGGGTGATAGGCGCTGCGGGCGCATGCTCCAGTCAGGTCCCCACAACCTGGGAGGCCTCGAACAGAGCGCGCTGTGGACCCTCCGATTGTGTCCTATTCATTCCTGGGGCAGCCCGCACCGCCGGGAGTTTTTCCTGAATTCGTCACTTTCAACAGTTGTTTCATTGGGGGTAGGAAGATGACCACCTTTCCACCGTTCCAACCCCAAGTCTGAAGGATAAGACCCTGTCCTTTTTTTCAAGGGGGGTGACCCCTGAACCCTATTTAACCCTTTTTCAAACCAAGCGTTTTAACCCCCAAAATCCCCCCCCCCCCCCCCCGGCGAGGGTTTAGGGAGCGTTCTGTCTCTGTGACCTTGATTTTCACTGCATGTAAAAGTGCTGCAGAAAAGCGATTTTACAAACATCGGGAGACGATGGATTCTAACGTGTTTCACACACTGAGGAGAGTCTGTCTCAATGGATCCTCGCTCAGGAGCTCTTTTTTAACATAATCTGTCTTTATTTGGGGGCGGGATTTTAAACAAAACTTCACTCTCACAATCCGGGCTGCGTTTCGGTGACTTTTGGTCCAAAATCCCACGTGATGCGTTCGCGGATCGCCTGATAGGTGGATCTCTGATGAAGATGAAGGCTGTTAGAGCCCAGGATATTAGTTATTAGTTCAGCACCTGATGTCTGCACGCAAACATAACACGCGGTCGGTTTGAGAGCTGAGAGACGATGACGTTCTCACATCTTCGCTTCTCTATTTACACAACTGCAGCGCGTCGCGGTGAATCACTGCTGCTGCTCTCAGATCACACAGCTCTTTTTTTTTTTTTTTTTTCCACCTCGACGATGAAGATCTCCTCCTCAGCTCGGCTCATAAAAAAAAAAAAAAAAAAAGAAGGAAAAGAAGGAGAATAAATTCCCCCGTGCGGCTCTCAGGGCTCCGTCTCCCGGGCGAGTCGGGACAGGCGCTCTGACACAAACAAGTCTCGGCTCCATCTCGTGAGGCGTGGGACGGGCCCGCAGATGTTCCAGCGACAAGCTGCGTCTTGCCGCCTTTCGCTGGAACACTCTTCTCTTTGAGCAATGCAAATGCTCTCCTCCTCCTCCTCCTCCTCCACCACCTCCACTTCCACCTCCACCCCCTCCTGCGGCGCAATGTGAGATGCGACCACGGAGCTTAAGTCTGTGAAAAAGACGGAGCCCACTCTCAGAGCAACGGGTTCAGCCGAGAGCCACACGCTATTTACACGAGCATTATCTGCAGGCCCTCCATCCATTACTGTAATCCCTGCTGCTCTGACATTCCTCTGCACACACACACACACACACACACACACACACAACTTCAGAAGCACAACAGATGCATGGATGCATGCGCTGCGTTCAGAGGGAGTTCACAGAGAAGAAGGAGTGCCCACGAGGAAGCCGGGTGGGAGCAGCCTTCTGGGAAATGCCGAGCGTGTGCGTGTGTGTCACTCTCGTCCCAGACAGGAAGAGGTTAAGGTGTGGGCTGCAGATTAGGTGTGTCTCAATCTGAGACAGTCATCAGAAAAGCAACTGTCCACTAAGTCCTGAGGAGGATCCTGCAGGTCTCCAAAAAAGATCCGTGCACAGGGAGACGTCCGACCAGCTGACCGTCAGAACATTAGAACGCCAGAGAAGGAGACCACAAGTCCACCAGACCACCAGAGGACCAGACCACCAGAGGACCAGTCCACCAGAGGACCAGTCCACCAGAGGACCAGTCCACCAGCGGCTCACATCCTGGAGTTTTGGCACAGATCTGCACGGATTAGATGAGGGACCTTCTGAGTGGAACCCACAGAGGAGTCTTTCAGGGACAAAGTGAAATGTCTTCAGCGGGCGAAAGGACCGAAATAACAGTCAGATGTTGTTTGGCTTCTTTTGAATGTTTTTATAATATAATAAAAACCAGCTCCTCCATTAACACAAAAGTCTAGAAGGCCGTGATTTCCAGATAATTTAAAACCAAATCAATAAGAGATGAAGAAGTTTCAACTAAAAAAACCTGCATCAACATCCAATATAGATTTTATAACTTATATTTACTGTGTATATATATGTTATATCTAGTATATATATATATATATTTCTTCACTATTTCATTCCTCTCAGACATGAATTATGTTTGTAATCATGCAGAATTACTACCTCTGTTTAAGTTAATATCATAAACGTGGTTCATTTACAACCACTTTAGGTTTTGTTGTGTTTGAACATGCAAATGAGGCCTGATGTTGTGGTAACTTTTTTGGCAAAGACCACAGAGGTGAGAAAGCACGCGTGGTAACGAATAGCCATCTACTGGTCTCCATGTGGAGTCGGACCCATCCAACCAGTCTTGCGTCATGTGTTGTGACGAGGCGTGCCGCTCACCCGCCCGCACTTCGCACAAACACTTTTGGGCCGCTGCAAATGAGCGGGACGCGTGAGGCGGTGTGGGAAGTGAGCGAGTGTCACGATCCCACAGTCAGGGTGTCCCGGAGGAATCCGTTGGGACGGTCCATCACGCCCCGACTTCACCTCACCCGGCGTATGTCACTTTACTTCGCTTCGAGTCACTTGACTTCCCTTAACTCCACCCATTTCAACTCGACTTCACTTCCCTCCACCTCACTACGGTGGCTTCGTTCAATATGAATGAATCAAATATCAGATCTTCAGTGTTGAGCAATTTCTTTACATTTAAGAGTTTATTTTATTTCTTGATGTGGATATAAATCGGGTTTTTTTTTACCGCTTTGTTTCTGCTAAATTACCGTTTTTATCTGTCTTTTTCGTTTTAATGCTTCTTTTTTTAATTATTTACTATTTGCTTGTTATCGTTTTTAAATGTTCTAGTAAATTTATACAGTTAGTCACCTGTCTTGAGTGGGCGTCGGCCTCCTGTGTGACATCTTATCTGGATTTTATGCAGATTTTATCTTAAGTTTGTAAAAAAAATATTTAAAGACGAGATCAGGTACTAAATAAATGAATAAATGACGTAATCAGCAGCATGTGAATCAAGAACGAAAGTGAACCTGTCCTCTTTGCCACGGCGACGGCTTTGATTGACACAACAACAGCAGCCTTGCTCTATTTAACGAGGCGGAGGAGGGGGAGGCGGAGGAGCCGGGTAACGGAGCGGCACGCGGTGACGTCTCCTCCGTCACCAACAGAACTCAGACGAGATCCCCGGCAGAGATTTCCACAGTCTGTCAGCACTCGGACACGCGAGACTCGGATGTGAGGTGAACTCATCCGTCACGCGGCCGGCCTGACGGAGCTCAGGTGTGCCACATCTGGAAAGAGTCCAGAGTCCACACGAGAAGACGTCTGTCGGGGGGACGGCGGCCCGAGGACCGCGTCCCGCTCTCTGAAGCCTCGCGGCTCAGGCGACGCCGCGAGGCCAAGTTGTGCAACCCGAAGGTTACTTCCTCCTCCCTTCCCTCCAAAACCGGCCAACGGGATTCTTCCATTGGATGTTGGATTACTACAGAAGACAATCTGCACATCAAACCAACGGTTATCTAACAGGTTCTGTTCACTCGTATTATGTTCACGGGTTAAAGGAACCCGAGCGCGGTCACACGACTTCACGTCCTCACTAAAGCCGCTAAAAACACCACGTTAAAGGTCAAAGGCTTCGCATTCACCCACAACACAGTTGTTTGTGCACTTTATTTTTAACTTTTATTTTAAATTTTAATCAATTAATGAAAAAAATAGTAAATTGTCGATTCTATATCCCCCTCATAGGCTTATATTTTATTTAAATTGTACATTTGTAAACATTTTCTTGCACAATGTTGTCTTATCTGTCTTACTGTTTGATGTCACGCACCAACCACCATGTCAAATTCCTCGTATGTCTGACATATTTTGGAAATAAATGTTTCCTGAAAAGCCGGAGTTCATGAACAAACATGGCGGTTCACAGCGTGACGAGCCGTATTATTCACTAGTTCACAAGTTCCTTGCAGACCGTTAAAATGTCTCGTATTAGATTAAAAAAAAAAAACAATTTCCCTCGGATTCTCCAGTTTTTGTAAAGTTTTCAGATCTAAAACATCAGGCGGCTTCTGGCCGCCATCTTTTCCCACCCAGATTGCACGTTGGGAGATTAACTAAAGACTCCTCGCATCCCACCGGAAAACACGCCGCCACTTCCTGCGGGACTCGGGTCGGCGGCCTTTCTTACCGTCCAGGTGGCCGACTTGGCCGTGCTCGACTGCTGGAAGGACACGTCGAAGGCGTGCGTCCCGGCGTAGTCGGTGTTGGACGGGATGGCCGGCGAGGGGGAGAGGGCGTCGAAGGTGGAGCTGGGCTGGGCGTAGGGCGAGGGGGCGGTCACGCTGTTCTGGGCGTGGTCGTTGTTGTAGGGGCTGGTGGAGGTGGAGCCTCCGTTCTGGATGCTTTGGTCCATGCTGTTCAGGAGCCCCAGGTTGGTGTACTGGGACTGTGGACAGAGATCGATAGACAGTTCTGTGTTGTTTAAAGGAAGGAAAAATGCCGCAAGCAACCGCATTTGATGATCGTTTCTGCTGTTTTCTGCATACGTGTGTTTGTCCCTTCAAAATAAACATGGACTGAAAAACAGGAGATTAATGTTTCATGTAAAATAACGGCCGTCACAGAAAAGATAGAATGGTTTTTAGTTTGGGCCCGTGAATATTACAGGAGAACTCATGAAAGCACGACAGGATATTGAAGACGGAACCAAAACAAAGGTCCACGTTTAGTGGTTGAAGGTCCAAATATTCAACTGTCGTCTGGAACTGTCAGACTTTTAGTTTGAAAAAGTTAAAAAAGTTAAAGTCGGTAAATCAGCACAAAATGAAACAAACCGTCATTAAAATAATGACTGAGCTTTAGATAAAAAAAGATGCATTTCTTTTTGTTTGACCACATCGAAACAGGATCCACCATCACGCTTCTCCATACAGGAAGTGAAAAGCTGCTGGTGTTTGAGGTCCAACGCGTCGACTCTCTTTTACGATTCCGTCTCTACAAAGGGATTTATTTACTTTTCCACGGCAGAGGCGTCACGTTTTGGACCTGGTCTCTTTATTAATTAATTAATTAAATGTTCCTTCCTACAGAGCTCCCGCTCAGCTGTTACTGGCGTGACTGGTTTTACTGGCAGATCTCAATTTGTCTGTTTGCATATTCTATTGTAATTTACGAGTAATGCTTTTGCTTTGTGTTTATTGTAATGAACCAACCGGATTGACACATGCATGTAAACCCCGTGAACATGGTTTGTACATAGTTATAAATCTCATGGCTGCAGAGTCTCAGAGGAGGAAAACAGTTTAAAACATTGGACTGAAAATAACAGTTAAAACTGGTATTTGTTTATTCTGGCAGCGTGAATGAAAGACGTGAGTTCCTTATTGGTGGTATTTTCCTGTGTATGTGTGAGGCGTCGCCCCCCCGTCCCCCCGTCCCCCCGTCCCCCCACTACCTGATGTCGGTGACAGGCACCAATTATCAACGTAAACTTATCATGATAAAGACAGACAGCAGCACGAAGGCCTCTGGTGGGCTGAATGAATAAGAAAGAGGAGGGCGCCTGAACTCATCACGTCTCCGTGTTTAATTGAGTGGAAGTGGGATTTATCAGCTTTCAGTCTCCTTTCATCACGTCTCATTCTGCTGACTGTTCACCTTCTCCTGAAGTCACCGATAACCTTTCGCTTTGACACGTTCAAGTTGTTCTGAGGACTCAAAGCAAAGAAGCAGCATTCAGTCCGAATGCAAAATATTATTTAAAAGTGAAAAAGTGAGAATCGCTGATGAATTAATTCACAATGATCAAAATATCCTCAGGTCTCCTGATCGAAACAACGCAGTCCTGATAGAACCTGGACTGAGGGGGCCACACACAACATCTGGTTGGGGGGGCGCAGATCACCTTGTTGGGGGGGGCACAGATCACCTTGTTGGGGGGGGGCACAGATCACCTTGTTGGGGGGGGGCACAGATCACCTTGTTGGGGGGGCCGCACTGCCTCTCTGGTGAGTGCCGAGAGGCCTGGAGGGTCTCTGGGGCTCATTGTCCACAGAGGAGCAGCGTGGGGGACTGATGAGTGACAATGGGGTTCGGGGGTGTATGTGGGAGCGGGTGGGGGTCCACCCCCACCTTATCCCTGCTGGGGAGGGCAGCGGAGGTGATTGTATCTACATCAACACACCTTTAAAGCAATTAGGATCGAGGACTAAACAGCAGCGGCTCCCAGTAGACTGGGGAAGGGATGCGGGGGGGGGGTGAGGGGGGATAAGGGGGCAACCCGACACCACTTAAAGACCCCCCCCCTCCCCCCTCCCCCCTCCCACCCCCAAACAACTTAAAAGACAGGGACCTGACACACCTGCTATCTGCAACCTGCAATCTATCAGCGCTCGGCCTCATTCATCCGTCGGTGAAAACACGAGACCACAAAGAAAAAACTTCCACCAAAGTCGAAACGTCAGTAAAATCCTGTGAAACGTTCCTGATTATTTAAACACGAAGGTCCAATGAGGAAGAACAAATCAATCCAAAGTCACAGCAGTTCAATGTTGACCAACAAAGGTTTCTTTTTAAATAAAGATCACGGAAACACAGCCTTTGTTTTCCAATATATGTGTTAGTACATTGAATGCAGATTAAGGGATTATAATTGTTCTTTTCATTATTTATAGATTATTTAGTGAGAAAATCTCCAACTTCCACGTCCATGAATCACTAAATGCTTATTTATCTAATCCTGCATACGATGCTTTTCATTCCTTAAATGTCTCGTCCACCAAAGGAAACAACGCTCAGCGCAGAGAATCAAAACCTTCCAAAGTCAGACGACAAATAAATCAGATTTTCTCCCTCGACAACAGTCAGAAAAAAAAACAAATCACATCAGCTGACTCGGATCCAGAGGGACACTCGGGATTCGGATCCTCCAGATGTTTACATTCCCCTGCTTTCACACAGATGTTCACGCAACCACTCGGTTCTGCTCCTCAATCTGCGTCCGAGGCCCCTGAGTGGGGCGAGACCCGGGTCCCTGGGGTCGGGGGGCGGGGGGGGGGGGGTGTCTGGTCCCGGTCTTACCTCGCTGTAGGACGTGGTGCTGGGCCCGGTCTCCAGGTACAACATGTTGGCGCTGAGGTTGAGCAGAGCTGCTGCTGTTTGCTCCACTGGCTCCAGGATTCCACAGATGTCTTCCCCTCGCTGAAGGACCGACGTGGACTACAGACACGGGGGGGGGGGGACCAGCAGAAGCTTCTATGGGGATCTATGGGAGGCCCTATATACCTGGAGGAGAGGGGAGGGGACTAAGGAGCTACCTGTCTAACACTTGAGTCCACACCCTACTGCAGGAGAAGACGTCTCCTCGGCCGTCCTCTGGAGCAGCAGGCTCCTCCTCCTCCTCCTCCTCCTCCTCCTCCACCTCCACCACCTCCTCCGAGGAGCAGCAGCAGCTACTGCGGCTCTTTGCTCTATTTTCTTTCTCTCGCGGCACGAAATACGAAGGATGCAGACGGAGCATATCGAATCGATACGTATCTTCCTCTCGCGGCGGCGACCTTTCATCGCTTCACCTCTTTGTTTCTAATTAACGAGCGTTGGATTTCGGGCCGATTTTGTCTCCACGCGAGGCCGCGACGTCTACATACATAAATAATTAGTCGTAAATGCAGAGAGAGAAACCCAGTAGTAGGAACCCTGGCTAGAGGACTAGCTGCTAGGTCGCATAACAATGCCCCCCCCCCCCCCCTCCCCCGCCCCTGCAAACACATTGTATCCATCAAAAATGAATGATGTCGCTCTGTTGTGGAAACACGCGCTGTGTGTAGCGAGCGTGACGGCGGCCGGCTCACAACACTCGTCGCGCTGATTCCGGCGCAAAGGAACCGGGATTTACGACAAATGACGGACGGCCTCCCGCGGACTTCCAGCGTGAACGTTGCTTCAGACACGAAGTGAAAGTAGATGGTCATGCAGGAGCTCTGCAGGCGTGAACCTGAAGGCACCACGCTCAGCTGCACCAGGAGCCCCCCCAAACGCGGGGCCAGGAGGGAGGGGGGGGGGGGGGGGATGCGACCCACGATAATGGGACCACACCCGGGTGAGGCCCCCGGGGGCCCCTGAAAAACCACGGGTTTGATAATCAACACTTTGAAGAGCAGTAATTAGTTCAATCAACAAGCCGCTCGCTGCGCTAAAACTACGGCGACATGAAGAAGAAGTTAGAGAGTCCGTGTGTCCCTCACCTGTCTGTCTGTCACCTGCCTGTCTGTGTGCCTGTCTGTCCTCCATCGGGACAGACGGGGCCTTAAGAGCTTCCAGAGGACAATGAGTGAACCGTGGTGTTTGTTTGTGAAACAACAATCATCCCTTGGCTTTAGTCCTATAAGTCCAGCGGTTACCGTGGGAACGGGTCTCAGCTTTATAAACCCGACGAAGCACTGAGTCCCCGAAAGAGGATTTACATAAGTTGTTCCCTTCAGAGAGAATGATTATTTAGTATCGAGTGTCAGGATGATGAAACTAAATCTACAGACGCAAACAGACAAAGTAGTGAAAAGAACATTGTCAGTTATTTTCTCCCACTTTTTGCTGATATGAATATTATGGGATGCATCATCACTGAGGATCAGGAAATGTCCTCAAACATACTATCGGATATAATTTGGTTGTTTCTTAAAAATAACAATAAATAACTAATACATTGTTAAGCGGTTCAAGTCCCGACTGCCCCATGTGGAAGTGTCCCTGAGCAAGACACCTCACCCCTAATTGCTCCCCGGGCAAAAATGTAAAATGCCATGTGTCAATAATACAATGTAAGTCGCTTTGGATAAAAAGGGTCAGCTAAATGACCTGAAATGTAATGTAATGTTTATTTCAAGCATTAACATATGCAATAAACGATTAAATTAGAGCCTTAAAAATAAAGACTTTATTTAGAACAATAACAAGAGGAATACGTTATTTTAACAGTAAATATCAATATTTGTTCTCTCGACTTTTTGACCAAATTAAATCTCAATCCTCCGTCTATTTTAAGCTGTTTTTCTGCATTCTTCCTCTTTGTCACGGCCATTTGTTGGTGTAATTATAAATATTTTGGTCAAAAATGTCGTGAGCAAAAGGTCCTATCGTGGAGTTTTGTGTGAAAGAATATTAATCTTCAACAGACGTGCTGCTCACTTGGTAAGAAAACCCAACATATGTACATATCTTAACTAAATGTATTGTGTCGTTGTCGTTTAACTCATTTCAGCAAAGTCAGATGTTTAATTGAATCAATATCGTTGACTGACGAGACGAAAGCGGTCGGGCCTCCGCGTGGTGATCAATCCCTCCTCGCTACGCCTTAAATCACTCCTCGACCTGCTGGAGGCAAACGGGTGGAGCTCCGCACACAAAAGAACGCACGTTCGAATCTCACGTGTTTAATGACTCGACTTCAGATTAAATGCGGCCGGTTCCTAGAAAATCATACAAGTCTTGCTTGTTTTTCCAAACTGTGTTTAACGCCTTCAGCTCCTTAAAGTCTCCGTGGAAACATCTAAAAAGATAAAAACTGAAAAAGAAGAAGAAAAAGGAAACTTTCCATGGTGATTCGCACCATTGAAGCTGACCCGTTGATGCAGAGGTTCTGGGATCCGACCCGCTCCTCGATCGGCTGAGTGTGTCAGTGTGTCTGTGTGAGCGGCGATGAAGATGAAGATGGCTGTGATTCTTTAACTCATGACCCGGGGGCATTGATCTGAGCGCGGATCAGCTGATCCCGTGTCTGTGGCCACCCTGTTTTTGGGTGGGTTATAGTGTTCCTGCTGCCTCTATTTCAGCTGCATTCCTCCATGTTACCCCCCCCCCCCCCCCCCCCACCCCCCCCCAAAAAAAAAAAAATGATGGTCCTGATAAAAGATAACAGGGGCTGCGTTCTGCAACCGCCCTTCAGCCCCCGGGAAAAAAAAAAACGAATTTCTTAATAAACCTAAACCCTTAGCATATACCCCACTCCCTCGGGGGAAAAAACAGGGAGCTGCCTCTTGTTTATTCCGAACGAAGCCCACCTCCCCCTGGGTGGAGCGCGGGTGTGGGGGGGGGGGGGTGATTCGCCCACCTTCTCTGTTCATCAACAGATTACTGATGGTGACTGGCAGCGAGGTCTTTGCGGCCCGAGCTGCTGGCGTGCCAATCGGTGACACGCCTCTCTGAGAGGGAGGGGGGGGGGGGCATTAATCACCCGGTTCACGAGAGCACCCCCCCCCGCCCCCCCCCCCGCCCCCAGGGAAACACGCGTACTGATTCCTCTCTGGATGGACAGCAGCGTTCCATCGGCGGGGGGAGACTTCGTCCTGACGCTCGTTCGTTTTACTCAAATACACAAAGTACACAAAGCTACACAAAATGAACTCCGCCCGCAGCACCTCCAGGTGCACTGGACGCCACGCGAGACGCCGGCAGCTTTTAAAATCACAGTCAGAGACAATTCAACGGCAAGGTTTTCTCCACCCGGGAGGAGCTTTCAACAGTCACGAGTCACACAAACAACCCGGTCGTGGTTTCAAAATCAGTGTTTTGTCAATAAGTATTTGAGAAGCGTCAAAAAAAACTCATCCGGGAGAAAAATACTCAAGTCGGCCCTTTTCTAAGTCCCGCCCCTAAATGGCAGACTGCCCAATCCCAGCTCCGCCCGGTTCTGCTCCTCATTGAGGTGAGGCTGCATTAACTGTTGCTAGCACGGCTATGCTACGCTAGCTGCTTTCAGGATCTCCAGCTGATTGGCTGGTTCATTTTTTTCACAGGTCTTCATGTTTTTTTCATGCAAATTCACCCGTCTGTCTTTTGTTTAGTTTACCAGAAAATACGCCTACATGTCCATTCACGGTTTTCACTTGACGGCCGTATGAAGCGCGTGAGGACGCGAGCAGTTTCCCCCCCCCCCGACGCGGCGCCGTACTCACAGCGAGCGGGTCGTCCGGTTGGCGCATGAAGCAGTCCATGCTGATCTGGATGGTGTTCGCCGCCGAGCCGCCGGCCGCACCGTCCCTGAAGTTCAGCTCGATGGGCTGGACTGAGTGGAGGGAGGACCTGAAGACCGGCACATGGACACATGGTTACCCCTGTGTGTGTGTGGGGGGTGGAGGGGGTGGAGGAGGGCGGATGGGTCACTCACTGGTCCAGCATGTCGAACAGCTGGTTGAAGACGTCCTGGCTGAAGAGGTCGCCCGTCTGAGCCGACTGGTTCTGGGACGCTGCAGAGAGGAAGGAGCTGTCCCTGCGGGACAGACGAGACGAAGCGTCCCTCAGTCTGCAGGGGGACACACAGACACACACCCAGACCTTCGTTTGACCCCAGACATGATACTGTCGATCATTCATGCAGCTCGTGGTGAAAACAGGCTGGAAGTTGAAGCTGAGTGGTTTGATCCATTTGGCGCCGATCAATTAACGTTTTATTATGGACGCACTGAGGAAGACGGCTGATGGAGGAATCAAAGCATCAGGACCTTCATCCAGGAGGCCAGGGTTCATGTCCTGCTCAGGCACACAGGATGTCTCATCTGAACGGAATGAAGGTTTTAATGCCAGAAGTTCATTTGTTTCCATAGCGACGATCACATTGTTCTATCAGAACGAAAACAAAAAAACTTTCTTCACGCGTGAAATGATCTTTGAAATGCAAACATCTCGTGTCCTCAAACAGGACTCTTTTACCACCTTTTCATATAGTTTTTATAGAATTAGGTCCCAGGTGGTCCACCTGAAAGGGGCGGGACTTCACCTCCCTGTTGGCATTTTCAAAAAGCAGCAGAACTATTTTAATGGGCAGGTTCAAAAGTTGCCACGTCAGCAGACATTCAGCCGGCTAAGCTGTGGCCACCCAGCCGGATGAGGAGGAGAGGTGGAGGTGGTGGAGGTGGAGGAGGAGGAGGAGGAGGAGGAGTCCATTCATGAAGAGCACCTCCATTGTGAAGAAGTCAGGCTGCATAATACCGATTATTTGTCCGACACGGAGAGGAGATTCTGCAGTCTGGGGGTGTGTGGTGCTGGGGGGGGGGGTCTGACCTGCTCCCCCCTGAAACCTGACGCCTCCTGCAGAGCCCGGCTATTGTTCCCGCTGAAGTGGCGCACGCTGCAGTCTGAGATGTGGAATTCCCCCCTCGGTCTACATGATACGCGGACTGCAGCTCCTGGTATGTGAGCAGCATCTGAAGCCGCCACTATTCTGGGGTCTGGAATTCCCCTCCTGCGTGTGATGAAGGGTATTAATACCTGACTTACAAACACATTTCTAGTGAAGTTATGGGGCAGGAAGTCGTGAGGGAGTGTCACTTCTAAGGATGTTAAATATTCAGCTCATGGAGCCCCCCCCCCGGCTCCCGACAACATCACACATGCAAACACACTCGGGGTGAACGGAAGTAGAAACTTGCATAAAGCGTCTTTCCTCCAGATGTGCCGCTCGATGTCTCATTAAACGTTCAGGATCAAAATAAAAAAAATGAATTCTTTGAATGAAGTCGAAGCGGTCGCATGAAAACAGCAGATGTGGCAGAAAATGTGGACAGATGTTCAGTTTTGACTGATTCCAAAGTCCATCGACGTTCAACTAATGAGAGACAAAGTGATTTAGGCATGTTTTTAAATCATAAAGGGGGGGTCGAAGTGTTTGCAATAAAGTGAAGAGATTAATTTTCATTCTTTGAGATCAAAGCAATTACATGAATAACGAAAAATTAAAATAAAAAATTAGATACGTAGAAGCTCAAGGGAGCAACGATGTGAAATGTTCTATAATTAGAAAAAGTATGTTTTTAAGTAGTTTCTCTCACAAAGGTTTTGCTTCACTATAAAGCGAAGAAACAACATTAAACCAAAGAAATGAACCAACTAAAAAGAAGCAGCACAGCGTGTGTACATCAATTAAAGGTGTAACAGAGAAAAGTTCTCAGTACTCATTAAATATTCATAATATATTGATTGTGTGATGCGATTCATGCACAAATAATAAGAAAAATAAATAAGGTTTATTAGACATTTTTCACACATTTTCTTCCGTCCCTTTTTAGATATCACACTAGTGTATCTAGTGTGACGTAGATATCACACGTCACACTAATATAAAAGTAAGTCTAAAAGTAAGCATCTCAGCAGAATGAAGATGGTCTGACAGATAATAACTAATTAATTAATTAAAACAAAGTAACGCAAACCAACACGGGGTAAAAGTGGTGAATGTGTAGCTGCTGTGTGTTTTTCTCACAAGTGTGTATTCGGCCTAAAGAAGAGACCTCTGGCCGCTTGTGTTTTATGATCTCCGCCCCGTGTCTGGTTACTCCGAGCTCCTCCGTCAGCCCGAGGCTGCTGCTCCACCTCCACTTAAGAGAGCGAGCAGCGCCTGCAGACGAGGGCCGGGGTCAGAGGTCAACTCTAAACAGGGAGGGCCATTGTCTCCCGGCAGGTTGGCCACGGCGGCCGATGAAAACGCGATCAAAACAAACAGGCGAGCCGATTTGCCGCTCGTCTCCGGTTTCACCAGCGAGTCACCTGTTCAGAGGCCGCACGCAGGCTCCGCCCCCTAAGCTCCTCCTTAACCATCACTCTACGGAACAAGGGTCCAGAGCCAAACCCCCCCGGGGCGACACACACGCACACACCTACAGACACACATTCTTCTGAGGAATGTGAAGAAAAACAAGCAAAAGATAATAAATAAAATCCAGAAGGAGAAGAGAAGGAATTCTTCCTCTCATCAATATATCTCACTATTTAGTCCTAGTTATTATTAGTTTACAATGATCAAACTACGAGGACGGCGTTACTTTAATATTATTTGATAGTAATGAGTAGAATATAATCAAGCAGGTAATAGTTGTTTGATTTAGTGAACCGGATAACGATCCCGTGTTATTTTTTGTCCTAATAAGAAATAAACAGAATGTATAATCTCCTCATCTTCATCAGATTATCAGATTCAGAATCCTTTTATGGTCACGTGTGTTACACATAGAGGAATTTGACTTGATTAATTGCTGCAATATAAGAATAAAATATAATAAAATAAGGTAAAATGAGATACAAATAATATATATATATATATACAAATATGAAATTAAAACCATATGAACAGATACGATAAGTAGGTTAAAACTAGGGCTGTTAATAGATTAAAACAAATGAATTATTAATCACACATTTGGAAATTTGCAATTAATGAATGTTGTTGTTACAATGTTGATGTTAATGAATGGTTTTTTTTTCTAAAGACTAAATCTTAAAAATAATCACTTTTAGAATCTGTATTTTAGACACTGTTCTTTATTTGTTAATGTTATTTTAAACACAAAACTACACACATTTGATTATCTTGGAGGCAGAATTCCACCTGGTGGATCATGTTGAACTAGCGACTCTCCCTGTTGTCCTCGTGCACTTTGCTCTCAACTCTCCATCATTTAACGGCTGTATTTGAAGAGCCAACAATCTCCCACATTTAGCCAGAACGCCTTCAAACCACCGTCTTTTAGGGACACAGCGGTGGTCCTCTGCAGACTGCAAGGTAACGTTAGATGTTGAGATGGACGTAGCATAGCAGCTAGCTTAGCCTAGCAGCGAGCTTAGCCTAGCAGTGCTTTAAGTGGTCAGTTGGCCACTCACCCCCCTTCTGTTTGACACGTGGAGGAATCCCTGAGCACAGTTCTCCGCTGTATGTTTTACTTGTAAAAATGTAAAAAGCTCTTTCCATCTTCAGCTACCGTCTTGCTCTGTTGTGTCTAACTGACTGCAGCTAGCGGCCGTTTCGTTTCCGCGGTCAACTTCCGGTTTACTTCCGGTCTACCGGACGTTAACTACGCTAAAATATTTTGTCGCATTAATCTCAGCCACATTAATTGCATGGATTAACGCGTTTATATTGACAGCCCGAGCTCAAACGCGTACGTATGTTTTTCTTACCCTGTTTCCATGGTGAGAAAAAATACAAAGTATCAATGGACTCGGACAAGATCAGGACGGTTATTGATTTGCAGATATTATTTGACATTTCTGACTTTATCTGCATGAAACACTGTCTGTCTGCATTAAAAATGTTATTAGAGACTGCTTCATGCTTTATTAACCTATTAAAGATGTTATTAGAGACTGCTTCATGATATATTAACCTATTAAATATGAGATTAGAGACTGCTTCATGCTTTATTAACCTATTAAAAATGTTATTAGAGACTGCTTCATGATATATTAACCTATTAAAGATGTTATTAGAGACTGCTTCATGATTTATTAACCTATTAAAGATGTTATTAGAGCCCGCTTCATGCTTTATTAACCTATTAAAAATGTTATTAGAGACTGCTTCATGATATATTAACCTATTAAATATGTTATTAGAGACTGCTTCATGCTATATTAACCTTTTAAAGATGTTATTAGAGACTGCTTCATGATTTATTAACCTTTTAAAGATGTTATTAGAGACTGCTTCATGCTTTATTAACCTTTTAAAGATGTTATTAGAGACTGCTTCGTGATATATTAACCTATTAAATATGTTATTAGAGACTGCTTCATGATATATTAACCTATTAAAGATGTTATTAGAGACTCAGCATCATGATTTCCTAAATTAAAGATGTTATTAGACACTTTCCTTCACGGTTTATTAAATTATTAAAGATGTTATTAAAGGCTCAGCTGCATAATTTTATTTATTTAAGATGCTATTAAAGACACTGGCTCAGGCGTCAAATACAGCCCTCGTGCATAACGTGGTCCTCACTCACCGGTGGAAGGGGAACTCGGGGTGACGCTGCACCGCTCGGCCAGGAGAATTCATGTTGTCACGGCGAGCTTCTCTCCCGCTTGTCATCAACCCACACGCGCGACAGTCACAGAGTAAATAAATAAATACATAAATAGAAATAAATAGAGGTGTGGGATAAAGTGACGGAGGCTGCAGAGTGGAGAATAGATGGATGGGACTTCTTCTTCTCCTTCTTCTGGCCTACAGGTGGGAGGAGCTTGTGTGGCGTTCTGACCAATCAGCTGCAGCTGAGCCAGGTGTCACTCTCTCTCTCTCAGTAACGGAGATATTGTACATCTACTACATGTGAGACCACGAGATGTTTAACACACCTACACCCACACACACCCACACACACACACACACACCTAGAGCGCTCGGAGCCGGACTGCAGATGAATATCCTGGCTGAAATAAAGGCGGGGTCACAGCGGGGCGTGGGGGGGTCGGGGGGGTCATAAATAGCCGTGTTGTATCCAGGCAACAGGAGCCCACAAAGCTGCACTCCTGTACTCTTAATGAAGGCTTACAGCGGCCGACGGTTCGATTTCCCTCACACCCGTCTGCTCAAAGCCCTCACAGTTGTTTTCATGTTGAAACAAACATCTCTGGAGAGCTTGAATGTTAATTGAATTAATTGAATCCATTGAACCGTTCACTCATGCGTTCGTAAGGCACATTAAAAAACAGTTCCGGCGGGACATAAATCTCACGCCGACGGAGACGTGACGCGATGGATCAAACTGAGTAGGGGCACAAATGACGAAGTCGGAGGATTCATCCTCTGAAGTACATGAATGAGCAAAACCACCATGAAGTTCTGAGGTCTGAGGAAGCGGCGTGTCAATCTTTGATTGACAGAAGGTCATTTGGGACGACTAGTTCTGTCCCTGAGAGAGACGAGGACTCGTTTGACACGTCCAGCATTTGTTGCTGTTAAAGAAACGTTCAGTATGAGGTTCAAGATGACCGAACATCAAACGTATTCTTTGATTCTCGCGTTTATTCCACTTGAATCAAGATAAGCCGAAAAAGCTAGTGCGCTTTTAAAACCCTGACTTATTTTCATTTACAAACGCAACGTGAAATAAAACACACTTTTTCCAACATCGATGTTTCACTAAAACGTCACAGACTTGAGTTTCACACTAAATCTCATAATTTGCCTCTTTTTAAATTTTCTGCTCAAAAACCGTGTTTAAAATATACACCTGTCCCTGTGAAAGTCACTTCTTAATCAACTCGCTCTCTGGAATAAAGTTCACCTGTAAAACACGAACTCAGCGCGTATTAAACGTAATTATCATGTAGTTGACACATCACAAAGGACAAAGTGACCTCAGGACGTCTTCATGCGAGACACTCGGGGAGACATCTGAAACCCTGACATCACTGATTACTGCTGTTACTTCACCGGACACGCATTTGTGTGTGTCTGCGTGTGTGCGTGTGTGTGTGTGTGTGCATGTGTGTGTGTTAAAGAAAACTCTGCGCTGATTATTCTCACAATGCTCTGATTTAATATGTATTTATATATTTAACGTGTGTGTGAGTGACGGAACCAACGGCAGCTGGCGAAGAAAACGTTTTGTCGGTGTCACTCACCCTGTGTGTGTGTGTGTGTGTGTGTGTGTGTGTGTGTGTTGTGTAGTGTGTGTTCTACTTGGGTGACTAATGCAGGGGAAATCCAGATGAGTCCAAGCTGCCCGTGTCCGGTGCAGCGTCCGTGTAATTTACAGCCTGAAACTGCCCGGCAACCGGACATGGTCACAACACGCCGTCTATTTAAACCCCCCCCCTCTCCCTTCCACCCCCCCCGTGACCCCCTCACCCCGATGGGTCGGGCGGGATCGTCCAGAGAACCAAAGAACGACGCCTCCCTGAAGGAGTCTCAAACCAGCCGAACCAGTATCTCCTGACTTTTTATTATAATATCTTCGCTCCCAGACAATTAGAGGACGGTTCCCACGCTGTGATTCAACCTCGCGTCGGTTGTCGCGGTGACTTTTCCCGCCCCCCCCCAAAAAAATTGGCCCGCGGCCACAAGAAAAGAACACCGAGGCAGAAGACATTTATTCATCGTTAGTATGTAAGTTAACAATCGAGGCCTCCTGGTGAAAGTCCTGTTTGTTTGACCTCGTCCCTGCGTGGACTCTCAATTTACACCTCGTCTAACAAAGCCTTTGCGTCTAAATCCTCACGCAGACCCCTAAAGGTTCCTTTCCGGTATCGAACCTGTGAAAGCCGGCGGCGGGGGTCGGGGGGTCGGCGAAGACGCCTGGACGCAGGTAAGCCGCGGGACACGAGGGATTTCAGACTAAACAAAAACATGAAAACCCGGTGGATTAAGTCCCGCCCCCGCGTCGCACCGGGAGCGTAAACACCAGCAAAGCCCCCCGACCAGCAGATCAGAGGAGACGGACCTCCAGACCCTCAATCACCGCTGAGCCGCCCTGCTTTCATGTGAGACGTTAAAGCGCACAATAGAACCCGCCGACGATAACGACCAGATAACGATCGGGGGGCTGAAGCGCTCGTCACGGCGGGGTCAGGAGGTGATGTCCTGATCGCTGTGATGACGTTTTATTCGGGAGGGGGGGGCAGCTGTTTCCTGCTTCAGCACTACGCCGAGGTAACACAATCTTTCACTTTCAGACTTTCACAGATATTTAGTTCATGATGTACAAGTTGTGGAGCGATGTTTTGGCAACCACACCGCCGGTATCCCGGCAACACGCCGACAGGGTGATTGGTCTGTCCCCCCCCACCCACCCGTCAAAAAGCATGTGTGCGTGGGACGCGGTGAGGCCTGGGAGGGAAGCTCAAACCCCCCCCCCCCTCCCACTCTTGAGCTCCACGTGTAACCGAGGAGACGGCTGGACGTGTCTTTTGTCACCGGAGAGGCTTTAAAAATAAAACACGCCGTCCGTGTTCTGATGCTACGCTGAAAGAAGATATTTCAGGAACATTTCCACCGAGTCTCCGCTGAGAAGATGGAGTCGGCTCAAGCAATTACAACAAACGCAGTGTTTCACCGAGGAGAGAAGACGGCGCACCTCCGCTTGAACCCTCGGAGAACGCAGCGCCGCCGCCACCGCCGCCGCCACCAATCGGGCCGCGACCTTGACTTTATTAGCCGCGAGGTGACGTGACGCCGCGCTTCTAATTGAGCGGCTTAGAGAATCGTCGCGGCGATGAGCGCATGCGAAAGCCGATCGGGGGTCGAGTGCCCGGTGTCGGGTGGACCGGGATCCAGAGGGGTCGCGTCACCGCAGGTCTCCGTGGCCTGGCGAGGTGTCGGGGTAGGGCGGAGGGGGCGGAGGGGGCGTTGGCGTTAACGCCCTGGAGGTTCTCGTCTCTCTGCGGCTGTATCTGAGCAGAACCGGGTCCTCGGCGTATGTAAACGACCCGATCCGGTCTGATGCCCTTCACACCTGATGATTAAATACATAGTTTAACCATCAAAGTGAAAGTTTCACTGACCATTGTTATCCACCAATTAACAGTAAAACACGAGATCATTTATTTCTTCTGGTAATGACACAATGTGAACAACCAGTTAGCATCTCGGTCAACAGGAAGAGAGCGGCTAACGTTACTGCCAACGTTAGCACTAACGTTACTGTTAACGTTACTGCTAACGTTAGCAGTAACGTTAGCAGCAACACTCTTTTTCTCCCCTTATTATTTTAATTGTGTGTTATATGAAGAAAGAAACCCTGTGCATGACTGCAACAAAGTAGAAGTACACCATATTCTTTATTATAACCAGTGTTGGGAGTAACGCGTTACAAAGGAACGCATTACTGTAATTCCACTACTTTTAGCGGTAACAAGCATGTAGCATGAAGTATTTTTTTAAATAAATTAACGCAGTTACAATTACTGAAATTGAAATGAGTTCGTTACTCGCGTTACTCTCTTTTGTGACGCAAAGCGGAGGGCCGGCAAATAGTAAGTAAATAGCTGCCTGTCAGCACAAAATAGTTGTGGCCACCAAACGTTGTGCGTCACAGAATAGTCGCCGTACGTGCACGTAAACAGCATCGCGTCGCTCACGACGAAAGAGCGCAGGATGCTGCAGGCGCCGCTCCACGCAAACAACCAGGGCGCCACTTTACACGGACTGCAGTGCAGCCGATGAACCGGGCAGAGCTGAATAGATCGATCGCTCGCTGTGTTGAAGATGATGCATCCTGTCAACTGTCGAGTCCGTTGCCTTCAGGCAAACGCCTGAAACAGTTATTTTGTATTACGTTAAGTATTAAAAAGGACTTTTGTACTACTGCTTGATTTGAAGGCCTGTTGCCCTGTTGATTACAATAAATAGGTCTAAAAAAAATGTTTATTGTGTTTGACTGTTCAGTACTATTTATATTCATTACATTTAAAAAGCAGACATAAAAGTTACTTAAAAGTTACTTTCCAGAGTAACTCATTACTTTTGATACACAGTAACTGGTAAGTAATTCAATTACCGTTAAAAGAAGTAACTAGTAACTGTAATATATAATATAATAATACTCATTTTCAGTAACTTGCCCAACACTGATTATAACATATTTATTGTTGTGTTAGACCTCAAACAGAAGGTGTGAGCGTCACACAATGAAGTCTGTGTCACAGTCAGTGTGATTGACAGCTGATTCAGCTGTATATTGTTGTATATGTATATTATTGTATATGTGGATGTATATCATTGTGTTTGTGTATGTATATTATTGTATATGTGTCTGTATTATGAAGCGGTCCATTGGATCTCATAGTTTCACTTTATGGACATGCAGAGAACCAGGTGTACCTGAGAAAAAGTTACTCTCGTTTACAATCACATTTTCAATCACATAAATAATAGTCAGAAAAAAGAAAAAGAAAAAGTGTGTTTCTTTGCCTGCACGACACACACACACACACACACACACACACACACACACACACACACACACACACACACACACACATACACTGTTGTTTTTACTTTGTAATGCAAGAAGTTCCTTTTTACCAAGCAGGGAAACAACCGTGCTGGAGGTGGCAGGACAGGTTTGC